TTTAATATATAATAATTTATATTAAAATTTATTATTAAATTAAATATATATAAAAAAATTTAAAAAATTTAATTTAAAATTAAATTATATAAATTATTTAATAAAATTAAATAATTTATTTAAATAATTAAAAAAGTATTAATTTTATATATAAAATTATTTTAAATAAATTTTATAATAATTATATAAATTATATTTATATTAAATTATATTTAATTTAAATATTTTTTATTAATTTTTTTTAAAATAAATTTTATTATTTATATTAAATAAAAAACATTATAAAAAATAAAAAAATAATTAATAAAAAAGTAATAAACATTAATAAATATATATATAAATAAATTTTTAAATTTATTAATTATTTATATAACATTTATTATTTTATTTTTTTATAATAAATTTTATTTTAAAAATTTATATAATATTTAATATTTTTTTAAAAAATATAAAATATATTAAATTATAATTATTAATTATAAAAATAAAAATAAAAATAAAAATAAAAATAAAAATAAAAATAAAAATAAAAATGAAAGTAAAAATCCAATAAAATATAATAAAATAAAATAAAGTGAAATTCCGATAAATAAAAATTTATTAAGTTTAAAAATATTTTTTCCGATTTTAAATTTATTATATTTGTCATATGGCAGAATCGAAAGCGGTGAAACTTTCGGAATTTGCTTATTTCAATTTGGGTATCCGGTACATTGAGCAAGTGCCCATATTTGAACCGTGCCACCAATGAACAGGTGCTGCGTTAACGGTAGCCACCTTAGGTAATATATCACCCTTATCACCCTTATCGCCCTTCGTACTTGACAACAACACGTTTAATGTTATCAGCTCACGATTAAGAGGTATTATATACATGCATTACGACTATGTATTATTCCCGGTTAATCAGATCTATATGAGTAAATATAGGTACTTTTGTTAGATAAATGCACATAATGGAACCCTAGTGGATTCTTCAATGTAACGCTTCATCGGATAATAGTGTACAGTAGCACCAAGTCGTAGTGACCGACTATAGGTAAAATATAAATATCCGTCTGTTGTACCAACGAAACTGACGCCATCGGAATAGTTAAGTTCCAAGGATATAATTGTGGGGATTAACTCCCTTATGTACTTTCGTCAAGCAAGCTGAGAACAACTCCAACTTTCTTTCATATACATTTCCAGGCAATTTTACAATAAGCTTATAACTATGGCTTCCCAAAGCAGCAATCTCCCAACAGCTGCAGAAGAAGGGTTCAAAGACGCTGCCTCATATGATGCATACCGTCCCTCCTACCCTCCAGAGGCCGTCGATGCATTCCTTACGAAGCTAAATATTGCACAGCAATTCGGTTCCAAGATCGTGGAGATAGCCTCTGGTACTGGCAAGTTCACTGAGCTCTTAGCTCAGCGACCCGAGTCGTTTACCGTTAAAGCGATAGAGCCTCATCATGGCATGAGAGAAAAGCTTGTCCAAAAGGACTTAGCTGGTGTAGAGGTGATCGATGGCAAGGCTGATAAGATGCCGATCGAGAACGAGTGGGGTGAGGCTTGCATCACGGCCCAAGTAAGTCTATATTTTTTTAACTGGTGTGTAGTTTGGCTTGAAGCTAATATTAGCCCCGCAGTCGTTTCACTGGTGAGATATTTTAGGTACTTGATTTACCATTCGTTAATATTTACTCATGAGGATTGTATGTGAAGGTTTGCTACTCAAGAAGCTCTAAAAGAGATTCAACGTGTGTTGAAACCGGGTGCTGTGTTCGGTGTCATATGGAACATTGAGGACTGTAAGCTTGTTCTCGAAATTGTAAAATCTTTAAGAATGTTGAGTAGAAAATTATAACAAACGACTACCTAGACAATAAGCCCAAGATCTGGCAGGCAACTACAACATGGGAACAGAGGATAAATGACTTTATCTGGTCACTAGATGATGGACTTCCTCGATTCAGACATCAGGTTGGTAGCCCTTATCCAGCAATAACCTCTAAACGTCACTAATATTTTATATCAAGAAATGGAAAGAAGTATTCGATCAGCAACTGCCAGGCAGTCCGCTTCAGGTGATTAAAGATACATTCACAGACCAGTTACCTAGATTCAGTCTCCCTCTTGGGGAGGATTCTATCAAATGGACGGTTTGGCTTAGCGAGGAAGCGCTTGCCTCACGGCTAAACACCTTAAGCCAGATTGCCGTGCTTAAAGGAGATAGACGAGAAGCCTGGACCAAGTTCTTCAAAGAGACAACCCAAGGTGATGATGTTGAGAGAAATGAGAAGGGTGAAATTGCGGTGCATGGTGTCACATTCTTCGCTTGGACCGATAGACTATAGGAGTCATTTATATGTCACAAACAGGTAGAAAGCAAGGGTACTACTTTAGCCCATGGTTTTAAATGGCTATTCATAGCTATTATGCTACTAGAAGCTCATCTATAGCTATCTGAATTAGACGGTGTTCGGTTTGAACATAAGCTATTTCCTGTAGAGTTTCGTAACTCATCTTAAGGCAGGATGTTCAAAATATATAGCATTCCCCGTGTGGAGCAGTGCCTAATATATCGTTGAACACCCAGTATAACGATGTGAAGGGCCTTTTAAATAAAATTCCGACCAGAAGGAACTAAATATTGAGATCATGAGTCGGCTGAAATATACATAACTTGAGATAGTGATTAGTATACGTGAAGATTTTAGTTTGGGGCTTGATTTAATTACCATTATTGCCTCTGACAAATGCATCTCCATATGTCCTTCGCTTTACGCCGTTCACGTACTCCTCAGTCTTTTCCAGCGCAATATTCATGTATCCGTCAACAGATTGCAGCTCGCCTACAACGGACATATAAGTATTGTTACTAAAAAAAATACTATCATCTGAGATACTCAACTCACCTTTATATACAACTCCAGAATTTAGTTTGACAGTGACTGGATTGCCGATGATGTCTGATAGAAATCCAGACGGGTCCTTACCCTCACCTTGGGTGTTCGTACCGTTCTCCATAGTGACTGTAGGGAGAAGTAATTTGAGATTGAATAGGAGGATGTATGCTAAACGAATTTAGTATTTGCAAGATGACGCCTAAGTAGACGTTATGTAAGGCACGTAAGGTTACGCACTTACCTAAGGTATACCTAAGGTAAGGTACTACAGGGCTGCTATGTTTGATTTTAGCTTGCCTGCTTGCCAAAAATCCGGTTCCGCTTTGATAGGAACTGGGCAGGCTCAAGCGGGGTAGATACCTATAGTACCTAAATAGGTACATAATACCTACAACATAACGGGTGGGGACACTTTCGATTCACGCGTAAAGAATCACCCTGGAAACCGTATCTCGCGTTGTACCACTCCAAATTTCGATTTTTATCTGTGAATTTCATTGATCCTCACGGGTTCAACCCTCGACCAGTCTTTAACTTATCAACTTTCTGAAATGCGTTCAAAGATACCTTGGTGTCGCAGACACAATCTTAATTTGTTTTTGTAGTCCATCCTAATAAAACCTTTATTTAGGCTACGAGCAGTCTTTGTCTTTCCCTACCCATAATGGCGGATCTGCAGCAATCTTCTCCGGCTAAGCGGAAACTTCCCTTCAAGCGCACGGTTAGGCGCAAATCAACTGAAGCGGCAGATGATGGCCTCTCCCTCTTCAGCCGTTCCGGCGAATTCTTCGAAGAACAGCAGAGACTTGCTAAAGAAAAAGTAGAACAGGAGAAGGCTGCGAGGGCAGCTAAAGAGCAACGAGAGCGAGAGGAAAGATTAATTCGTGAGCGTCAGGCAAAACAGGATACATTAAATAAAAATCCCACTTACGATCCGGCATCTCCGCAGAAACGCCGTCGTATCTCGCTTCCGGACGAAGAGGAAGGTAAAGATAGCGATGACGATGATATATTCAGCTACAAACCCACTAAGAAGCGAAAGTCTCCTTCTGTGCCTTTTACACCCGATTCTAAACGAGAGAGTCCATATGTGACCAGTACGAAGGGGTCCGAAGGATCGAGAAGACATGGCACACGTTCCCAATCGGTGAATGTTGGTGCGCCCGTGATCTCTTTAGATAATGACGATGATGATCTCACCTTTATGCCATCTCCTACAAGGCGTCCTCTTCTTCAACGCCCCCATAAGGAAACTGATCAGGACGTAGTTACACTGGACGATGAGAGCGACCCTCAAGCCGAAGTGGCTGAAGAGCAAAAGGAAGATGAAGAAGAGGACCCTTCCGAGTATTATGTTAGGATTGCAATGGAAAGGGCGCAAAAAGCCAAGGAAGAGCGGGAAGCAAGAGAAAAGGGCGGTTCGATAGGGAATGAAGATGATCCGGTCGTGCAGATCCTTATTCATCCCCACCTAGCCGGCGTTCAAACGTTAATGTTTAGGCGTAAATTATCGCAGAAGTTGACAGTGGTTTACCAGACATGGATCGAGCAACAAGTAGCTAAACGTAGCCTGATACCACGTTCTGTATTGGATACCATGTTTTTCACCTGGAGGGGAAACAAGGTGTATCCACACACAACCCTACAAACATTGGGCATCAAACCGGAGCGCGATGGTACGCTGTATCCGAGCTGGAAGGAGGACCAAGAAGGATATCACGGGCGAGACAAGGTGTTCTTCGAAGCATGGACACAAGAGCTCTATGACGAATACTTGGAAGAAAAGGAGAAGCAGCGACTGCGTGACCTAGGGGAATTGATAGATGAGGAGCCTGAAGAAAAACAGGAACCAGAGCAATCGCAAACTTCCCAGGGAGACCAGAAGATCCGCGTGTTCTTCAAGGCAAAAGATCAACAGCCTACGAAAGCGACAGTACGCTCTAGCACTACAGCTGCTCAGCTGATCAAGCTGTATCGACGACTCGCGAACATCATGGGGAATAAGACTATCGAGCTTCATTGGGATGGCGAGGTCTTAGATTCGGACACCACAGTGGAAGAGGCAGATATCGGAGATATGGATTCCCTCGAAGTCCATATTAAGTGAGATGACAAGTTGATCAAGAGGCAATTATCATGCTTCCAAATGAGGTATCAAGTCTTAGTATTTGTAATATGACGAAGGTAGGGGGGCGGGGCATGCCTGATAATTAACAGACGCCCATCACGAAATATAACATAGGTACGGCTCATGATACCCACGATATTCTTAGAGGCTTAGTGGCTCTACTAAGAGACACTTTTCTTATGTCCCATAATCTACGAAGTACAAATAAAACCTGCTTTCATTCCAGACCAAAACGCCGTCCCATGAGATGCAAAATCGACCCGAAATTAGAACCTCTCCTTCATCCTCGCAGATACGGTGCGTAGATTGTTGTAAACCTTGCCGGGAGGCTTACCCAATATTAGACTCACTATAGATTCACGGGCTATGTGGATATTCTTAAATCCTACATTCCAATGCGTTAGCAAGGTTCAACCAGCTACTTAAAAATGTAGGATGTAGAGTAACGGTTGAAGGCCCTCTTTTTATTTCTTTTTTTTTGTATTAAAAAAAAAAGAAAAAAAAAGAAAATCTTACCTCCTAGAATGTGGATCTTGGAATCGGCCAGCACGACTCTCGTACGAGACGCATTCTCAATAGCGAACTTAGTCTTGCCGTCCTTACCCGCGATACGCCCGATGGCGCGAGCTAGATGGTCGCCGTTAAGGGTCTTGACGTCCTTGACCTCGAAGGTTTCGATGTAGAGGTCGTCGAGGCGAAGAAGGGCAATAGCATCGTCGACATCGAAGCCCAGCGCAAAGGCGCGCACAAAGTCCTCTCCTTTCTGTAGCGCACCTGCGTCTGTCGTGTGGCGCGAAGTACGCAGCTCGACTCGCTTGTGCTTGACGTTCATGCGCACCTGCAGCTTGAGGTGTTCGACGAGCGGCGGGTATATCTTAGGCCAGGCGCTCTTGAGAGGCGTGAATCGGTGCGGCGGGATGCCGACTTTGCGCGTTTGGATGTGTGTTGCGGGGTCCTGGGTGGTAATGTTAGATGAATGATAGGTCTGTCGGAGATAGAGAGGGTGACGGGGGGGACGAAACATACTGTGTTTTGTACAGGCGCAAAGTGCGGTTTGTCCTCCTCATCGATCTCCATACCATCTTCTCCTGTTGTCCGTACTGGTTGGAGGATTGCGTTGGCGTCTTCAGGCAGTTCGTTCATGCCTTCTAATGTGAAGTCCTCATCTTGGTCTGGTTCGGGAAGAGGGAGGTTGGATGGGGAGGTATCGTCTACCTGCTTGAGCAGGGCTGTCGGGGCAGGCATTTTGATAAGTGCCTTAGATATTTCGTAGATGGTTTATGGTTGGGCGCAAGATTGAGGCTCGTAGGTTGCTTATAGATCCGATTGTGAGGTTTGTATCTCAGTTCTCTTTTAGGACTTTTAGTGATGGTTTTCTGGTGTTGCACTGGAAAAAAACCATGGACCATATTTGGTGGGCTATTTTCTTTATCGATAAGACAAACTTTATCGTATACCTTGCATTAGGTATCAAGGTACCTAAGAGGCTAGCTAGTATAAGCTTAGATGGGGGGTTAGTGGAACAAATGAACATGACAGTGGCGTTTTCGGGATGGAATGAGCGGCTACGGCTATCTTAGCGTATGATGCAGTCGCAGGTAACGCTATCAGTTATACCCGTTAGCCCGTTATGTCCGGTTATAGTGTACTGATGTACTAATGACGACTTTTTTTTTTTCAAGCTTGAAGCCAAGCAAATTCTTGGATTGGATTGGAATTCATGCCTTTTCATATCCTATGCCTTCGTGCTTTGCGTCCTACCCCTCGAGCTGTTTGCCGTTAAGAACAAAAGCAGAAGGGTGACCTTGGCCTGAATTGTCTTTTTTTTATTCATTAGACTCATAGATCGCAGTTCTGTTGCGTTGATAGGTACTTGTCACTTATGGTTGATATCTTGTTCTGATTTCAAATTTCAGAATGATGCCCTCATCATGAACCTTTACAATGTCCTTAACAGCTAGGTCTTCAATCCTAGGCCAAGGGTGTCAGTCCTGGAGATCACTTTACGAATTAGTCGACATATACAGTTCGAAAGTGTCGCCCAGGCAGAACCCAATCAACCGTCTTGGGCCGCGTCAAAGTACCTCGTTTTCCTCCATAGCGACCCCGCGGTTATCAAAACCTCCGTGGTCTTTTCCGCGAGTTCCAAAGTCTTACGGCAATAATAATGTTCGTCGCAGCTTTACCTCTAGTGGGCTACTTCTGATCGGGCTCTCATCACCATGTTCGACAAGTTCTGCCGTTACTGTAAAATGTTCGGTAGCTGCGGACTCTGTTATCCTCGGAAGCGCGGGACCAACGGCGAACATTGGCAGATTAGCAAGACAGGCATGGGTTAGAGACATACACACCACTACTCGGAGAAGAGTGGTAAGGGTCCATCGAAGAACGAAAACATCCAAGTCCAACACCGACAATGGGAGTTCGGCGATCTCTCAGCAGAAGAATGGACCTTCGTCGCAATCCGCTTCGAATGCGAAGCCTAACATAAAGCCTGACGTAGGTCCACCCGAAGCGGAGTCTACCTCTGCGTCAGTGTCCAAGTATTTTCATCTACCTGCGATGCCACACCTACCACATCGACCCACGAAAGAGGAGTTCTTAGCTGCCGCCAATGGCTTTTGGGAACGGTTAAAGGTTCGTTTTAAGTGGTTCTCTATCAGAAGCATGAGACCGTGGAATATAGATGAGTGGGGCGCTTTTGTGTCCTGGTTTCTGTTTGGTCATCTAGTCTGGATTCTAGTCGGCACAACAACTTTCTTCTCTCTAGGTATACTCTTTATTAACACTGTTTTTGCGCAAGGTAAGAACATGATCCTCTCACAGATGATGCGACCCAACTAATGCATTCTAGAAACTTTGGCAAAATGGGTTGGCGATTATTTGACCGAATCTGCTGGTGTAACTGTGGTTTTCGAGTCTGCCATCGTTCCTAGGTGGAAGGACGGTGTCATCTCCTTCCGGAATGTATTCGTCTCCCGAAGGCCAGGCCAAGTCAAGTCTTCAGTCAGCAAGGGATCATCGTCCAACGCTGCTGCAGTTGCCGCCGCTGAAAGAGGAACCGATAAGGAGACCCCCGCTCCTGTTGAAGTAGACGATGGCAACTATACACAATTTGACCTTACGTTAAACGCGGTTAATGTTACGCTATCGTTCGTCAAGTGGTGGAATGGTAGAGGCCTACTTAAAGATGTTGAGATCAAAGGTGTTCGGGGAGTTGTGGATAGGACCTCAGTGAGGTGGTCCGGCGAGCCTACTGATCCCTTATCATACCGTCATGAGCACAATCCCGGCGATTTTGAAATCGACTCCTTCAAACTAGAGGACTTACTCCTCACTATTCACCAACCGGGAGGGTTTCGACCTTTCCCTGTGAGTATCTACTCCTGCGAACTTCCTCAGTTGAGGAAACAGTTCTTATTTTACGACTTTTTAGCCGCCACCCATATGTCTGGATCATACGATGGCTCACTCTTCACGATACATCCTCGCCAGATTCACGGCGTTCCTGCTGGCCGCGAGCACATATCATCCGATCCATTAGGGGAGCCAGACGTCTGGAAAAAGTATAGCCGTATACGAATAGACGGACTGAAGATTGATCATCTCAACCGGGGAGTCGAAGGTCCTTTTGGATGGATTTACGAAGGCAATGTTGATATTGTCGCCGACATAAGATTCCCAGCCGATGACGATGACGGCATCACAAAGGTGATGTCTGAATTTTACGACCGGCTCGAGGAAGCAGTTACGTCAAACCGCTATATCCGTATTCTTGATCTTGACAAGCCCCGTCGACAGGAAGAGGTTATATTTAACGCCCCAAGCCACTTAGAATCCAACGAGGAAGCAAACGAGGTTAACGGTACTACTACACCTATCAGCCCCCCATCTAACAATAACCCGACCCAAACACAATCTGCCCTACTAACCTCCTCGGCATCCGACGAAGAGCCCCCGCGATACCTTGTCATGGATCTACGTATCCACTTAAACGACGTGAAGGCTACCGTCCCCGTCTTCACGTCTAACCTATCGTACGTAAACCAAGCGCTAGTGCGGCCCATCGTGGCATACATCAACGCGAAGCGCACATATATCCCTATTAGCTGCCGTATTGTCAAGCGGGTGTCTGACTTTGACGGTTCCTGGACTATCTACGACTGCGGACTTATGGATGATGCTTCCGCCGAGATGTATACCGCCTTCGCCCGCGACGTTGAGGACCAGCAGAGCCGCGTCCGCCGCCTCAAGAAGGTCGGCTTCTGGACCCTAAGTCTCGCTGTCCACGCCCTCTTCATGGGCATGGCTGGAAACGTCATATAAATAAGACGCCGGGATAGCTCCTTTTCTTTTTTCCTTTACCCCTATGTACATAAAGCGGCTATGAAATGGATTATGTGATAAACGGGAATATGTATGTATGGGAAAATGGGGGAAAATGAGGGTTCGCGTATGACTTATATTCGGAGGGTTAGGGCATATCATTTATCTACGGAGGTATGGAGTTATCATGGCGTCTGGAGTATTTACGGCTTTATTCGTGGATCACACTCTTGTTTGGATCGTCCTTGAGAGTCGGAAATACCCCACTTAAGCAGTAGAAGTCAATATAAAAAGTAACATCTACGTGTAAAGGGCCTTGCTATTAAATTAAAAGGACAAGGTTATAACGAAGTAGAATATTCACGTATGAGCTAAGAAGAAGATATCGTATTGGCGCAAATTTCCGCAAATTTGAATTAACCATTGGTACGTAAGCCTCATTTATCTGCATTCTCGTCTTGAGGCCATACAACACTCCAAGCCAGCCGGCCAACCGATCAACCAACTAAACCACCAGCCTCGTCACCAGAGCCCACAGCATAGCTCGGCTCGACTCGGTCTATTGGCTCAACGCAAATGCAGGTTAGAGTCCCCCATAGCCAAGTCAGTATAACCCTAACTTGGCCAGGCCCAATGTGGCTGCGGATTGATCATCGCATGTCCACCAGTTTCCGTAGGCTAGTTTGTACATCGTCACCAATCATCACCATGGCTTATCTCGAATTAAACCTCGGCTCGGGACGCTCGAGGGGTAGGGGGAAGTGGAGGGTAAAGTAGGGGGAGAGGGCAACTGGTATTTGGCAACATATATTAGAAATTCAAAATGCCCACTGTTGCATGCAGGGGATATAGCTCCAAATTTCCACCACGGCAGGCCTATAGAAGAGGGCAGCCCGTGCGAAGGTATGTAAAGGTACCGTGACAAAGGGCACGATATTTGATCTCCTTCGCGTTCTTCACATAAAGTCGTCACTAAGTAGACTGTTAGTTACAAGGAATACGTATGAAACATCATGACAACTCACTCTCCGAAGTCCTCTTCGTAGGTACCGACATCTGTAGTGTTGGCCCTGCTAGTCACCAACGTGGTCTTGGTTTTCTGTGCCTTTGTCTTCTTGCCGCCCTTCTCAGCTGCCTTCTCTTCCTTCATCTTTTCATTGCTAAGAGTAGTGAGGGTGCTGGCAACCTTCTTGATCTGATCGCTAGGTAGGTCCTTGGCAAGTTGCTTAGCGAATTCCTGGAGGAACAAGCCGTAGTGTGCCTTCTTGTGATTCCCTGCTAAGATCGGGACTATCGTGTTGCGCAGGGTCTCGAATTGTGTCTTAGTCTGGGGGTTGAAAAGAGATAGAGTACTGAGATCGACGGTCTTGGTAGGGTCTTGGGGATCAATAGGTACAGCAGAGCCAACAGTAGTAGCCTTGCGCCCGTTGCTAAGACTGATACCAGCATCGCCAAAAAGATCCTCGGCGTGCTTCAGATCAGATTCCTTCTCAGTGCGGCGTATTCGTTCGCGTCGCTCGGCTTCGTCCTCGTCTTCGGATTCTTCGGAGCCTTCAGCTAGGCGGCGGGCACGCTCAGCCTTGTGCTCAGCGATACGTTGGGCCTTAGACTTCTTGTTAGCGGCGGCTTCGGCATCAGCCTTAGCCTTGGCCTCAGCTGCCTTCTTAGCCTTCTCGCGCTCGGCCTCTGAATCTTCAGCAGCATCCCACGATTCAAGGACCTGGAAGTGGTAAATTAGTATGATAGGATCAACCAAGAAAATAAATTAGTAATCCCGACTTACATCACTGTCTTCGCCTTCTTCATCATCGAACTTGCTACGACGGATACCGCCTACAACGGGGGAGGTTGGAGGAGTACTGGAATCATCGTCCTCATCATCTATATGCAAAAAGTGGTCAGTCAAGATCAACCTGGTTGGTTTAGAATGGCGGTTGCAGGTGCGCATGTGTCGCATCAATAGATGTTGAGGCAGTCCAATGGACGATGAAGAATAGACACAGTAAAGGTCCACCGTGTCCTATCAAGCATCGCTTCTCCATAGATCCAGAAGATTATAATGCGCCTCATCGCAGATGCCATGCGGTGATATAACTTGCTGATATAGCAATTTTGGAGAGGAACCCTTTTTCCATGTAAATATAATATAAGGAGATATTAACTTACCCCACTGCTTCTTAGGAGGCATCGTGAATGGATTAACGTTAATCTACTTTTAAGAAGATCTAAGAAGTTTAGAGGTAAAAAGAAAGCGTCAGTTGGCGATTGTAATAAATATTATCAAGGAAGAAGATATGAGCGAAAGAAAGGATAGGTGAGGAGTAGAAAAGTTGACTTGATGGGGGATCGGTTGGTGGAGATTGGGCATAAAATAAAAAAGCGAGGTATTTCTAGCTTTGCCTAAAATTTTGTGCGGCGCTGTGCGTTATGGGACTACTGAAAGTCACTGAAAGCTTATAAGTCACAGGCTGTTCGTGCCTGACACCACTATCTGACTCAAGTCACTAGGTCGAGTCTACAGGGCACTTACTAAATTTAATTACCTAAACTATTGAAGTATTACATTAACTTTAATAAGCGCATTGATATCAGAGGTATACCTATTATGAACTTTATGAACAATATTGAAATTTCTGTCTTTGGTATTCTGTACTACATATGTAGGTACATACAAATGTACGGACGCGGGGTGTGCGGGGCATTGAGTTCTTTCAACTTCCAAATCTTTATTTATTTTCAGACCCATGTATATACGTAACGGCATCATTGCTAAGGAACTCTGATCTATGCTGTATGACGTTAGCGTCTAGATTTAATATCTGAAAATAGATCATCCCGTACCTTATTTACATGCCTCACATTAAGATTTTAAACATCAATCTACATGCATGTAATCAGCCACATTTTACAATTAAAGATAGAAAATATTTACGTTGACAATCTATCTTTGTTATTTATATTACCAATATATAGGCATATATGCTTTCCACTTAGCTTCTTTTCTTAATAGTGCTCAGCTACGGGTCTATAGATAATAAATCTCATAATGCAAATCCCTAGAAGCCCAACATGGGCATCCCGCACATTCTATCTTAAAATATTATAACATAACAAACAAGTATAGACTGAGAATAGACCAGAAAAAAATATCTACAAGTCTAACACACAATACCTAAGATTAGTAGTTACACTCGCACAACGCACAACTGGGACCTGCCAGTCCTTGTCAGAGGAATATGTGCGAGACGCCATTCAATTATGACTCAAGCCTTTCAGTTTGGAAGCAACTCTCAAACCACTAAACTAAATACAATTGAATTCATTGGCACAGACTTTGTAGACCAGCACGTGCAAGTAGAAGTTGGTTGTTCGTTTCTGCTGATATACTTAGGGCAGTTGCGAAGTGCATAGCATACTTCATGAAAGACCTCGCTATGTTGATACCTATAAGTCGACATTGAAGTATCCAATGTAAGCGATCTGCAACAACCCAAAATAATTGGATCTTAATTGCATAGAATGCGTTGTATGCCATACTAAATTAAAGACCCAAAGTAATTCTAAGGGGTATACGTAGGTACCACTTAGAAATGACAAATCGCGTTGGAAATTTACAACCTCATTTTTGTGTGTCGCGTACAGGAAAGGAGGAAAGGAGGAAAAGAGGAAACATGTACCACAATTCGAATGTTCGTATTTTTAGTGAGTCTGAGTCACCTAAAATTTGAAGGCCATGCGCTAGACCTCTAAAAGCATCCCGATAATTAAGAAAGAATCCGCCCAGTTGGCATAGTTATTCTAAGTTCCCTCTAACAAGCAACATACTTCTCAAGTTTCTTCTTTCAAAAATTTATCAGTGTAAATTTTTTAAAGCATCTCTATCCTCTAGGCCATAAATTATGGATCTCAGTGACTATAATCTCCGCGGATTTGTTTCTTTCTTTAGCCTATCCAATAAATGCTAAAACAATTCTTAACGATATAATAATTGGGGTAGTTACATGCAGCGCGCCGAAGAAATAGAGGAGCCCTGAATGTCGCCGACAGCCGCTAAGATGAAAGCCGTCTCCCGTCCGAAAATGTACCGGAACGCCCCATTTCTCATATCGCTAAACCCCTATAATTCCCGACTTACAAGACCACCTGACTGTATTAACCAGACCCCCAGCGATTAAAATACTTCGTACTACGGATCCGTACTCAGTAGCTCATCTTTGCCAAGCATGAGGCTGTATGGGTATGAGTAAGAACTACTACCTCAATTTGAACACGCTAACAAAGGAAACAGAAAAAAATGTATCCGCCTCTTCGGCGTCTGTACTCGGTGTCTGATCTTTGCTCCTGTTCCCTAGCCAGGTAAACATGCCGGATAGTCTTCGTAGCGTACCTGAATACTATTATTTCTTACTGTAGCCCCATTGTAGTTTTTTGACACAAGAGGCAGTTTGAGGTATTTGTCCAAGCGTCTGACAGTTGATCTTAGTTGTCAGCATGTAAGTCAGAAAGGTATAAGTATTTCTGCTTCCTGAGGCACTCTCTTATTCCCTCCTTTGTTGCCACCGAGCCAGGTTGATCACACCCAGTTATATACAAGTCTGTTTACTTGAACAGTCCTATCGTATTTTACCAATCCAAAAACTTCCATTGGTTATAGTAGTCCCATCCCGTATCTATTCACCAATGCTGTCCGTTAAGGTCCACACCAATCTTTGCAATCCAAAGCAAGCCGCTCGGTTATCTAGAGCTGTGGCACCCTTACTTCACAATTCTACTCTTGGGTATTCAACAGGAATCCATGTTGGGCTTGTCGCGCCAGTCCAACATAACGGAGGTTCACGAGCCTTTTCCACGACGCCCGTAACGAACTTTAAGGATTTCTTCCCAGCAAAGGAGACGGAAAATATCCGACGTACGCCTGCAGCATGGCCTCATCATGGCTATACTGAAGAGGTTAGTCGTAACATTCTTGTTACTATTCTGAGTCGAACATGGTTCTTTAACCATGATTTTTGGCTTTTATCTATATATTCCCAATTTTTCGAAAAAAGAAATATAGAACCAGCAGCTAACTAGTCAATTTGAATTATAGGAAATGCTCAATGTTGTTCCCGCTCACCGTCCAGCCAAGACCTGGGGAGACTGGGCCGCCTGGAAGTTTATGCGTTCGTGTAGATGGGGAATGGATTTCTTCACGGGCATGAAAAAGAATCAAAAAGTGGACAAAGCGAATCCGACTACTGCCGTAGATACGATCCAACCCCTAACAGAAAGCCAATGGCTGCTACGATTCCTATTTCTCGAGTCCATTGCCGGTGTCCCTGGAATGGTTGCGGGAATGTTGAGGCACCTCCATAGCATCCGACGGCTGAAACGAGACAACGGTTGGATTGAGACACTCCTCGAAGAAAGTTATAACGAACGAATGCATCTCTTAACTTTCATCAAGATGTGCGAACCAGGTGGGCAAAAAATCTAAACAAGTATATTGATCTTATTCATTAACATATTGGCCAGGCTGGTTTATGAAGTTCCTACTGCTCGGTGCTCAAGGGGTTTATTTTAACGGTCTTTTTATAACCTACTTAATATCACCAAAGATCACACATCGATTTGGTAAGCAAGACGATTCATGGTTTTATTCTATGGGAAATTAACCTTTATTTAGTGGGCTACCTAGAAGAAGAAGCCGTACACACGTATACGCTAGCCATCAAGCAAATCGAAGACGGCCACCTTCCAAAATGGTCCGACCCGAATTTCGTCGTACCTGACATCGCTGTGAAGTATTGGCATATGCCAGAGGGGAAGCGGACAATGAAGGATCTTATCTTATATATCCGAGCAGACGAGGCAGGTCATCGAGGCGTGAACCATACCTTGGCAAATTTGAATCAGAATGATGATCCCAACCCCTTCGTCAGCGAGTACAAAGGTAGTCGGAGCCCACCCCGACCTACCTTGAAGGCGGAAGGGTTTGAGCGGGAAGAGGTCCTCTAAATATATTGAAAGGTACCTATGAGGTATCTTAACGACTTATTGCATTTGATATCATCGACTCAGGCATAGAAAAGCGTAGATTCGGTTGTGGTTATATCATTTGGCCTGATAGCATGTAGCATCACATTGGGATGGCGTTGGGTTTTGCTTTTGGGCTGGTTGGGAACCAGTCCTCCAGTCGGGTTCATGGCAATGACTAGACATTATAAATACCCATAGAATGGACTCGGATAGAAGGCATACCATGATTGCATTCTTGCAGGTTCATATCTCAACTCCTTATAGACTAGATTAATCTCTACTTTTCACCTGTTTACTAAACTTGAGGCTTTGCTATGATTTTGATTTCTCGTAAGGCTTGTTATGGCATTAATTTGGCGCTTAAAGAAGCGTAGCTACCACGAGCCTATCTCGCGTTTTATGGATCTTTCTCGGGGTCGCCTCAGGCTTCTCCAAGATAAGTTCTAATGCGAGGTAAGCATTATAGCACCATTGAGCAATGCGACAGCAGAAATTATTGCTCGAGATAGTTTTAGTCTATATGATAGGCTCGCAATAAGTTAACAAACTCGCTCAGCTATCTGATTGGATTTCGTTTGGTTGGTTCGGAAGACCCCGATTATCCCCGTGGAAAGTCTATCTTTAATATAAACGTAGAAGACATTATGTGAACATAATGCGCTTAAGAAGTACTATGGGCGACGCCGGGGATATGTCGTTAATTTAAGTAAGTCTTATCCACCTCTCTATTGAGTATATATCAATGGCACATCCTGAACAATACCACCAAAGCAAGTTGCTAAGTACCTAGGCAGGTACTTAATGTAAGACTATCAAGGTATATCCTCATTTCTTACATCTTGTAATTTAGCCCTATAGATGAATGAGTCTAATCAAAATTTCCTACGTATTTAACGGGGGTAGTATTAGTCGTAATCGTCATTCTTGAGATATAAGTAAAAGGTTTATTTGTTATGGTTCAATACCTAGGTAGGTTATCTAGTTGCCAGTTCTGAATTCAAGTTCAACTATGACTTAATGATCTATAACAATGTACTACTAGTGAACATACTGCAACCTGTGTAAAGGGAATTGGATGTTTATAATATTACCAACCTGTTATATAAGATAGTAACGACTGTTGGTTAAAAGAAGATCACTACTTAGTAATTATGAAGGAATAGATATATAATAACTGGCCTATTAGCCTTGGTGATTATCTTTAATAATATCTAGCTTCTTATATCATAATTTCGTACAAGTAATCAGGATCCTTACACTATATTATTAAAGCAACTGTTTTTCAGATACTCTTTCACGAGTTTTCAAGTGTAAATTGAACCGTTTGTACCTACTAATAGTTAGAAGAATAACCTGTGTGCAGAGACAATATAGTAAGCATCCTCGTAGTATATCCATGATTTGATAGGCGATATAATGTTATAATGAATCACCTATTGTTTAAATTGTTTGACTCTTAGGAGGTAGCTACCTACCTCTCCAGCACCCCTTTAAACATCCTAACAAAAATTTCAAATATGATTAGATCTTAATTTATATCAATAGTGCCATTAAACTATGCAAATGGATATTGTAATACTAATTGCCATTGTACATCATAAATGGTAAGTAGTTCATTGTGAAGGTTCGTATCATTTCCTATTCTATTGGTGCATTGTACGGATAATCCCTGACGATTAAGCCTTTTTGGGGGACGACATATGAATTGCTGACGTTATGCATCGTTTGGGTCTCTGGGATCTTCATATTGTCTATTATCGGTAGTATCTCCTCACTATTTGGGATAGTTGCCAAGAGTACTTCTACGTTAATGCGTAATGACTAGGTAGGTAAATTTATGCGGTATCTAAAAATAAGACGAACGTCTACATAGGTATACAATATCTATGCGAATGTGCGGAATTCGGTGCTTGGCTAGATGTTTCGTATCAACATTAACTATGGCACCAGCAGTTATGTTTCATAGTAAGCAGAGCGATGACGTTTCGTGTAAAATGAGATCTGTATTTGCGGAGAGGTGGATCACCAAATGAATGTACGTCTTCCAGAATGGTTCGGGAACGCGGCATACGAGGACGGCGAAGCATCTTAGTGCCTTGTGGCGTCACAGCCATGATCTTCCACTGGGCGGGAAGAGATGGCTTCTCAATGGTCGACAATATATATTAAGAGGTGTCTATCAAATAGATATGTGATAGGGCTGACAGGTAGTGTAAAAAGGGTAAAATTGCTTTTGGTATGTGTATGTATACAATAATATATATGGCGCACCAAGCCGGCTTCTTAACTTGATTCGAGACAATGCCCTCGAACTTTACGGATTACACCAAGCAGCTCAGGGCTGAATACATACATACATACCTCATAGTAGGCGCTTCTGCCAAGACGGTAAGAGGTCACCATAAAAGGATTCCGTCAGGGGGTGACGTCTCCTGGAATAAAAGCGAATGAAACTGATCGATATCTAGATCGGTACCCAATGTCTTCTTCTGTCAAGACAATTGGAAACAAGAAGATCCCCGTTCACCGCCTCGAAAAAGGGAGGTCCCTTCGAGAAATATGGTTGCCTAATAATTAGATTGGCAACGATGCAGGTCGATTGGCGGAGCCAATATGACCTCGTTTACTCGTCTATGTACTTGCGAATGCACACCTTCTACCCATTCATATCCATTCGTATCGGATAGCCTGACTTGAACAGCCAACAATTCGAGGTGGGCTATGGGATAATAAACGACGCCGTGTAAATATATAAAGGCCATCTTGTCTTGATCAGGCTAGGGGATATCTATATTGGTACCCTGTATTAGTACTGGGATATGTGAAATGTACATGTATGGAAGCAAATCCGAGGCGGATATTGTTAGCGATACTACATTAGGTACTTAGGTACCTCCTCGTCTGATGTTGCTTTACTAAACAAATACTAGGCCAGCCCTAAGGTCAGGGGAGTGGACCCCAAACGATTAAAAACAGCAGCAGAGCGTTGCACGTGTTATGTAGTTGAGCACAACTACCTCTTTATGTATGAGGTAGGTGCATCCCAAGTGCTATTTTCTTACGGCCTAATTAGTACATCTTATTCCAATGCTAGCCTCTAGTATAGGTGCCCGAATAGTTTCGGAGATATTACTTCGTTTCTTTTCCTCTTGTTCGAATTATCTTTGCAAGCTCTTACTGATCTTACTCTGTAGATTAATATCTATATCATCTATTTTCAAGTTTAGTTCCTACATTATGTTATGTTATGTTATGTTATAAAGGGATTGCGCATTTATACAAACGTATAAGTTGGGTACTTGAGTAGATATAACATACCAAAGAACCTTATTATGTGCCCAAGAAGGTACCTAAATATACCTGTATTTACCTACGAATTCGCCGGTGATATAGCATCTTAAGGCAGGTGGGGCGATAGGGCGGGGTGATAATGGGAGATTGGTGCTGCCCGCTAGAATACCTTACCATCTTGCGACCGAGTGAAAGTGTGACTTATTACTTACACCTTGCGCTCCTTCAAAGTTATTAACTTACTTCAATTACTTCCTGTCATCACTTACTACTCTAAGTCCAACCTCTATTAGCCAGCGCCGGTCGTCGTCCCTTAAAATCAAACCGGCTAACTTATTGTAATAGACCCCAAAGACTCCAAGACTCCAACAATCCAACCTATCGAATTTGAGTAGTCCTAGAATTATCGCGGTCAGCACCTAGTCAAAGTATCGCAACACCAAAAAGGAGGCCTCTTCCACGTCGTGATTATCGTTATCATTTTACGATAGCAGCACCGACCTAGCACTAGGCACTAGAGCATCCGTCCCGTAGTCGAATCGGTTTGGAGGTCTCTCGAAGGGATTATTTTAAGATACGAACCAACGGCGATTAACGGCAAATAATTTGGACAGGATAGCTTGGGGCACCAACATATTGCATCAATCGCTTTAGGCACTTGGCTCGTTCTAAGGTAGTAGACTTGTTGTTATTATCGGTCACTTACACTGCCTCATACGCCGTATAACAACAAGAGCGTTTTCTATTCTGCGCGACACGTCACGTACCCCGAGATAGCGACTCTTCTGTCCCCCTGGCTTGCCTGGCTATTCGGAGAGGAAGTGCCAAGCTAGGGTATCACAGTCGCAGATCTCATAGCGAAACATTGCGATTTGCAGCCAGCCAGCTAAGCAACTCGGGCGCATTACCCCCCATCTGTTCCTGCAGTGTGTCTTTGTTCACCCTCGACAGAGGTATAAAAAAAATACTACTGTACTGCACAGTACAGCACCAAATTCAACAAAGACTTCATAATATCAGACTGGATCGTGTCGCCCACATTTACAATATCTTCTTAAACAGTCTAAACTAAAAGAAGAGTCCCTTTCGGTCCACATCGTACGTCAAAAACGGCATTTGGAACGGGTCAGACTCGCCTAACACAGCCCCCTTCAAACGCATCCGCGCTGCGCCACGCTGTGAGGCAGACTCGCGGTCGAGTGCATTCAACCTTGCCAGACTTGGGGTTTCTAAAGACAGAAACAACTTACGCGCTATGGATCAACAAGCTGTTCAACCTGCAGGGTTGGCTCGCGGCCGTTCACCGTCTGCCGGAAACCAACAGCCTCATATAAGAAATAGTCATTCTCCTTCGCCTCATCCATATCAGTCCCCGGAATCATCGATCGGCCTCGGCATTGCCATAGACCCCTCATCAGCGAGCCCCCAGTTCACTTCCGACTTCAACACTTACCCTAGCAACAACGATAGCAACCAGTTTTTGAATACATCACAGTCGCAGACCTTCGATCATCGGGGTATTGCCGATCCGACATCCTTCGGGCTCAACCAAGACTACTCCCAATCTCTCCCCTCGCAATCCCAACCCACATTCTCCCAGAGTCTCCTGGGTCCAGATTTCAACAGCAGCGGCGATTTCTCACTATTCCCCCAATCTACCCAAGGTGACCAGTTTGGTACACCTCTGTTTGGCGACTTGTCCCAGACACATGCGCAATCTCTCGACCCGAACGATCTAACGAGCATGACGTCCCCACAGACACACCACTCGCCTACTCCGCCGCATCTTCTAAAGCCAGAGCCAGGTTCGGCACACCAGTCTCCATCTTTCAACCAACATCAGTTTCCTTCGCCTGGCCATTCAAGACATGCGTCATTAGGTCCCGAGGCGGCTTTTATGCCCGGTCAGTTGGATTGGAATCAACCGCAGTTTCAAGGACACCGAAGGACACCGTCAGAATACTCGGACGCATCGTCAGCTGCCCCATCGCCGAATTTAACAGGCCACGATAGCTTCGAACACCCAGAGCACGGCCACTCGCCCATGCAGCGACCGCAAGACTTTTATGATGGGGTTGTTGGGTTAGGTAACTTTAGCATAACAGGGCCCAACCCAAATAGTCGTAGCCCATCGCATAGTCCGGCTATCTCCCCTCGAATACTCCCTCAACGGATGCCTGACGCTGGCCAGCAAGGTCAGAACATCATGTTAAATACGGGATATCCTATGGGTTACCCCGTTCAAACCTCAGAAGAGTTTCCTTCCTTGTGTCAAGAAGCGCCAATAGACCCGTTAATAACTCAGCCTATGGCTCCACCGTCTATAAATATCGACTTTGCGCCTAATTCGCGACAAAATAGCTTCGAGCCCCCGAAGCCGCCGATGGATGCGCAGTCTCTAACTCCACCAGATAGGGGTGAGTCCTACTTATAACGTTAAGAATTTATATTCTAATTAAACATACAGGTCGCCCACGATCCCGCCCGCGAGCGGTTACGGACCCCTATAATAGCGGAGGGGCTGTCCTCTCACGACCCAATACCCCTGGAAGTCTGTCGCCACACCTAGGCGCCGATTTGGCTAACCGTAGTCGCTCCGGGTCCGAGTCCTCAACTCGTTCACTTTCGCCTGGTGACCGGTCAGGTAGCGCCAATGCTGTCTCTAGAAGGCGTCAATCTATGTCTGCGGTCCCCAATAATGTGATAGCGCTCCGCCTAGCAGACCCGGAATACCAAGCCGCTCAAGATAATGGAGGAACGAAGCGGATCCAGAAACATCCTGCCACTTTTCAATGTACCCTTTGCCCCAAGCGGTTTACCCGAGCATACAATTTACGATCCCATCTGCGTACCCACACTGACGAAAGACCCTTCGTATGCACGGTTTGTGGAAAGGCATTCGCTAGACAACACGACCGTAAACGTCACGAGGGACTTCATTCAGGCGAAAAGAAATTTGTCTGCAAAGGTGATCTCAAAGCCGGGGGCCAATGGGGCTGTGGAAGGCGGTTCGCCCGAGCGGATGCGCTGGGTCGCCATTTCCGATCAGAAGCAGGCCGCATATGTATCAAGCCGTTGCTAGACGAAGAAATGCTTGAGAGACAACGGCTGTGGCAGGAACAACGAATGCAGAGCATAGCGCAAAACATGGCTCAACAACAACCGGTCATGGACCCTAACGTTTATCCTGGTATAGAGACGGGTAACTATGCCTTACCTGCGGCCTTATTAGCACAGTACCCAGCACTAGCACAGATGAACTGGGGTCAACCGGGTGATATGAATAACGTAGAAGATGAGCTTAGTGGTCGCTCAAGCTTTGATGCCTCAGATTACGATGATGGTGATGATACGGGCTACGTAAGTGGTCCTGGTACCGGTTTCGGAGAGGGCGGTCTGCAACAAAACTTCGGCGAGCAGATTGGTTATGCTAGTGACTATGGTGGCCGCTAGTAATCTTTATCATTTGTTTAATTGATATTGCCTCAGGACTTCCGGAAGCGATCAATATTAATTTCTATTGGAATTGGAGTTTCCGCGAGCATAAACGGCTGTATGGACTCTGGCGCTTAGCGGGATGGTTTAAATGACGACAACCACTTTCTATTCGAGGCTTTTACTCCTCTTAGACGGCATGATAGATACCAATATTGAACTATGTCTTTTGACTTCAGCTACAAATCTTTGGTTGAAAGATTTCAACTTCACCTAGATAGTGACCGTTAAATTCGTAGTAGACGTGATTATATACAACTAATCATTTATCACAATGGGGGGAATAGAACGAATGTGCTTTATCCTTCCTGAGGAATAGATCTCTGGCTATAGGTAAGGCAGGGTTCTCTCAATTAATTCGCAATATGAAATTGAAGCAATTATTAATAAGCCCTATTAATAGCTTTATGGAATTTTGCCACGCAGGAGCGGCTACATCTAGGAACAGCACAGACGCAACTGGGCGGTGGTAGTGCAAGTTTATTCTAACCTATGATGAAGATGGATGGGCGCAAACATCAGAAGTTATTACATACCTAAGTATACTTCATATATCTAATATAAGCCTCCAGTGACTCATTTGCTACGAAAGCTAAAGGCCAACCGTAATTACCAACATCTACTATTGCTTTGTAGCTTACCACAGGAAAAGGAATCGGGGAACTAAGTTACCTATTTCCAGTAAATATTAACCTCAAAAACTACGTGCATTACGTGGAAATAAAAGTTCAGTCCAGTCCGCCCAGGGAACTCTATGGACCGGTATGCCGGGAGGATTGGTGCCCCACTTCTAATGAAATCCGCCGAACGGAACAGTACGGAGCTTTTAGTTCGGAATCCCGGTCCTCGGAGTAGTTACCCACACACGCCGCCCTTTCCTCTTGGCGTAAGATTAATACATGTCTAATTCAGGGTCTAACATCTGGATATACATCTATTCTGTAATACGGAAATTTTGGTGTAGTATGCGGATTAAGCCGGCTCAATTTCGAGCACTAAGTACTTGAATAACGCCGTGGAAAACTAGGGTTTAAGATTGATGATTTCATCGAGAGAATGAATAACATATAATAGTTTATTAAGGTATAAACGTCCTTCATAAATATAATATACAGCAGTCGAAATAGTTAAATGCTGGACATGCCGAGATATAGTCGATAGCTCTAAGGGACTCTACGCTTAGCTTATACTCTTGCACCTATTTTCCGAGCGAAGCCCGAGGAACACCGAACAGGGGTACGCGACACCAAGTTGACGATGATTCGGACTTCGGGATGGATATTACATCTGAATGAGATTTACTAAAATTTGCTGTACCCGTGAGAGTAAGCTTGTAAGTATGGAATGCGTATCTCCTATACAATACGGTCGTGATAAGTACTATCTCCGCGGTAGACCGAAGGCCTTAGGAAAAGTATAAGACAAGACGATTGACTTCTAGAGGAGAGCATCTTCAGCAACTCAGGAGCTACATAACACACATCATTAGAATCACAAAACCTAAAGTGTGTTTTTACATCAAGTACTCTTATTGTCTAGTACTTAAACAGACTCGTCGACCTCGTTACCTTGAATTCAAAACTCACAAGAGTTATACAAAATTCATAATGGCATCGGAAACAATTCCAGAAACCCCATACTATACCCTAGCAGAGGGTCAACCTCTTGCGAAGAATGACACATCGACTCAGATACGCACCAGCAGCGGTGGCGGATTTGTTCTGCTTACATCAACTCAGCTAATCGAAAACCTGGCGCATTTCTCTCGGGAGAGAATCCCGGAGAGGAGTGTACATGCTAAAGCTGGCGGGGCCAGAGGGTATTTCGAGGTTACAGATGATATATCTGATCTTACTGATGCCGACTTCTTAACCGGTATCGGTAAGAAGACAGATGTCCTTGCCCGGATTTCTACTGTTGCCCCCGAGCGAGGATCTGCAGATACCGTGCGAGACTTTCGAGGATTCGCTATGAAGTTCAAGACGGCGCAGGGAAACCAAGACTTTGTGTTCAACAACCAGGTATGGCATTACTCGCCTGAGCTGATTGCCTGAGTGTACTAACAAGGTGGATATAGCCAGTTTTCTTTGTTCGAGACCCTACGAAGTTCCCATCGTTGAACCGCAGTCACAAACGAGATCCTAGGACTAATGGTAAGTCAAGCCTCAATTTATAAATAATAGCCCCAGTATAACTATTTGTTATAAAATTAGAAGCCTTTATTCCGTGAATGAGTGAATGGTTGCTAACAGAGTATATAGTCGCCAGCTCGGACATGTTCTGGGATTTCCACATCAACAACCAGGAGAGTATCCATGCCCTGATGTTCGTATTTGGGGATCGAGGTCTTCCATCATCAACACGACATGTGAATGCCTATAGTGGAAACACGTACACGTTCACCAAATCTGACGGCACGTACTGTTACGTCCGAATTCACTTTCTAACAAACCAGGGGATTCATTACTTCACCGACGAGGAGGGAGCTAAGGTAGCCGGGTCCGAGCCTGATAGACATCTTATAGATCTCCAAGATTCAATCATGTCGGGTAACTTCCCCTCGTGGGACATGTACGTACAAGTCATACGCTCGGAAGATATTGGAGATGCGCCTGTGGACATTTTCGACATGACGAAGACCTGGCCGCTTGGTAAATACCCGCGACGCAAGGTTGGCCGTATGGTGCTTGATAAAAACCCGTCGAACTGGTTTGCGGAGATTGAGCAGGCTGCGTTCAGCCCGAGTAATATGGTTGCAGGCATCGAGCCAAGTCCAGACCCAATGCTGCAGGCTCGTATGTTCGCCTACCCCGACGCCGCTCGCTACCGACTCGGAGCAAACTATCAGTTCCTACCTACCAACGCATCAAAGAGTGAAGTCTACTGCCCGATTGAGAGGGACGGCTCTATGAACTTTACCTCTAATTACGGAGGCGATCCTAATTATGTGGGAACGAAACTAAAGCCGGTTAAGTTCCTTCGCCCTAGGAACAATAATCGAGACGGGGTAGACGGAAATACTCCGAAAGGAGATGCAAGTAGACTCGATCGACCACTCCCTGAAAGCGGAATGCCTGTGGTGTTCTCCTCGGAGGTAACGGAGAAAGACTTCGAGCAGTCAACAGCGCTGTGGAATTTAATGGGTAAGCAGGAGGGTGCCCAGCAGCGATTCGTAGACAATTTGTCTGCTCACCTCAGCGCCGTGCAGACACAGTGGATCAGAGAGGAAGCCTATGGTACGTTACTCTTATTCAGATTTTTATTTAATATCTCCGAAATCTAAACACAATATGGCTGACTGAGACCCGTGCAGCGATGTTCAGGAGAGTTGATGAAAGGCTTGGACAATTGGTGGAGAGCGCAACGGAGGCCACTATCAAGGGCAAGGAGAGCCTCCATACGCCGACATGGCACTAAGATATGATATTCTATTAGATGCCTACCTACCTGACTTACCTTCTTACTTTACGACATGGAATATTAAAATGCTGGGGTATATAGATCTCTAATTGGTAGAGGCTTTTTTTATACTAGAACTATCTCACCTACATACACTCTACTTAGGATCCATCTTCATACTTAATGTACACTATTACCTCCTAAGACTCCGAGGATAACATCCGTCGAGTTGCGTTGATATTCCGTGGTATAAATCGCACTGTCCTAGCCTTCGGTCCCGCGATGGGATTTTCCCGGGTGAGTAGGCCCTCTATAGGATCTGCAACAATGGGGTCCATCGTGTCCTCCGCTGGTAGGATTTGGAAGTGTGCGATGAGATGGAGGAACACGGCATAGAGGGCCTTGGTGGCAACATGGCTTGCTATACACATTCGACCTCCAATACCAAAAGCATACTGGTGTCTATTTGCTGTCTGGTCGCCGTCCATCCAACGCTCTGGCTCAAATATATCGGGATCCGAGAATACGGACGGATCTAAGCGCACAAGTCATTAGTTGACCGCATACTATTAATTAGGATCAACTCCTCACCTCGCGTGCATGCCCAGGAATTTAGAAACAATAGCGTATCAGGAGGAATGACTGCGCCTTTCCACTGGACGTGCGAGTATGTGGCTTTCGGTAACGCAAGACGCTGGACTACGAAATAGCGACCGATTTCCTTCGTAAAGGCCTCTACGTATTCAACCCTAGAATGCGCAACATGTGGTGATTCAAGTAAATGAGCGTCTGTCTCCGTAATCTCCTTGTAGGCCTTCTCCTGAATGTCCGGGCGGTGCGCGAGGAGCAGGATAGCCCACATTAGCGATCGTTTAGTAGTATCAGCCCCCGCGAGCATGCTAAGTCCGATACTGAGTAGCTCGCCCTCGGTGAGACCTTTACTCTCTGGATCCTTCAGAACGTTTCCTTGAATACAAGGACGATCAACGCCGTCCGCGATATCTCTCTTCAATTTCTCTTGTAAGACGCGGTGATAAGCGTACCGCCGTTTCCCCACGTCTGCCATATGTGAACCCTTCTGTAGTCCTATCCACCCTGCAATAGTATTGAGCGGTCGAAGAAGGGGGATGTAATTGGAGTAGTTGCTAGTAGGATTTCGAAATTTTGATATCTCTTCCTCGATATAGATGATCTCGGAGATAACTAGGTCTCTGTGCAAATCTTTCACGTCCTCGACACTTTCCATATTTCGATTAGTTAGTATTCTTCCATGGTGAGAAATAGTACTTACCGCGTTCCATAAGCCAGCGTTAAGCTAAGATTTAATGCGAATTTTCGCGTCAAGTCAAGCACGTCGACGGATACATCGCCGCCCTTACAGCTGGATAAGATATCTCCTGTCAACGCTCTTGACTCGAGGTCTAATATCTGCCGCGCGTGAGATTAGGTGAGAAATTCAGACTCTGTTGCATGAAACACATACAGGAAGATAACTCTCTGTGCTAGTTTTATTCAGGGCTGTGGCGGAAACTTTACGTCGGCGTTTACAGCTGTCATCCCAAGGACTAGTACCGATGCTTGTTACGGGCCCTCCCTGCTGCACTTTCTTGTGTAAAACGTAGAATACAGGACGCGAGTTTGTCGCCTCCCGTTGTCCGATGAAAAGCGCACGGGCAGCTGCTGTACTGTTCACCACTACGGCTGTCATATTGCCTAATGGCACTTGGAATACGTCTCCATACTGCTTAGCCCACTGTTATGATAGGTGTTAGTGAATCGTCTACATGGTATAAAAGATGATACAGGGAGGTAGGAGCGAATATATTTATTCTAGAGTGCGATTGTAGCATATAGGGTATTTAAGCCATCGGTACTCTTATATTACATACTATTTTATACTCATCCGATGTAGCTGTGCCACGTAAAGAAGGAAGACTCCCTAATAAAGGGTAACCCCATGGTCCTGGTAAGCCAGGAATTCGTCCTTGTAGTCGTACGATCTCATTGAGGACAATATAGATAAAGAATAATAGAGTTGGTACGAAGAGTAGTAGCTTTGCTAGAAAACCGAGGAGAGAGATATCAAATATTATGAGATCGTCTAATAAAGCAAACAAGCCAGCCATTTTAGCTACTAAGGCTACTGAGGTTTTCTAAGACTCCCACCGACGAAATACAGGCAGAGAGCTACTGCTCTAAAATACGCTGAAATAATATCATCTTATAGAGAAAGCGTCTCTTCGAGGGCAGGTTCAGTTTACGCAAGGGCCCCGCATAGATATGTACCATAGGGCAATGATTAACTAGCCAATAGCTGTCTAGATATTATAATGTAACTATATTCCGCAACGGGGATAAGTACTAGGATATCATATGCTATGATTTCTCTGCTAGTAATATACAATGTACGCTTGATAATCACAACTTACCAACTCACTCATGAATCCATAAATAATTCGGAGGTAAATCGGCCACTAAGCCGTCAACTATCTTAATTCAGTACTCGGAGTTCCGAGCGGTTGGTATCGGACAAGACCCTGTGAACATTTCGGGTCCTAGTAGCCGAAAGACACCCCCTTGTCCTGGCACAATAGTATAGCTTCTGATGAAGATGGTCCAGTCTGAGGATTGCGTGATATAGTGGATCATTGACGACTTGTGGACTATGATTTCTGCCCTGGCTAGAAGCGAAAATGCGTAAATATAAAAATAATAAGCTATACTTAGAGCATTAAGATAGCTTTGACGAATCCTTGGCAAGCCCAAGTTATAGGTGAGTATAGTAAGTGCCTGAGGTAGATAGATGGTTGAAATCCAAGACAGCAATACAAATAAAAGTAACTAGTTGGGGAGATGTTTCCTTTTTCTTTTTGAGAAACATTATTCGACCCTTTTAGTTACTACTAACACCCAGTTCAATATTACAGTCACATGGTGGACCTCAGCCCCTTTAATTCTTATAGGCAGTAATATACTCAAATCTTGAGGTTTGTTAAAGGTCTTTTTCGTCCTTAACTACAGTGCCATGTTGTCCGGACTTACCAACATTAAACTGATCGGGGTGGCCCCAATCCTCTTGTGCTGCCCTCTCTCGAGTTTCCTGGTACATGTAAGGCGAGTTCTTGTAGCCCTTGTGCCACTTTCGACCTTCCCATTCCTCCTCGACGGGGTTTTCACCTTTGGCCCGAATCTCTCGAGCTCTACGCTCAATCGACTCCCATACGCGTAGTATATTTTCTCCTACTACAAGTTTGACTTGATCGTCAGTAGCCCCACGAGCTATTATAAGCTCGATTAGATCAGGGTATTTAGAAACGTCCTAGAAACTAGTAAGTACCTCTTATTCCAAGTATAGGATGTGTAAAGCCTCTAATGTAGCCACTTACCTCAAGACCATTAGGGGTAAAAGGGGTTCCGCTAAAATCGGACCCAATTCCAACGTGCTCCCAACCGGCAGTTTGAGCGAGATGCCATATGTGATCTACCACGTCGTGTATTGTAACTGCCCCCGAATCCCGCATATTTAAGAAACGATTCACAAATACAGCCATCACAATTCCCCCATTTCGGCGAACGTTGCGAAGAACATCGTCGGGTACATTGCGTAGATGAGGGGTTACTGAATATGCTCCCGAGTGGGAGAATATCACGGGTGTTTTAGTGATAGATAAAACGTCTCGCATAGTCTGATGAGAAACGTGCGAGAGATCAATCATCATACCTAGACGATTCATCTCCCGAACATAGGCGGCGCCAAGTGGCGTAAGTCCTTTATCAAGGCCCCCACGAGCGACAGTCGAAGCAGATGTTGCCCATGCATTATCACAGTTGTGCGTAGTTGTGATATACCGAACGCCGAGGTCGTACGCCTGGCGAACGGCAGCAATGGAGCCTCCAAGTTGATGACCGCCCTCGATACCCAACATACTAGCAATACGACCATTCCGAAATGCAACACGAACACATGAAGGATTTTCACAGTAAGTGAAGACCTCTGGGGACTCCGCGATAAAGCGCTTGGCCACATCGATCTGTTCAAGGGTATCCCGCACTATCCACTAATCGTCGCATACACATATTAGAATCTACGAATCCGACTCGTATTATGCACTAGAAAAGAGAACCTTACAGATGGATCCTCAAAATGTTTCTGCGCCGCGTCGCATTTGACGTGTACGCTCCAGAATTGACCTCCCATCATCCCTTGTCTCATTCGACCAATGTCTGTGTGGCCAAGTAAACGCTGTTTTGGATCAAACTTCCCATCATAAATACGGTTGTGTAATTCAACACGGAGGAGCCATGGAAAGTCATTGTGACCATCAATTAGCGGTGTCGTCTTTAGTATATGCTTTGTCCGCAGGGCATAGTCGGTTGGGTCAATAGGAGATTCTGCCAGTGACAACCAACTGCCTAGGGACGTAAAAGGGGCAATGAGAATCGCGAGACTCGTTACGATTATCGTGCTCCGCCAACGTGTCAACCAACTATATTGGGAAACTTGAGAATGAACAATAAGTGAATTGCCGTCTAGGTTTGCAGAGTCTGTTCTACCCGCGGTTTGAAACGGTGCATCCTCTCCTAGAGGTAACTCAGTACGTGATGTCATGCTAGCCATTGGTTTGATGTGTTGGGTGATTCGCCTGTAAGACGCGCGGGCAGACCCCTGAGTGTAATGGGAAATTCAACATCTCAATAATACCCGACATCTTTGACGTTCTCGTCCAGCTTCTCTTTCGATATTTGCGATGTCGGTCTCCTCGGCAATTTGAATCCTAATAGTTTATAGTCTAAGTCCACGCATCCGAGCCTAATGATCAAATATGGCTTTCCGACCAGCGAGCTATTCGAGTTGTCTAAGTACATCGCTATCGCGATGACAGACCCAAACGAGCATGTGAAAGATAGTCTTATCGTCAACCTCTAAAATCTCTGGAACCTCGTAACGCAATGCTACCCTTGTATCACATCATGATCCGGCCGGCATGTCTATGTGGGGGATAAACTTGGCTCCAAGCTAGAGGAAGAGTCGTCCATGGAGATAAGCGGGGCTCTATTGACGAAGAAATGCTGCCTTTGCGGTGTTTCTTAAGGTTTGAAAACCCGTGCCTGATGGATGAGGCACGGGTTTTATATACCTCATGCCTTCGGGGTCCCAGCTCCGAATGTCGGGAGATAGGGCCGATTCGAGTAGACTACGGGGATTAAGCTTACCGATGTGCATCTCGGCTACTGTAGCTCGGATGGCTCTAAGTTGAATAAAGATTTACTGCCAATGTTCGAGGGCTTATTATTCATCGCAGGGGGGTATGAGTAGTTGGGTATCACGCAATCAGGACGACCGGAGTCTAAAGCATAGATCGAAAAGATATCGCAAGAAACTCATATAATAACCATTTATATGATATGATATGATATGATATAAAGCTCGACAGTCTTAAGTTGCTACCGTGTATTTATTTCTTGAGCATTTTACAGTATATTATCTATTCCATCTACCATATATGATATTAACCAATTATTTACCAACTAGCCATGGCGAATAGCGATAGAGAGGAAAAGCAGCATGATTCCGTGACTGTGAGTGACGATAGGTTACTTGAAAATGATACCGCAGCAGAGAAGCGACTTGTGAGGAAAACAGACCTATTAATGATGCCGGGCTTATGTGAGACTCACTTGCGGGTAATTTCTCGTATTCAGTTATAGTGTGGCTAACTGTCAAAGCTCTTGCATACTTCACCCATACTCTTGATCGTGCTAATCTTGGAAACGCGAAGACCGATGGCCTGGAAAAGGATCTGGGTCTTGTGGGCAATCAATTCTCCCTACTACTCGTTTTATTCTATGTCCCCTACGCTATTTTTAACATTCCCTGGTCGATACTCGCAAAGAAGTACAACTCTGCTCGAGTGATCCCATTTACTATCCTAGCATGGGGAGCTTGCACAATGGGCGCTGCCGCCACCAAAGATTTTGCTGGTATTATGGCGACGAGGATTATAATGGGTGCCATTGAAGCAGCTTGGTAAGTACGAAATTACCTTATTGTTGAGTATTAAGTATTAATCGATATTTTAGTACGTTTAACAAGCATTCATTCTTAATAATTCTTCCTATAGCCCCTAATCAGAAATCATCAAAATTTTCGACCATTAAATGGCCTTCGAACTCTCCTCAAATCTCCTCTTTATTGATATTTCTCATCCTCATACTAACAAAAAGGCCTAGATAAACCTTGCGAAGTTTACTACCTATCTTTATTCTACACGCGGAAAGAGATGGCATTCCGTGTGTCTTGGATTGGCCAGATGGGATTCATTGCAGTAGGTGATAATGTGTACCTAATGTATGAAATTCACCTAGCTTAAAAGTATTTAGGGAGCTGTTTCTGGGTTGATTTCATGGAGCGTATTCCAGTGGAAGGGCAAATTACATGTAAGTTGCCCATAAACCTATATGCTGACGAAATCTAACATCAATTGCTGGGATAAGGGTTGGCAATATTTGTTTCTCATCGAAGGTTCAATTACTATTCTAGTGGCAATCTACCTCTACATCTTTGCCCCTCAAAGTCCTGAAAAGTCCCGATGGTATACAGAGGAAGAAGCTAGGCTTGCTAAGCGCCGCCTTAAGCAGGACTCGCAAGATCATGATACGGAATTCCATTGGGATGAAGCGAAGAGGCAGCTCAAGCATTGGCCAACCTGGGCTTTTGCGTTCATGGCCTTGATGTATGGGGTCGGCGTTGCTAGTAGCTCAAATTTCTTACCGGTAAGCTCGAATTTACCTTCACTACTTGATACATTGGAAGACTAATAAGATAACTACATTAGACAATGATAAAAAGGCTCACTAGCGAAGCCACTACCGCTAACCTCTATACCGTTGGGCCCAATCTAACAGCATCAGTCTTCCAAGTAACAATATGTTGGCTCTCTGATCGGTATCAGCAACGAGCGGCATTTGCTTGTGGCACAACAGTTATTTCCCTAGTGGCTTGGATCCTTCTCGGTACATTAGACTTGGTACATAAACCGCAAGTCGGCTACTTCTTGACATACCTCATTACTTTTGCTACTTTTATTCCAAGTAACCTCGTCCCAGCGTGGCTATCATCCAACACACCGACCACTACAGGACGTGCTGTATCACTTGGCCTCAACTACATGGCTATGAATTTGGCTGGGATTATTTCCTCGTTGGTTTACCGAACCGAGGATGCACCTGTCTACCGACCTGCATTAATTACTGTTGGCAGTACTCAAGGTGTCTTCGTCGTTACGGCCTTGGTGATGCGACAGCACTATGCTGGCTTGAATAAAAAACTTGACTCCGGTGAGCTTCCCAGCGCACCTGGGATGGAAGCTCGTCCTGAATATCGGTATGCCGTATAGGTACACGAATACGAAGAATCACTACCTCAACTCGTCTTCATGAGATGACTTCCACTTATAATCACACAGGTAGGTTAGAAATAAATAGTGAATGGAAATATAATTTCAGGGGTATAAAAGCGATATAATGACGAGATTGTTAAAATATATACTAGAAATTCACACATTTTTAGCTACAGTAGAGTTTTGACGAGATTTAGATAAACTCTTTAGTACAAAATCCAAGCCTCCTAGAAAAACACCCCCACGAGGGAAGTGATACAAAGTTGATACTACTCTATAACACCTACGAGCTTCCTAAAGAACTATTCAGCTTTTCTAGTCTTAGCAAATTTGGTATTGATATCCATCAGGAACCCATCTAATCAAAGCTACCTTTTAGTTGGTTGTTAAAATTCCACAAATTTACTCATGAGCGAGTAATCGCCCTGGAGAAAGCCTAGGTACCTTATGCATCTTCTACAGAAGTTCCCCGATTATTAATCTCATCTAGCAACAGGCTTCATGTGAATATTCAACGCCGGCTTATCCCATAAGGTGTAAGCAAACTGATTGATCCAATTCCGGCTATCTTCAGCAATGCTCATATCGAAGTTGTAAATTATCCTGGCCAAGATGAGGCGCATTTCGGCGTAAGCCAAACTTTTTCCAGTGTTAGAACATAATTCTCAAAGTAAATGACAAGAGAACGGGAGACATACTTGCGACCAATGCAGTTCCGCGGCCCTACACTAAATGGTTGCATCGCATCAAGTTTATCACCTTTGTACTTCGGATCGCCCATAAACCGCTCTGGAGCAAAAGAATAGGGCTCGGTCCAATGATTCGGATCATGGTTAACGGCATATTGCCAGACAGCTACGACAGTCTATAAACTGTTAGTCCCATCCCACAAGAATAACTGGCCAAGGGATACTCACGCCCTCTGGGACATATTTCCCCATGATAGTAGCACCGCCCTCAGGCGATTGTCGCGGCATTCCAGTTGGCACAGGGGGGTACCGTCGGAGGGACTCGTTAAGACAGGCCAGCATGTACGTCAATTTTCCGACGGAAGTTAAAGTGATTTCGTCGTCATTATTAAAAGAAGAACGTACTTCCCGGGTGAGCCTTTCGAGCTTATCCGGGTTGGTCGTAAGTAGGTAGATGGCACCGCTTAGAAGAGTCGCTGTTGTTTCACTTCCGGCTATGATGAGAGTATTTGCGTTGGTGGCTATTTGCATAAATTCGAGTTTTCCCTCGTCCTTCTGCTTTATGAGACCCTCAATGAAATCTGGCCTCTCGATGCCAGACTCTATCCTCTGCTTCAGCTTCTCCCGAACTAATGCCTGGTTGTCTGTAATCGCAAGTTTCTTGAGTCGCAGGATCATCCGTACTGCAGGCTTAAGCCCCATGTCAGACAGAGCGGACAAAAAAGCAGACTGTAGCACTGAGTTGGCCACGAGTTTGACCCATGGATGATAGTCGCTCTTATCGAGGCAACCAAACGAGGAACCAAAACCGAGGTCTCCAATAACGTCGAAAGTGGTCCAATTTAGCCACTCGCGCATATTCAAGGGGTTCGAGCCATCACCACATCGTTCTTGCAGTCGGTGAATCAACAGATCTACGTATGATCCGATAATGGGCTCTTGGAGCTGCATTGACCGCTCTGAGAATCCGTGGGACAATTGACGTCGCAAGAAGCTGTGTTCGTCTCGCAGAGCGTGAATGATACCTCGAGGAACGTTGTCGACAGCCCGGTAAAAGCCGTCGTACTTAGGTAACTCCAGCGCGCCATTGTGGCGATGACCGTAGATATCCTTCCAAGCTTGGGGGTCGCTGAATGCTAGCTCGTGCGGGGATACTCGCACAATCGGTCCATATTTAACGTGTAACTCTTTCATATACATGGGCAAATCACCCCGGTACAAGCGTATATATTTGAATAAAGGTGTAAGTTTCCATAAGAATGGACCAGGAAAAGATCGTAAAGGGTGCAGGAAGACATTGTAAAAAGCCTTGCCCAAAACACTAGCAATCACCTTTCAGTCTAGTTAGTTATACCATTCTTATATTTCTAAAGTTGGTAGGGAAGCGGACTCACTAGTGCACAGCCTATAAACACAAAGTTGAGTGGACTCTCCAGACCTAGAGGCGCCATTTTGCAGAGTATGCCGTAGACGCGGTAAAGAACTTTGGAGTTTTAACAAACTGTCGCTGTCCCAAGTGACAGGAACATGTTCTAACTTATACGAGTTTAGAAACCCGTGTCGGAGCCAGCGTCGGACTCTCGTGGCTATGATTTAGGGCGCATTGACGACGAAGACTCGACTGCCAACCTCCTCGACTATAGTGGGTTCGGTGGGTTGACGGATGGTCGGATTTACACGATGCAGATATGCATTGGACGGATGTATCTTAAACCCACTCGGCCAATGTCCCCCCTCTTCCCTCTTCCCTCTTGCATACAACCCTTCCATCTCCACGATCGTGAGGTCATATTCAGGGGTCGAACGGATGAATTCCAGTCGCTTATGTCTCCGACCGTCCGAATTCGATGCAACCTCAATAACTTGAAGTATAAATCCGGGCCTGTTCCGTGCATAGTTTTATTCTTATTTACATCGGAGAATGAAGTTTCCATGCACAAAGCATGATATCCTTACGTGTAAACGGGATTAAGGGTTTTGACGATTACGATGCCGAAATGGAGATCCTCCAATCACTCTCAGTCAGTTTCTCGGGCTGACGCATATAATTATGCTTATTTCAACGATCTACCGGTGATATAACATTTACTAGGGTCATAATGAATGTGTGATGTAAAAAGATGTTGTATTAGTAAAGATTATATGCCCCGCTTCTGAATGGTCGAAATCTTACACATGCTTTTATCCGATTTCACCTTCCTACGGGCAGTCAGTCATTAGGGTTATTTATCTATGTAGATCCTGATTGGATCTGCCGATAATCCGTACAGCCATATATTTAGATTAGTAATGTAATATTATAAAACTTTCATCCCCTAGTTGTAGCGTTTCATATGTCCCGAATCCCGATGCTAAGCCACGGAGATGATCTATGTAGTCCTACGCAGATATTCCTAGGATACCTATTCATTCTCTGGTTTTGGTTTGGTTAGTCGTTAATCTAATAATATTTTATGATACATGATACAATCGGCAACAAAGCCGATTGAATACGACTACACTTTAATCCCCATAGAAATATGTATACATAGTGTGTAACGATCTCCGATTAGGATTTAACTAGCCAGAAAATTACAACCTATCACAAACCCACAGATCTAGCCCTACTAATTGAAGATTTTCTATATTTAGGTAGGTTCTTTATATTACTTAATCAATCAAGCGTCTATAGCTCTAACTTATAGCCTTTAAAACAACATACTGTTACACAAACTTAAATATTTAACAGCTGCCTAACGTAATAGATGACTAATCTTACCTTGTATATGACATGACATAATTTTTAGTCAGGTAGTAAAGAATCTTAGCTACGATAGCAATATGGCTGAAGATAGGTAGCCGTAAGCCACCAAGCGCACTCTGGAGCCTATAGCTTGGCGATGATGCAAGTATCGCTAGCCAAAATTTATCATCTATATCTCCCTCATAGCTCAGCTATTCTTCCTAGCAGATATCTCGACTGAAATTTGCCATTTCGGTATTGCATTGCCCAGCTGAGATCGCTACCTAGGTCCTAGTCTTATGTGTCTATTGGGAAACCATCTTGTCTAGTTGATAGAAGTTCAAACCTGTAGAGTATATTTAGTTTATGATCTACAATAAAAAATTCATTGGGAAGATAGAGATTAAGTTAGAATGGGGTTGTTACTGCAAACCCGGAAACCCCCAGGTGGTGGTTTCCTTCCCAGTTACAGCTAAAAGGAGACACAAAAGAGTGTTACTTTAGCCTAGCCAATTAAGCTTAATTGCCTTTCTGTTATATCTCTCCCTTAACTACCTAGGTACCTAAGATACCTCTTTCCCCAAATCCGTTAATGCTAAATTTTCTCATTAGTAGACGTAAACATATAATGAAAGGAGATTATATAAAGCACGAGTTGGCAAACTCGTGCTTGGATACCTTAAATAATGGGCACTTTAGTTAGCACATGTTTCTCGCCTCGTTTTTTTTCCATGTGCATTGCTTTGTTCCTGGAGCCTCCTTTCATATTTCTGTGGAATCCTATTGGTAAGGTTCTAGTCTTTGTAGTGTTCTTTCTATAATTTACCTTTCGGATAATCCGCCTGTATTCTCAAAGTAGCAGTAAAACCATACAAGTGATATCTTTCAAGATTAGGTTGGTTAGATTAGGTATGCAGTTCTCTTGAGAGAAAAGCCGTTTCGAACTTAGGACCCTGATTATCGGGATTCTCCACTTTTAGTCGCGCTTACAAGCTTGTTGTTGATTATCTCGCCAAGGTCTGCTCGCAAAGACTACATGCGCCACTTGACTTGAAAGCGCCCAGCTTTTAGTTGAAGGCATAATGGCTCCCTTCGGCGATAGCATTATTGTACTCCACCCTCTATATCGATAGGTATGCAGTTTCTTTTACTACAGGACTAATGCAATATCATATCTTAGAGGGTAGCACAAAAAGCCTACAATCAACGTAGATGTAAAAACCAGCTGTTAAATTCATGACCTACATGTAAGACTCATGTATGTAATCAGATAGCTATACCGCTAGTTTATTCCGTGTATATCTAGGCGTGTTAGTAAAAGGTAGGTACATGTCATATCATGAGGCATATGAGTATGTGTATGTACCTTGTAAGCAATAGGTTGTGTAACGACATGATAGGCTATGGATGTCACCAAGCATTCGCAAACAACCTTTAAAGGGTCCAATATGAAACTTAAACCTCAAAGAAGTAACCACCCATTGTAACTACACACAGTGTTTACAGTGATTAAGAGGTATTCATTTAGATGCAGGAGACGTTGTGTTACTATTCTTCCTTCCATCCCGAGGCGGCTCCTTACTACTTAAACCGAGGCGAATCACCGCTCTCAAAGAAAATCGAAAAAAAAAACCCATTTACTAGATAAGTTAGGTATAGTGAAGGAAGCAGGTACTACCTCAAAGAGTATATCATAAACTAACTTGCTCCTACCTTTGTTAGCTACCTAAGCGCTTATTCTTTTTGTGAACATCTATCTATATATATTTCTTCCCAGTTCCTCTACTTTCTGCTCTCCAGCCGAGCATCTTCAGGTTGATAACCTAGACATCTCTTTAAAACCGCTCGCCGTATAAAATCGCTCGCCGTATTCGCAATGGGGAACCAAAGTATTCATCTCGCCAAGGTCTGCGAGGCATGGGACCACCTACAGGAGCGCATCAAAGCCGGCAGCTATGTCCTAGATGGCCAAAATCTCCATATCTCGGATGTTGTCGCTACGGCCCTGTATGTTTTCATGCTATCGTAGAATGTATCATTTTACTGATGAGATATTAGACACGGATGTATACCCGAGATCACAAAAGACCCGGATGTTATAAGCAGCATCCAAGACAGCGTGGATGTCTTATACCACTACCTTTCAAAAGGGTGGCATGTTTACGGTATGTAAATTCGGGTTGCTTTGTTGGCATCAACCACTGACTAGCTAATAGGCGTCAATACGGGATTCGGAGGTAGCGCGGATAGCCGTACTGACCAAGTTGTAGCATTGCAATCATCTTTGATGCAGCTTACCCAGTCTGGTATTATGTCAAGATCTACCGACGGCTCTGTCCCAGGCCACTCCATGCCCTCGTCCTGGGTCCGCGGAGCCATCGCCGTCAGATGCAACAGTAACCTCAGGGGTCACTCTGCGGTGACGCTCCCGGTCCTCGAGTCCATAGTAGCCTTGGTCAAGCACAACTTGAATCCTATGATTCCATTACGCGGTTCTGTTTCGAGCTCTGGCGATCTAATGCCCCTATCCTATATCGCTGGCACTATAGAGGGAAACCCAGACATCCTTATTGAAAGGAACGGCAAAGTTATTCCCGCGCCGCAAGCGTTGAAGGAGGCTGGATTACAGCCAGTGAAGCTTGGCCCGAAGGAGGGTCTTGGCTTAGTCAACGGAACATCGTCATCAGCAGCGCTTGCTGCCATGGTTATTACAGACGCACATCGTCTGGCATTGCTTACACAGGCGCTTACTGGCATGGCGGTAGAGGTAAGTTGAGATTTGTGAGATTATCATAATAGCACCAGTAGTTAACTGGTGGAAAATATAGGCACTTAATGGGAGCAGAGAGAGCTTTAACCAGTTTATTGCTAAGACGCGGCCGCATCCGGGCCAAATCGAGGTTGCCCGTAACATTTACTACTTCATGAGCGGTTCGGCCCTTGCGCGGGATGTTCTCCGACCAAAGGACCGCGGTTCTGAGGATCTGGCACAGGATCGTTATTCCGTACGAAGTGCTCCGCAATGGATCGGTCCACAGGTAGAAGACTTACTTCTTGCAGATCGGCAGATCAGCATTGAGCTCAACTCTACTTGTGACAACCCACTGGTCGACGTGTCGAATGGCGATGTTCACTACGGCGCTAACTTCCAGGCAGCGTCCGTGACGTCGGCTATGGAGAAAGTGCGGCTGTCACTGCAAATGTTTGGCAGGATGCTCTTCTCGCAACTGACCGAGCTGGTAGATCCGGCGCTTAGCGGAGGTCTCCCAGCTAACCTTGCCTCGGATAACCCTAGCTTGTCATTTACGATGAAGGGTGTCGAGATTAATATGGCGTCCTACATGGCTGAGCTGTCTTACTTCGCTAGTCCAATGAGCCCTTTCGTCCAGGCGGCCGAGATGCATAATCAGTCTGTCAACTCGATGGCACTGGCATCGGCACGCATGAGCGCACAAGCTACGGAAATCTTAACACTGATGGCCGCGGCTCATTTGTATGCTAGCTGCCAGGCAGTAGACCTCAGAGCGCTACACAAGCTCTTTGTGCAGAAGGCTACTGAGACACTCGCGTCTGTCACTACTGAATTCTTTTCTGATAGCCTATCGACCGATGAGCTGGAAGTTCTCCAAAAAGCACTGGCGGCTCATGTATACCCTTCCTGGTCGTCTTCGGGCAAAAAAGATCTCCCCGATCGTTGCAAATCTCTTGTGAGCACAGCTGTGCCAATCGTTGTCCAACACATCAAGGGGTCCGTTACAGACGTAGTTCAATGGAAAGAGCAGGCTGCTAAGGCCATCTATGCCGTATGGGAAAAGACCTCTGACGCCTTCCGTGCTAAACCGCACACTCCTGAGGTCCTCGGGAAGGGCGCCAAGGTTTTATACCAATACGTCCGTCAGAAGCTCGGTGTGCCGTTCCACCAGGGCTTTGCCGAGCACCCCACTATCCAGGCCGACGAGCTGGACGGACGACCTAAGAAGACTATCGGGGGGTGGATCTCTATTGTCCATGATGCTATCAAGGATGGCTCTCTGTACGGCCCTCTGATAGAACTGGCTGCGAAAGGCCTAGTGAACGAGACTAATGGTCACGTAAACGGGCACACTAGCGGTACCAACGGGAAGATCTGAAGTAAAACTTGAGCATAGCTGTCCTGTCGTGCACGATTACTCATTCGCTCGAGGGGCCGATAACCACATCGCTTTAGCAACTTCAGAAAGATAAGCGGCAGGACGCGATGGCTTGGTGTGAGCGAGAATTGTGTTCATTGCGATGTATTATGTCTAAATAGCTTCTTTCCTTGTAGGTATCTTGCCAAGTCTATAAATACCGTCGTAGCATTTAGTTTATAGAGTCGTTATATTATTCAACCGCGTTGATCATCACAACCTTTTTTTTATCCCTTTTCATGTCTTTTCGTGAGTAGTATTATAACACATGTCTTGGATGGAGTAGTGGTGTGGCCGACCTTGGTAGGGAATAGCGGAGACGGGTTATTGCTTGATTAGGTCCCAAAGTAAGTGATTAGAAGCTCGTGTATTGCTACTGGATTGAATGAGGCAAGTGTGCGATATAATGTGTACCTAACTAATCCTTATCCTAATGTTTATCAGGGACTGCGGCTAAGCGAGGAACCGAATGTCCCTGGTCCTGGTCCCTGTAGTATGTACGGATCCTTACCCCTGCCATATCAAGCCAAGACAGGGGATCGTTGATCCTAGTAGCCCCAGATAAAGCACGAACCAAGGTAACGGTCCTAACTTGTTAACTCCATCATCAATCGATTGACCCTTTTGATGAAACTGATACGAAACTACGGGAATACATACTGCTGGAAAAATGATCACTAGACTCCGAATGCCTAGTGCACATCTTACGCCGATTCCCAATTATAAGCAGTGGAGGTGTTTCCAAGAGAATATTCCGCAGAGAGACTGGCGTCATAGTCGAACGATTTGGTTCGCGAAGTAGTGTTCTCTTACATACCTACCTCATAGGCACACTATGATGCGTTCCAGGGATTTCGGCGCCCCCCCACGTCTCTTGTTCTCCTTTCATGCCGGATCTTAATATTTTACTCCAAATTCAATACCACGTATTATAGTCCAAAATAAATATCAATCTGGTTATGAAAAATAAGAAAAATATATAATCTAATTCTCTGGCTTTTACTATCGTTCAAGATAAATTTTATATTTTTATCATGCTCATTTTACCATTCAGTTTGTTTTTATAGTCGTCGATTATTTAAAGAGGTTAAATGCCAAGACCTGGCCATGAATTTTCGAGCCCGACTGCGCAGCTTCCTTCGGTAAGTATTGAGAGGCTATCGGTGAGGATCTTAAATCCTAGAAAGGCACTTCCTGAGTGTTGTGCATACCGTACATACAATCATTCTCAATCTAGCGGGGGATCTCCTTTGCCGAACCTTGGCACTTACTTAGCCGGTAGTACAGGTAGACGGGGGGAGCATAAAGCAAACGAAACTGTGGACGATGGATACAGATATTTCCGTTCGCACGCAACGTCCGGACGAGCTGCCGATGGCTGGGAACATGACATGTCTCAGCATAGACCAATCGTATCTTTTAAACGCTTACGTGTGTTCTGCTTCTGTATACATGGCTTATTTTAGTTAGATGTCTGGATTTGTATCACCACGCCTCTTTGCGAAAGGATGAAAATCTCCCGAGTACGGCACCCATGATTGGTAAGGCTGTTGCATTTTAGAGTCATGCAACGGACTTTTCGCTGTAATACGTTGGGGAACAATGCTGAAGGAACGTCTTGCCGACGTGGCATCGACGGCATGGCTTAAGCCCAATCATGATATAGAGAGGTAGGGCATTCCAAGCCATGGCATCAACAAGGCTTGCAGATGACGGCTTTTAAAAAAACGAAAAGAAAAAAAAAAAAAAAAAGTCCAAAAAATCTGTCAAACAAGCAACTAGGTCTGGGAATTGAGAGGATGCTGCTAGAAGCCGAAAGTAGTAAATGTGGCTACTGACATGTTGGGCCGATAGGCTACCAAACTTGGCTCTCCCTGCGAGATTTCGATTTCGCGGATGGGGGATAATGGGTCATGGGCTGTTACGTGCGTCAGACTCTAGTTCACAAAGATCCAATTCTAGATCGCCACATCACGCTATATATACATGACGGAATACATATGTATATGTAAGTATGTGTAGATACCGAAATGTATTATGACGATATCAAATGCTTCGGTGCTTGTCCCATCACACCGCCAACTCATGCTCGAGAAGCATTCTAGCAATTCTGTAACGTGATTGGCTTGCCTATGGCCGAGATGGTGTTAAGGCAAACAACCAACGAATAGGCTGGAGGATATAAGTGATATTAGTTTTCTCTTATCGCCCTAATCAGACCCATTTCCATAAGCGCGGGTGGTGAAATTTCCATCTCAGCTGCTGCCGGTGGGGCTTCAATAAGGGGCACTTACATAGTAGCGATACCGATGTTGTTCCTGCAGAAATCTTCCGTGTTTTTTTCCCACCTCCTGCATGATACATTATCAACATCCACATCGGGTGTTACGGTACTACATACATGTAGGTATGTATACATGTATACGGCCTCAAGCGCAAAGCTTCCTGTTTGGCTGTGATCTCCTTCGTTCGAAGACATTCGAGATGAATAGAGTTAGGTACATAACGGTTCATTACATGCCTAAGGCATCGAAGCTTACCTATTTAGCTTTAAAATCTTTCCTTAAAAGGTATTGAAAGCTGACTGGCTTTAATCCCTGGTCGGCAGAATTGTGATCTTTGAGAATCCTTTAAGAAACAGATACCCGATTTGGCATCTGCAATCACCCTCGAAAACCTGGGGTAGCGAAAACAGGACCGAGAAAAATAAATTAGAAGCTTTGATTCTCAAGTGTTCTGAGAAGATTTATTTTGGCGAAATGGGCGGCTGGACGGTTCTGATTGGAAATGCGACCTGCGTATTCCCAGGGTTCGAAGCAGGGGTCTCATCGTGAGAGTTTAATTAAATCTAATCCGGGGTCATCAATAGAATGGATCTCTCTTCCTTGCCTAAACGCCACACGTGCATAACAACAACTTGAGAGATATTAGAAGAAGAGTTGTTTGTCTAGCAATGTTAAATAATAATACTTACCTACCTAGGTACATAAGGTATATTTAAAAGTTGTTTCTCGTATCTTAAGTTGAATCTCTTGTATTAGATGTGACTAGGTACCTAACGCTTATGTGAGATAGGGGTATCTATTTTAATTTAAATTTTGACTATACATTAAGTACCTGCGTTCTACCGTTAGTTAGCCCAGTCGAATCCACGTGCGTGGAATCGTTTTCTTCAACTTTTAGTAGGTGCTGTCGGTTTCCTTTGAGCGCATGTATGAATCCGTTTTGGGTTTGTGGGGGCATATCTTAACTTAAGGTTTCACCCGTTGTCATTGGCCGTTGGAAACATCCTAGCATCAATTAAAGTAGCACTGCTAGATTCAAAGTACACCTAGGCATCTGGGTAAGCCTGGCAAGTTGGTGGTACTTACCGTTGACTGGAGTTTATCATCAGAAGACAGGTACTACTAGCATGTTGTTGACATCCTAGACTTATTACTTCGTACACTACTTTGTTGCGAACAAGGCTCTTCTAAACAATGTAACCATTTTTTCTTAACTGGACTTTGGGCTAGCCCCTTATTGAATCTTGCATTCTCTCTTCTTGTAATTCGGGATTTCTTATTTTTATTTTATTTTTTCTATTTTTTTTCTCCTTCTTCGTCATCGATTTTGGGTTATTAAACCTTTGTCATTCGTGCAGGCTGGACTGCAGATACAATCTATTTCTCACACGAGACACTGCGTTTTCCAAAGAGCTGATAAAAAACCCTTGTAACAACCAACAGCTTACAGATTATCTGCACGCGCTTAGCTGTCTCAATCCCTTCGCCCCCTCAACCCTGTCATATTATATGCGGCGTCAATCAGGGTCGTCCAGGCGTCTCGAACAAGAAGGTCCGACCTCGACAGGAGTTCGTGACGCCGATTGGCTTTCGGTAGCCCCTTGAACAACGACATACAGTTGGGTCCCTCTTTAGACTATGTCGCATCTATCGCTTCAGTGTAGCGAAAACCCACTAGATTATCATCTTTTGGAGGACAGTCCAACAATTGGTAGGGCCGTTGTGAATTATCCCTCGGTTGACCCCGATCCGCCGCCGTCGCTGTCAATATCGTCTCCCAGCGCAAAGTTAGTGAAATTGTAATTTTCTTTTACCCTTTCATTTATTTACACACTGACCACCACTGTCCATCTTTACTTGTGGCTAGCTGTTGCGTGGAGATGTATGTATACTATTATGGAATGCTAGGTGGAGAGCAGCCTTTTTTCTTTTTTTAATCTATTTATCTCTCTTAGAGATTCTCTCTTACCGGTTTTTATCGCAAAACTTCCCAATTTGGACCCCAACTTTTGAATAATTGCCCTATGATCTGTCGTGCATGACACTGGTGCTGACTTAAATCCCCACTTGTTACCAGACAGCGGAAAACTCCAGCTCCTAGCCCTCTGCAAACAAGTACGGCAGTGTCTCCGCCCTCAAGCGCAAGCCCATCTCGATCAAAATTCCCCGAACCTATCCACGAGTTGTTCCCAGGTGTTTCGGTTGCCCAGATCCTGTCTCGAGAATCACCACAGTATCATCTTCCAACACGCATCGAACGTTCGAGTGATAATTCTCCAGTCTCACCATTTTCTCCCAACCACGGGTTCGTATAGATCTTCCTCAGTTCACCACTACTTCGATACCATTCGCCTTGTTGACGAATATAATTTTAAATGAATCTAACACAGCATACGTGTGCTTTAGGGCGACACTTTCTTCCTACCCTTCGAATGATATTCCAGGTGTTTCCGACGTAGCCGCATCCACAAAGCCGTCTGTAGGCTCTACTAGTACGAGTCTGTCCAAGATGGCTGGCGGTTCCTCATCCATACCTGATGCATCAGGTGCTCCTAGGACGTCGTCTATAGATTCTGCTATATCCGCAATTTCTTCGAAACCCCACTCCCATCAAGGTTCTCAGGATGCTCAGTCTGGAACTGCAGATATATCTAATTTGGTTCGGGCAGCAGGCAGTCCCGAGGCCGTCATACAGTATTTATTGAAGGAGAAGCAGTCACAATCGCAACAGAATGCACAGTTATGGAGGCTTGTGGATAAACAGAGAGCTATGATCTTGGGCCTTAACAAAGATCTCGAGCGTGCTTTGAAAGATAAGGAGAAATACAGAAAGAAGCTAAAGGATGTAATGGCTGTCCATGATGAGCGTTTGAAGCCTGATCTTGTACAGCCAAGAGTACCTAACATCCCTCAGCTTAACGTCAACGTACCCAGGGAACAGGAACCTGACATGCCAGGGTCGCCGTCAAACCTCGATTCCGATAGCGTCAAACATTCGCCTATCGATGTATCTCTGGCACCCTATCCGATTACACCTCCAGCTGATCAACTTTCCAATGGGCTACCATCAGCAGTCGGAGAACTCTTAGACCCATCGCATGCAATGCCAAAGGCCTCTGAGCATGCGCTAGACCATTTCGATCTTGAAGAGGAAGATCGTGCTGCCGAAGAAGCTAAGAAATCGTCAGAAGCAGTTAAAGAAATTCCGATTAACCTCTCAATCCCCCCATCCCGAAGCCTTCCAAGCGTTCCGCCTCGAGTACCGCCTCCCAAACGTCCAACAACAGACACTCCTGCGGTTTCGATTATTGAGGCGACACCGCTTGTTGACCAGGGCATCTCTCAATTTCCGCCTCCGTCTGCCCCTCCACCACGGAAACCTCCGCCTGCTCCGTTACAATTGAAGAAAGAGTCAAAAGTGCCTGCCTCGATCTCTCCAGAGGACAATTTTGATTCCGATTCCGACTACGATTCATTGTTGGAAGTAGATGAGCTCCCGATCATCGAGAAACGTGGCCGGAGAAAGACTAGAGAGGAAGATGATAGAGAAAGAGAAATCCTCGCACAGAAAGAGGCTGAAGTTCGGAGTCTGTCTAAGAAGAGCAAAAACGGTAGTCAGAATGGCCTGCCTCTTGCCAAGGATACGGAGTCTTCTCAATATAGCGTTCCCGCAAACCCCCGGGCAGTTAGCGCTCAAGACTCGCTATCCCCCGATAATGGTCCTGTATCGCTCGCTGGTCTCCTAAACGATACCGATATCCGAGAGACTATAGTTCCTGCTTTCTTGAAAAGCCCAGGGCTTCCTGCAAGTCCAAGGCCAATGATGCACTCGACTCCATCGTCTCCCCGCGGCATAGGAATAGCAATGGCAATACCCCTTTCACCACGAGCTCCCAGACAACCGATTCCGCTCCCGCCTAATGCGCAGCAGATATCCAGTCCCTTGAGCCAAGCCTCTATAAAACAACCTGGCAGCACTAAGCAGATAAGCGAAGGCTCACAGCCAAGCCCCCATACAAATCGTGAAAGCCCTGTCGAAAGATCGAAGATCTATAGAGGATTCGCCACGGAGGAATATCCCGACTTGTTGCTGCCGCCAAATGCTCTCCCGTCTATCGATGTCAGGGTTGCGTCGTCTCGCATGAAGCCATCCAGGGCTAGCCTCCTGTCGCTAACACAATTGGAGGAGGACCCCGTTTTCACGTTAGCTATTCGTTTGCGGTCTGAAAGTACCGAATTATGGAGGGTAGAAAAGGACACCGCATCTCTTGTCAAGCTTGACCAAAAAATGAAGCAATGCGCATCTTTTACGGCTAAGACACCAGATAGGTCTCTGTTTAGTGGTCACTCACCCGCCAAGCTCGATGCTCGCCGTACCGTTCTAGATCATTATCTTGATGAGCTCCTGAACACTCCTCTCGATACACCTACTGCCCTAGAACTTTGTAAATACTTGTCAACCAACACTGTTCGGCCTAATGCAGACGAGCCTTCCCCCACTAATGAGCCCAGCAGTGAAGGAATTCCCCAGAAGACAGGTCCTGGAGGTAGGCCCTTTAAGAACGGCTACTTAACAAAGAGAGGCAAGAACTTCGGCGGGTGGAAAGCACGATTCTTCGTCCTGGATGGACCTCACCTAAGATACTACGAGACACCCGGTGGTGCGCATTTAGGGACTATCAAGCTTCAGAATGCGCAAATCGGGAAGCAATCTCAGCATACTAATGATGGGTCTCCAGCAAGTGGTCCGAACGGCGAAGAGTTAGATAACCAATACCGCCATGCGTTCTTAGTTCTCGAACCAAAAAAGAAGGATTCTAGTAGTCATGTGAAGCACGTTTTATGTGCTGAAAGTGACATCGAGCGTGATCAGTGGGTAGAGGCTCTGCTCCGCTGGATCGACTATCGGGATGACAACGATGAAGAGGCACATTTAGCTGCTGGCCAAGGCCGGAATCAAGCCGCGAGCAACAATTCTCACACCAGCAATGCGAATATGAATGCGAAGAAGAAGGGTCATGGGAAACATCCAGGGCAACATAGTGGTAACCAAGAAGGATTGATCGGGATGAGCTACGACACAGCTAGGCAAGGTAATATTCCGGATGGTGCTCCCTCTAGAAACCAAAAGACTGGCACACCAGAATCACAAGATAGAGTAAACGGTTCAGCTTACACCATTTCAGCCCCGAAAGATCCGCAGCTAATCCCGGATGGAGCCTCATGGGGCGGCAAGATGGGTTTAGCCCCGCCTGGTCCTACGATCGAGGAAAAGAAGCAGAGAAAGCGTAGTTTCTTCGGATTTGGCCCTAAAACTCGGTCATCAGTGGATGACCAAGACGCGTCTTATAGTTCCAATGCCGGCAATGTCCCTCAAAATCAAGTCGAACAACGAGGACCGATACGACAAGCCTTTGGTGCGCCTCTCGCCGAAGCGGTGAGATTCAGTGGCCCCTTTGATGCCAACGTCCCTCTTCCAGCAGTAGTATATCGGTGCATCCAGTATCTCGATGCGAAGAGCGCAATTCGAGAAGAGGGTATATTCCGACTAAGCGGTTCTAACGTAGTAATCAAACAACTACGCGAGCGTTTCAATACCGAAGGCGACGTCAACCTCCTCACTGATGATACATATTACGACATTCATGCTGTGGCTTCCCTGCTGAAGCTTTACCTTCGTGAATTACCTACGACCATTCTCACTAGGGATCTCCATATGAAATTTGTCGAGGTAACCGAGATGTCTAACCAGCGAGAAAAGATTGCGTCATTGGCAGAGCTCGTACAGCAACTTCCATTGGCGAACGAAACACTATTGAAATACCTCATTGCTTTCCTAATTAAGATCATCAATCATTCAGATACGAACAAGATGACTGTACGTAACGTTGGTATCGTTTTCTCTCCGACGTTAAATATCCCAGCTCCGGTATTTGCGCTACTCCTACAGAACTACGAGGGTATATTTGGTATAGACCCAGAGGAGTACGAACTCCCGTCTCCTGTTGATACGGACTCGGGCACAATAGAGACACAGCCGCCTCGGCCGCTCACAGCGACGGATTCACCTCAAAGGCGGCTAATCGAGCAGACACAGCAGCGATCAACACCTACTCCGCCGCCCGGTGTATTCGGTGGAGGGCTTCGTCCAACTGCGACACCTCCACCTCGCCAGACCTCCTCATATGAGCCACATTACTTAGCTCAACCGGGATCACAACCCTCACTTCGCCCAGCTTACGAAAACAGCTTTGTTGTGCCGCCAGGTTATGACCCAAACTCGAGGCAGCCCAGTTATGACCGCCCACATTATCCATCCTCTTACGAACAGAACCACAGCGACAATTCGTTATCGGCATACGATCAATCTTACAATAAGAGCAAAAGGAGAGAGAGCACTATGTTTATGGGGAACATGATGCTTAATCAGCAAGGCCTTAATCAACAAGGTTCCAAGAGTCATCTGAGGGAGGAAACCAGGATGTAATCACATCTAGCAAATCTAGCACATCTAGCGTCGGGACCCGCCGCCGTTTTTATGGCATAGCAATTTTTGATGATTCCACATATATAAGTCACGATTTATTACTGTTTTATATGGCTAGCGCCGATATTAGCGTCTCGTTCAAAATTCTTATTCGATCCCCTCGCCTTAAGACGATTTTGATATTTTCCGCATGCTCCAGCACGTGGCAGAGGACCACAATCTACTCTGTAACCTCATCGCACTTCAACTTCTTGAACCAAGCATTGTTCCATTGGTACAATAGCTACGGACTGGAGCCCTAGCAAACATAATACTCTAATGATACTATTTCGGATAGTCTCAAGATACGAGGCTAGAGCAGAAGAAGGGTTTAAAACGCGAAGGAGGTTGCCATTTGGTTACCCCAAATCTTAGAGCCGGGTTTAACAAAATCATACAATCAAGCTGCAGCTGCGGGAGGCAGTTCTTCTTATTAGCTTCTACAGGTGGAATATCTTGGATGACGGAATGGGGAAGAGATATCGTGGCGTTGATGGCTCTCGTAAGGGTATAATCCCCAAACATAGCATTTAGCGAATGAAGCACAAAAATTCGATTTTGTTAGAAGCTGCCTTTAACACTTTCGAGTTGAACTCCATCTGCGGTTAGAAATTTCTGACCGAAGTCTTGCATAAAATAGTCATGTGAACCGACTCTGCAGCAGCCCAGTGCGACAAAAATCTTGCATGCGCACATAAGGACTTACCATTGGCCCGGGGCGTTTTCCTGTGTTCCATCCATGTACATTCGTGAGATGGTGATACTAAACTGTGCCACGATTAACCTACCATTAGAATGTTGGCCTACTTAGAGCCTCATCTCATTTCGTAGTAAAACACAACTGAGTAGACGTTTCGGCGTTTTCAGCAAGCAAAATTCGAGGAGCACATATTGTTATTACCCAGCCTTCATTCTCGACATGTTCCGCTATTTTATATGCCTATTAAATAGTTATTTGACACCATCGTGACCTTTTTCTTTTTTTTTCTTACTCTTCTAGGTTTTTAGGGGGCTTTTTTTTTCTCGTTTCGACGAAATTGTAACTTTCTCTCCACCACCATAGACTTAACAACCCATAGGACGCCAACCGCGCTTATGTAGACCCTTGGAAGTGACTTCAAATCCGAATGGTTCAAGAATGAAATAAACCTCGTATTAGCTGCTGCCCCTTTATTTAGTCATGCCATCATAGGGTGATATCTCACCAACAGGCATTTTTACATTAATAACCCACCATCTGGCTCTTCTCTTGTTTGTAGTATACTCAGTCCGATCGATCGGCTACCGATGCAAGCAAGCACCGGCAGATCCGCCCATGGTAGTTGGCTCTTTTACATTTGTAAGGTATCTAGTATATTTAGCAACCCAAGGTCACTGTATGGGGTTTAAGTGTTGCCCCGGGCCGCATGTGATTACCGGTTCGCAACCGTGTCAACGCCGGTTGTTTGGTCGAGTTTCTGCTTTGAGAAGGATGCATCCTAGTGTGCGCCTTAGGTCAGGTCTAGACTCTATTGTAGAACCCCCCGCGGATTCCTGCTTTTCGATCCGATATATGATATTACCACCCTAAGCTGCAGCAAGGGACGTTCGGATCCGATGCTCGGTATCCTGGAACACATCTCCTGGGGGTAAGGGCCTACCTTCGTCTCCGTTGCCATGGACATATCAATCGTCGTGAATAAGCAGGGCTAAAGCAATGAAACAACGGCATACGCCACGACCCAAGGAAAGCTAGCACACCTACCAATAACACCCGTAGAAAAGACACGATACTATGTGTTGTGCTGTGCTGACAGCAAGCCACCATATCTACTCCTATTCCATCTTAGGCATTAACAAGACTATATTCTCGCACGGTATCAATATGACCTTTACGCCATCCTCGGCTGAGCGTGATAGCACAAGAGTACGATCAGGATCGCGCTACACGAGTATACATCTACCGAGAATTGACTTCGACGGATGGTCATAGATCTTCGATCCCCGCGATGCATGTTGCGACTAAACCGTTTCAGTGCGACATAAAATATGGTAAGAGTCATTCGAAAAGCTTCATATGTTCTGGTCGAGTAATATAAACTGACCGTAGCTCTAGATGGTCGAATTATCGGTGATCAATTATGCCTGTCAGTCGTGATTTGCCTATTCGTTTTGGCGCGGCCCATATCCACGAATTAAGTTGCCAAGTCACAAGGCAGGGTAATAATAGGTAGGGGTAGGAAAAGACGTCTTGTGCGTATTCCTTCTAGGTAATATCGCAATTTAGCCCCGTACGTTAGATTGAAAGCTAGAATTCAAAACCCCAGACCCTGAACCCTGAGATCTGGATCTCATACATCCCTAGTGTCTATGTCGAGGAGGGAGTCGAATTAACTAGCAAACGCGAGGCACGATTCATGATATTCAATAGGAGATTTTGGATCAAAGACCTCCTTAAGCCGGGCCGAGAGAAATGAGACCTGTCTTTTTTGTTGGGATGTTTTCTGTCGTATTCTTCATCAGCTGGGCAATGTATTAATGTCTACGGGACGATTTATAATGAATGATCGACCGCGGCTGCAGATAGAATACTTCCAAGAGGCATTCGATCGTCAAGGAGCGTCGGAGTTTGTCAGTATTGTGCCTATTATCTGGACCGGAGGCTCTCCGTGACTTAGCGCCCTTCCTCCAGAATGCTTTCTTTTTTTTCTTCTCTCTACATACGTAGGTATCTTGCCCTGCACGGTGCACGGGGTAAGAGATGATTCCTCGGAGTGGGCGCCGAGCCAATCAAGAGGATGGGCTTTTATCGGAGGCGATAATTTCTAAGAGTACTTTTGAAGAGCGGATAGACCTGTCAAGTCTCATAAGACTCTAACTGAATTTGGGTCATTTAGATACCTAACATACCTAGGATGCTCTTGGGGATGCTCTTGGGGCTTATGTAGGTTAGCAAGGTATTGGTGATATACGCGAGCTCAACTACCTGGCTAGCTGCCGAGGACTTCTCGTTTATATGAACCTTAGAGTGGCGACTAAAATTTAGCTACTTGGAGAATGATAGCTGTCAATACGTTTCATTCGGAAGCTAAAATAAGAGAATATGTACAATTTGATGTAAGTTTGAGTCAGTTGAGTTGTGTTGGCAGTCGGTCCACGAATGTGGGGGTAATTCCCCTACGAGGTAGCTGAAGAGCACTGGGGGCGGCATCGTTTATTACATACTAGGTAGGTAGTTAGGTAGGCTTAGATTCCTTCTTATTCCGCTGTATTCTCGATATGTTAAAAGGATCTCTAGATGATCATTATATTGATTTAAATTTCTATAGGTCTATTCTTATACCGCGGATAAAAACAATATACTGGTAATATACTGGTCACTTTTCAAAAATTATAGCTAACCTAACCTATTTAACATTAATATAATGGTAATAAGTCTGTAAATATAACCCTTGCTCTTAAATATATTTTCTTTACTTTTCTCCCCCCACACTTCATTTGCCACATTGCCTCGTATGCCTCGTGTGCTTCCTGTTACTAATAAGTACAATGCGAAATCATAGGCTAGGTAGTCCTAGCAGCATTTGAGGTACTCATGCATCCAGCTCTTATTGCACAAGCCACCGTCCGCGGTGTAGGTATTACAAGCTCGCTTGATAACGGCCTCAAGGTGTACTGCTGCATATAAAACTGACCACTCACGACTCGCGGAATGCAGTCCGAAAGTAACGTGCATATAAAACTACAAGCGATATAGAACTGCATTCTAATAACATATCCCTTGACAAGTACTGTACACAGGCCCTAGACAGCCCAGAACCCAGAACCCAGAGCCCAGAGCCCAGAGCATCTGAACGTGATAGCTTAATCCAAACTCTCGTCTCTTGTAGTAGACCGGTCCTTCAAAGTAACCCCAAACCTTATCACGATCATGTATAACAGGTCTGTATGGTCTGTATGTCTAGTGCAAACACACTTAATACCGAGCAAATCCCATCCCATCTAAGCGTCTTCTTCCGCCAAAATCAGTAGCCCATTGTTATGACGTCCTATGATCCCAGCATTCAGGGACCAGACCCAGTCTAATACAATTGCTCCGTCGAAGTTTACCAGCACGACCGTCGAAGTTTGCCTCAATAAGAAGACAAAAAGAATCTAGATAGTTTGCGCGACCTTTCACACACACACACACATACACACATACACATACGCTTCCTCTCTATCTCTCCCTCTTCCTCTCTCTCTCTCTCTCTCCCAGAAATCGTCCCACATCATAATTTACTACTTCATCGATATTCCATGATCAATTTCGAAAATCGTAGAAAATATCCACAACTTAACATTGCCATATTTGTACGCCAACATAACAAATCAACCCGAAGAGGCTCTATACTCGGTGAAACTAAGGAGCCATCATCATAAAAACTATCAGAATCTACAAAAGCTCGCTGCAAGCATGAATGCAGCCGTGGATACTGCGCGGAAATTTGACAATTGGTCAGAGGAGATTCCAACTTCATGGACTCCGACAATGTTCACATCACCTTTCGGTGAGAGCATCACAGCTCACGATTCTCAACTTTGGCCCAGTCCGGGTAACAATCTAGACGACTATTATAGGCCAAGTCGCCAATCCGCGCGGGAGGAATTAGTACATGATATAGATACAAGCGACAACGTAAGCAGTTATTTATTTTCTTCAAGTATCGTATTCATACCTTGCATAGTTTCCCATTTCGTATTGGGCTGTTACTTTTTCTCCTCTTCTATATGTCACCAAGTTACTAACTGGCGATTCAGTTTGATGCTGGTTATACAATTGACAACGCCGCCGTGGCAGCAGGCACGTTTGTTTACGACCAATTTACAGGCACAAATGTATCTGGACATTCTACTCACCATAATTTAGATGACCCTTTTGCTGAGCACACAAGACGATCGGAAAATGTCCAACCAAATGCCGGTGATGGAACAATATTTGACGATAGCACCATACCGGCAACTATAATATCACCAACAACAAACCGCAATCGATTTTCTTCGAATAGTTCCGAGACGAATAAGCTTTCGCCTCAATCAGTGTTAGGAATATCCCCGGCTTCTCCATCTTCAATGAACTGGATGGCGGACGGAGACGACCAACCCTCCCCTCCGTCCCCAGCATGTAGCGTCAACGCTGGTATCGACCATATGCCCCCAGTCAAGAATAGACGCAACCGTGAACGGAATCGCGTGGCGGCACACAAGTGTCGGCAGAAGGCGAAGCAGAGCATGTCGGAACTGCAGATACGGGAACGGGAGTTAAGCCAGCAAAATCGGATACTTCTAGAGCACGCCGGTAGCTTAAGGGACGAGATTCTAGATCTCAAGAATGAGATCCTCAAGCACAGTAATTGCGATAGCGATATTATCCAGAATTACATCTCGCGAGCGGCTCGCGACGTACACTGATGCGTATTGAAACTCGGTATCAGGGCGGCTAACGATTGGGGCGATAAGAGAAGTCCTCGTCGTCTTAACTTTTTCAAGTTTTGCTTTGGAGCGAGGATATCAACGAGTTTACTAAAAGAACGGAAGTAACGGGAATATTACAACCAAGGGCCCTTTTGTTTCAATAGGAAATTTCCAAGGATCTCACCTAGACCATTGGGTCTAATAATGACGACAGTTTCGTCTTAAGGCGTCAGTTGGGCTCACTAGACCTTAATTCGCCAAATACTTTCAAGCGGCACTTGAAACCTGGCATGGTATAGGGTTTATCTGGCGTTTCGTCTTTCTTTTCTCGTATGGGGCCCTAGAGGAAGTTTCGTCTTTATAGGACGTTCGGAGCCATCTCATAGTAATTGACTGCGATGAGGCACTGAATAGGTGGATGGCGACACGTTTGCTCAACTCAAAACAATAAGGACATAGGCCATAATCAATACGTTGAATTTTCAAAGCTCTGGGAATTACAAATATAGTACTAAGACGGCTTAATAAAACTTGATGAGGAGTCGTGGGTCGATATGTTTAGACTCGCGTCGTAGGAATAAGAGGTAGATAGTCTAGTTGATATGGAAATACCAGCAAAGATGCAGAAAAATAAGAATACATTGCCAACGAGGTTGAGGGATTCTTTGAGGGGATAAGAATATTATATATGCGAACGCTGCTAGGAGGTGATCATGTACCTAATGTATAATAAATTGAAAACGTGCATAATATATAGAGATCTCACCTGTCAACATATCGTCAGGGTACCCACCCGGCCCCAATTCCCAGCAGGGGATGTAAGTATCAGACGTATAGGAGAGCTTCGCGAAAAACAACCTCTCCCAAATATTCAGCTCCCATGGAATCGCAACTAAGCAGCCGGGGGAGCTAGCGAACACGACCTCGCATCTTACTATGCGTCTCTTCGTTCCATTGCGCCGTCAGCTGTACATTCGCCCCCGGTTACTTGCCGATTACTTCCCTTTTCTTCCAACAATCCACAGAAACGGTTGGCAGGGTACACAATGAGGTAATTTAAAGGGGGCAGACTAAAGACTCTAGATTGATCCCCCTACTTTTGACTAGTCAGAATAACGCTATATAAAAAAGTGCCCTTTTTAATTTGTTAATAGGTGACACTATATGTTGAAAAATATATAATTTCACAGTTTTTCAACAAAAGTTGCTTAATATATTTGATAATTAATTCTAATATCGTTTCTATAATAATGTATACTCTTTTTTTTTTAACAGTTAGAATACCAAAAGAAATAATTTAACTTATAAAAATACTTAAATCAGACCTAACTTAGAACAGGTACTTATTTTGACGCTATTCTGGTAGTGTCCGTCTCTTACATGAAGCCTATTGAGAAATACCAAAGATTTTTACACTGGTTAACCTCTTCCGCCTCTTACGGTACCGCTATTTATAGGTAGAGTGAGTACTATATACGTCACAATTGCCGCTTCTGGAACCGTGTTAAACACCCACAAGTCCTTCAGTTCATGAAATTTAACCTCAATTCTTTATTATCACGAAATAGTTCCAAGGGATCCTATGTGGCTACTTGACAATGACTCTTATCATACTTAACCATCAATGTAATATCGATTTGTACAGAGTATATGACAGGTGTTTTGTAAGTAATTCCCGTCTAATATATATCGTTACACCCCATTCCTCATGAACGCATCCGGTCTCTTAACTTAGCAAGCTTACACCCGGGTCAACGAGCCCATGCATCGTGAAGTATTATTGTAATCGCTGCGACAGACAGCTTCCAAGGTCTAGACCGATATGCTAGCATGTTCGCGAGGGTAAGTTATCTATATGTATGAGAGCTACTAGCCGGTCGAGATGTTTTATTTGACAATGATTGGCTCTGTACACTATATATAGACAAGAATCAGTTTATAGTGTGGATCTAATAGCGCTTGAATATATTAGCTGAGTATCAGAATATGTCATCACGACGCGGAGGCGACACCCATGACATTTTTAAAGGCAAACCCCACGACAGGCCAAAATTACACGGGATTGTCTCATACATCCGTATCGCTAATGTAAGAGAGTAACATTTCGAGAAAAACAGGAATAACAGCAGCCATTTCAATTATGCTCGTGCTGTTTTTTCCCCAGCGCTCTCAACCTCTCCCCCCAAACCCACAAAAGTAACGGCACGGGGAGACCTAGAACAACGAAAATGAATGCTAAGAGGCTGTTTCCCCAGCCGTAACCTAAGCTATCATACAGTTGAGGAGCAAATATTGGAAAGACGAATCCTAGTATGTTAGATAGAAATTTCGTGGCGGCATTCGCCGAGGCACCCTGCTCGCCAAACATATCAAGAGTATATGCCAGCAGAGCTTGAGCTAGAATTGAGCTCCCACATGTGAATATGATAGCGCCAATGTCAACCATGACCCAAGAAATACGGTATTCTGCTGACCAACCGTACCAAAAGAGCCCTATGGGAATAAAGAGGACTCCGGGAATCATATACGGAACGCGAAACTCCGGCCGATCCTTACCCTTATTCTTCGGTCGATCTCGTAACCGCCTATATATAATGTCCACTGTAATAACCAAAGTCAGAAATTGCCCCTAATAGAAAGCTCTCGAGGAATAACCCAACGTACTAATTCTTGCCCCTATCTGCGCCGTCATACAAAAGCCAATCGAGAAAGATAGGTAGTGTAAACTGCTAATGAGGGCGGACTGTCCGTACCAATCGATCCAGAGCGTTGCAAAAGTTGAGAGCATTAATGTATAGATACCAAAGTTCAAAGCAAGGACGAGAGATATGACTTGAATGATTGGTCGCCGGATAAGGAGCCGAAGCGGTCGTCGAAGATAGATCGCTAGCCGGGAGAAAAAATCTTTCCAGAATGCCCATTGCTGTGGAGATAAAGCTGGCACGGCCGACTCGGATCTTGCGACCGCCTTTCGACGTAGCAGAACCGGGGTGTAGGACTCTTTGATGATAAATGCCCCCAATAAGACTATGACTGCGTCGAAGATGCTTACGATCCAGAAGAGCCACGGCCAGTAGACAAGCTGTACAACGACCCCGCCGACGATAGGACCTAGAGCCGGACCCAAATACGGAAGAAAAGAGGCTATGGCAAGTGACTTACCACGATCTTTTGCGTGGTACATATCCGCCATAACAGGACCCGTAAGCTAATAGAACAAGAGAATAAGACTTCAACGTATTTTCCAAGTAAATGGGCAATAATTATACGTACTATAATACCGGCTCCCGCGCCCGTCGCAGCGAGAAACCTACCGGTAATCATCAGGCCTGTAGATTTTCCCACGGGGCAAAGCGCATTCCATAGGATATACCAAGCGTTGCTGATGATCCAGATGTTCTTCCGACCATTCATCTCTGCAAGAGCAGCTATAAAGAATGGGCCAATCCCCAACCCGAGGAAGTATATGGAGAGAGTGATCTGTGAAGTCGACGCGTCGATGTTTAGATCGCGAGATATGCTACTAAGGGCCGCTGCCATTATGCTGGCTGACATTAAAGTCACGAGCTGGCCGACAGAGAAGATAACACCGATTGAGACCTTCCGCCACTCGGGCCAGTTGTATGGATCGTTAGGGTCATCGGGCCCGTCCCACGTTGCTCCGTATAGTTCGTGTAACCGCGCGAGACGCTTCTCGGCTTCGGCATCTTGGTTTACAACTTGCGCTTCTAGCTGCTCCGGCAAGCTCTCGGTTAGAGGCTCCGAGTTGGTCATCAGACCGCCTTCTTTCTTTTCGCCGGAGGACATTGTTGATTATAGTTATAGGTACATAAGGTCTAGCCAATAGGATAGGCAATATAGTTTAGGAGGCTGGACGACTCGATTCTTGTGTCCGTGAGTTATTATATACTCATAAATATCTACGTACGTTGATATTATAATCACACCATTATCCAGAGAAAAATGCAATAACACCAACACCGTACCCTGCTTTCCGAGTGACTCTTACTCTTGACAAGGGCCTAGCTTGATAGCGTATGAAATATCCACAGATACAGCCGCTCCCAACGAATCGTACGGCATGTCATTTCACCTCCGTAGCCGGGTGTAGGTTCTATAGGGAAAATTATCAAGCCATCCTAGTATAAGCAACCTAACATATTATAACCATCTACAGTAGCTGCCTAAAATTGACGATAGTGTCCCGAGGTCGCTAGTTTTACCATACCTTGCTCGGTCCTATGGGGAAAATAAGGGGAAATCAAGAGACTCCGGAATTCCTTCCCGAAGGCTTAACGAGAGTACGCTAGACAGGGGTTGACCCCAAACCATCCAATAGACTTACATTAGGGGATCTGATAAAGTCCCTTGGCATTAGCCAGTAGCACCGGCGGTCTACTAGTGCCATCTGATAAGCTTTTTTTGACCGGGATTCATTGTGGGACTTTGGTCGGAAACTCCAGAGCTAATGCAAATGAGACCCGAAGAAGGCAGGTAGCGTGACTAGGTACGTAAAGACGATGGTAAAGACTGGCATATTAAAATAAAGGTAGGGCTCGGAACCCGCGGACTGCTCAGTGCTCATAGAGATTATCATTGAACTAGAAGGGCATAACATATAAGACTGGAGATAGCGAGACGGGTATAAGAAAGCTTGTTGGTCATAACAAGCTCGCATCTTTATACCAAATTAGTAGAAAAGAATAAAGTGGGCTAGTATAAAACCCATTAACTACATAAGATACCTAACCTATGTAGTTAATATATAATTAAATCTTTTAAAGTTACCACAGAAGCACCTGTTCACTACCTATGTGTTGGATACGTGAAATGAATGTCTAAAGCCTTTTTTTTTCTTTTCTTAAGTTGTCATCCAGCGTAAGAACGTAAGACTTCAATTTCAAAATTCTCCAATAAACAAAATAAGTAGTAACGAACGTCTTCACCGCAGAGCCAGCTCAAGTTGGTTGGTTGGTTAGTTAGTATATTTAACGCCGGGGCAAGGAGGAAGGACCGGCCCTCGCAGACCTCCCCAGGGTTATGCGGCGTGCAGACCTATCTAAAGGCTAATATATACTATATTAATTTCCCGATATCTTATAAATCTAACCTTAAAAGGCACACACACGATGATGTTCCAGCCGTTCCTATTGGCTCCTCTAGGTGAGCTCGTGGTTTGGTGCAATATTGATGTTCGGGGGTTGCCCTCTGAGGTACTGTTGGTTCACTCTCAGCCATTTTATATCACGCCTTCGTAGGTGTGAGGCCTGTCCTAGCCATGAACGCTATCCTATTGCGGTTCGGCTTAGAGCCAGCTCAAGTCATAACCTAAGTGGGGAGGCTTTAGAACACGGTAGAAAATATTAAATGAAAACCTTGAGAAAGAGATAAACCCCCAGTTAAACTCTTAGAGTATAGCGGGTACTCTACTTCTTGTCTCCGTATCCGAACAGCATCAGGGCTTTGACGTAAAACATAACTACCTAAGGTGTCTCCTATCCCACCTACCCTCCAACGTTATGTGAACGTACTATTTCTTAATGAACGGAGACGATGTCGATGATAAGTTGGCGGGCCTGGCCAATGGTTAATTCATTGATTTCGTTTTCAAGTTGAGATTCCACGACGTTCCATGTTTACTCGTTAAAACTGAAGCCAACTTCAATCTCATTATAATCACCTTTTTAAGAAACGACGTTGTACATTTTCTGTTCGATTTTATAGATTGTATAGACTGTGCAAGGCTATTAGCAATATTACATTGGCAATCATAGCTTGCTAGAGCGTATATAGATTTACATACCTATAAATTATCTATTCATCCGTCCCTCGGGAAAATTATGTCATCGCATATTTGCTTGCTTACCTTGGTTACTCAGAATTATATTCTGTCTTAATCACATATCTTGTGTTTAGTACAGAAGAGTCCAAGATCGGGGTATTTCTGGTGCTTAATTGACAAGCCGCTGACCACGATGTGGTACAGGGTCTAAGTTTTCGTGTCTCTATAGGAATAATTAACCGAAAATGTCTTACCAACTTAACATGTTTCGCTCCCGTCTTTCTCTCAAAACTTGTGTAATAAGTGGCTTCTTAAGTGGTCACTCTTGGCAGATCACATCGCATATGCAGAACTCCGTGTTCGTAGTACGCCACCAGTCTCATATATCCAACATTAGGGAGTCTTCTACCTGAATCAGATGAGACCCACTATAGAAATGCAATGCCTAGAAACCATCATTACCTAAGAGATCTTAAGTTTGACCGTTATGATTCTAGACGAAACATCTAGAACAAAGGATAACTTTAACATGTATAGCCACGAGCTCCCATAGCATGGTGTATAGTTCCCTATGAGGCAACGAACTTATCCTTGTATCTTCTAGTCACACCAACCTCTGATTCAAGCATTGAGACAGCCAGTATACAATCCCTTGAAGGATCAGATCATCCTATTCCACGCAGTCAAAATTTATTTGTGGCTTGATAATTTGATGCAGCTAAAATATTTTGTATTTAGGTTCTACCGCGTGATTTACTACTTTCTTCAGCCAATACTATGCCAGAATACGAAAGGGAGGCCGACGAGGCTTTGATGCTGATTATAGCTTGACCGCCACTGGCTTCACCGACTGACGTGACTTTACCTCCGTGACAGAGGCTGTTTATCACGTCAGTCTACGTTGATTCAGATGTTGATCAAAGAAGATGGTTATGTGCGACAAGATAGGTAATGCCGCCTATGTACTCAAGTCAAAGTAAACAGCCGTGTCCCAATTATAGGTAACTATAAGATTTAACTTCTCACGTATAGTTGATTTTTACCTTCCAGTCTGGGTATGACTGTCGACTTTAGTGAATAGATTAACTGACCCTACGTTTTCTTCGACCGCAAACTTACAGGGTATTTCCTTAGATGTTTTCAAAGGATAATAATCATACCGGGCCTCGCCGGCTTCATCGGGTATATCCAGTGCTTATTTAGTGGATCTCCGTCCCCAATGCTACCGAGAATCGACCGGCTTTTGGAAGTATGTGACTGGGTAAAACTTGGGCAGCTCAGCACAAAGTTCCATTCTACTCACAACCTCGCACAGGCTGCGATAAGCCGACAAGTTTGCGGCTCCGCGGAAAAAGAAGTGAGCGTGATTGTGACGGACCTGACGCTTGTCCAGAACGAATATAAATCTAGCAACTCGCGAGGTTTGTCCCGTTCGTCTGTCGGATCTAACCCTATTGGATATTAAAATTCCCGCTGCCCCTCTGTCTCTGTGTAATTTCAAGTCCAACAAGTATCAGAAACACAATGGGGATCATACCCATCCCATTCCATCTACTCGGAACACGAGCGGGAATCTTCCGGGGTGTGCTCTTGACAGCTACCGCGGCTACCGCGATATATCTATCAGCCGGACTCGTTCTACAGTCTAAAGGGGTCAAGAAACAGCCTATTACGCCATCTCCCCGGACAAGAACTCTCCCGACACTCTCAGAGGAGGATACTTTAACCCTCCCATATCCGCCCGACGCCCTTCCTGGAGGGAGAGATGTAGAGACTCCATACGGTTCAATACGGGTCTATGAGTGGGGTCCCGAAGATGGGGAAAAGGTCCTTCTTGTTCACGGCATTAGTACGCCCACAATATCGTTAGGAGATCTTGGGCATGAATTTGTTGGTAAAGGGTGCCGTGTTATGCTCTTCGGTAAGTTATAGCCTCTCTTTCTTCCTGACCGTTGTATTGTAGATATATTACCTAGAAGAGAACAGTCTTCTTACCATTTCCCTTGTTAGATCTCTTTGGTCGCGGATATTCGGACGCGCCTAGTGACCTCGCTTACGATGAGCGACTTTACGTGGCGCAGTTTCTATTGGTCCTAGCATCATCCAAGCTACCCTGGACAACGTTCAACCTTGTAGGATACTCTCTCGGTGGAGGCCTTTGTGTCTTATTCACAAGATATTTCCCGCATTTAATTAGCTCGCTCACATTGGTAGCCAGCTGTGGTCTGATTCGGCCATATCATGTTGGTTGGAAGAGCCGGTTGCTCTATAACTCAGGATTCCTCCCGGAGTTCCTAGTGAAAATACTAGTTCGAAGGAGGATACGGCCGAAGGCTGAGCAGCCGCCCGGTGCTATAGGTGGCGCCGATATCGCGTCTGCCGAAACTGAAAAGCACTTACCGAATGGAGATAGCGATGCTAATGGTGGCGCCGGATTTAACAGTACGTCCATCTCTAAATTTCGGCCGAAAGTCACTGTGTCATCGGTCGTGGGATGGCAGGTTGATCATCACGACGGGTTCGTTACCGCATTCCTCAGCACAATTCGGAACGCCCCTATTTATGCCCCCCAGCAAGACTGGGTGGCCTTACATAAGATTCTTAAGTCCAGGAGACGATCCGAGCATGACAAAGAAGCCGGCCCTGTTTCGGGACTCCGTGCCGGGAAAATTCTAATGATACTCGGGGAGGATGACCCTGTTGTCGTCAAGGACGAGACGATAGAAGATGCCCAAAATATGCTCGGATATGATGGAGTGGAAATTGCTGTTTTACCTGGAGGCCATGAGATACATATCTCGGCTAGTTCCCGTATTGCAACTACGGTAGAAGCCTTTTGGCGTAAACAGTTGGCTTGAGGAGGCTCTGTCGTTCGTAATGCATTGGATATTATTTAGGAGTAACCTTAAACAGACTATCTTTACTAGGACCTAGAATTAGTTAGCTATAGAAAATAAGTCCTTATTAGCTATTTAGCCCAGGTGATGCGTCATTTAACTCTGAGAAGAGTCCAGCAATGAGTTCCCTCAAATGACTGACAAAGGCACAAGAAGTTATTCGTTTGTAACCATCGATTCCTCCTCTTTAAAGAAGAAACCATAAAGGTAGATAGACGTGGAGGAATATGTCATACATATAATAGACATGGTCGCAGCATGACTAGCAAGTAAATAACCTAAGGGGGTTAGCTTTATAGTCACGCTTCGTTCATGATTTTCGAAGACTCCAGCCCTCCACATGTGTCCAATTATAGTCTTTCAGCTGTATCTATAGCAAAGCACTGTACTCCATACTTGACTATTGCATTATATGCAACTCCGATGGGCAAGTTGTTGCCATTACACAATAGCGTGCTAAGCGGTAGATATACTCTTCATGTAGTTAATTTTACATAACACTAGCCTCACTTGACCTAACAGCATGTCTGTATACTTCGAAGCTCATGTACGCTGACCGGTCTGTAAAACAGAACGCCATTTAGGAACAGGGCAATAACAACTGTCCTTACATACTGTATGTGCGTCGACCCACTCCTATAGGACCTTCAAGCGAGGTAAGACGCTCCCGGGAGACAATAGCTTTAACTCAGTCTTTGCTCACTATAGTACCTAGGTAGGTATGATATGCTGCATGGGTGATTCGCTAGCCGTTTCTTGGGCCGCACGCCAAGTTTATTGGCGTCGGCTTTGAAGGGTAATTACCAATCGTATCAAACCCCAGATAGTTGGTGGTGTGGACATGGTAGCATGTCAACATGCATGTTACCACGTAGTAGTGCGTATCCGTCCTGTCCGAAAACAATCTGGGGATTGCTTACTGATTGCTTGCTGCCCATATGGCCTATTATATGTGTTGTTAACTATCAACCCCAAGGGGACGCTGGCTTGGCGCCGGCATGACCACGACTGGTTGCTTCAACGGGCTATAGTGTGTAAAGATTATGTTAGATCAACGTCTAATATCCCGAGTTGTTCAGAGACGCGTAGACCAAGAGCGGAAGGAGTAAATAGAACCTTCTAATATCCACAGAGGATATGCATGACACGTTGCTATGTCCACCTCCTGTCCATCTTTGACGTATATGGTTTGGAACGCTGGGGTCGAGCTACATAGGAGGGCGCTGGATACATTAGGGGGGTACTTAGCCATTTAGATAAATCGAACGTTTGTAGATCGGACGATAAATGTAAGTCGAATATAAAATATAGTATCTTCAAATGTGATAGGTAGATTACTAGGGACTTCAATGAAACGCGGTAGCACGACCGGACTATAAACACCATTTATCGTGCGTAAGTCTAAAGAGAGAACATGATGATCCTAACCTATACAAGTCAACGATTTACCTCTCAGGGATCAAGTCACCGGGAACCTTTAGAGTTCATCCCGACAGAGGTGCGATGCAGTTGGAAAGTATAAGTAGGTACCTCTTAAAGTTCAGGGATCTTATGATGTAAGTTAGTCCTTTAGTATAAGGAAATTACATCAAAGATGTATGTCAGATATTGTCAGATAGTTATAGCGAGTTTAATACATAGGTACATGGTAGGTACATGTACATGTAGGGATGCCCCTTTACCCCGCAATTCCTTTTTAAGTTCTGGATTGCAGGTGACGTAAGTGAACAAATCAGAGGTAAATCAAAAGTAGAACATATCTATGAATCTGTTAGCGTTATCAGTCGTTTCATACCTGCTGCTCCCGCGAAACTCTAATCTCGCCTTAGCAGCTATCCTTTTCTGCATTTGTAGGTACCTAGGTACCTAAGTAACTTAAAATGTTCTCTGGTGGGGCAAACTAGCACATACGCCAGTCTTTTTAAGTGCGCTAGCGTAGAGCTGTTTTAACTAGCCAGCCAGTAGGTTCCCCCCCCCTCAAGCTAGTGTTGTCGATCTTTAGGTTCTATTCGTAGCAGGTTCCAAGAATCTGTATTAACTGAGTAACCCCATGCTTACAATTGCTGCAATCGTTTACAATTATCTGCAATGTCCATCCATCGCGACTGTCTAGCTCCATATCGATCCTACCATATCTAAGATTCTAACAAACGGTACCTTTCATTTAATTCGCCTTCTTCACACCTCTTTATATTTCCATACCTACTTCGCCAAATCACCTTTTTGCCCAACTTCAAAATCCTGTCCAAGCTGGTTCCCTATCCGGCGTTGCATTTCCGTTATCCTACTTTCGGTAATAATAACAACTGTTGAAATCGACGCCATCTAGAAGCCTGGGAAGCTTGGATTACCCCGCTTAGTTAGAGCATCTTCAAAGAGGATCGAGTCAGTCGATGCTACACGGGTGAGCATCGTCGCTTCAATCAGCAAGACACTTTCTTTGATAGTCTGTGCATTGGCGTCCTATTGCTTCAAAGAGGAAAAGAAACGGCTGATCGTATTGTCATCGCCACACCTATCAACCTAACTACCTCTACCGTACTATACTTCCTTGTCTTCTAACCATCCATATCATTCGTGATATTGCCTACCACAAAGGAATATATCACTATCACATCTTGTTTCATTTCTTTGACTATTCTGCTGTCTTCCGTCTCTTTCCCACCTCGATTCTGTGTTCCAATCGCCAAGTCGATCATCCCACACAGCAAACCTCAAGGTTTCACTTCTGCTGCTTCTATAACGCCACATCATACCACCGTTCCAGTTGAAACACGCATCGTCCATACATCGTGCGACTAAACCAATTACTAGTCAACTACATAAACCCGAAAATTTTCAACGCTCTTCAGCTAGCCATCCTCCCCATCCTAATTTAAACAACCACAACCAGATCATTTACAAATATCAACATGTCGAACGATAACACTAGTGGCCCTTCTAACGACCGCCGCGGCTCTGTTACTTCTGCTGCATTTTCTAGTCTCTTCCAACGAAGCAATTCGACCTCCACTGGAACTGGTAATGGCCGCGAATCGGTCACATCGGCGGCGGCTAGAGACCAACGTCGACGGCTATCCGTCACTACGGTAGGGCTGTCTGGGACGTCACCCAACTCTGGAAATGCTACGTTCGGAATGCGTAGAGGCAGTATTTCCACCAACAACTCAGATTCAATTGATGAGAGCGCCATTGATGACGAGGAATCCGCCAAGACAGGAGCTACTTCTCCTTTCGCTCGTCGTATTAGCTTCGGCGCCCAGGCTATGCGTAATCTGCGTACTGGACCTGGAAGCCCTGGATCAACTGGTAGGACTCCCCAGCAGTCGAGACGTATTTCTAATGCAAATACACGTGCTGCACCCTCCAGTGCCTCGTCCGCCTCAGTTGCGGCGAGACGAGCAAGCACCCCTCAGGCAAGCAATGCATTACCTTACAGAGCCCCTTCTGACATGTTTTCTGCTCGGGCAGATAATGGATACAACTGGCCCGAGCAGCTTAGATCACGTGCCGAAAGCACTGTACAAGGTCACCGACCGAGTTTTGGACCTCATAGATACGGTTCGCCACCTCACGGGAGCGGTCAACATGATCGCTCCAAATCTATTTCCGAAATGCCAGCTCCTCCTCAACAAGCTGCCGCTGTAAAGCCGAAGCAGCCAGAAAGACCTAAGCCAGACCATATGCAAGAGCGCATTCTCAAGGGCGACTTCTATATGGATTGATTATGATTGGTCTTGTATAGGGGAGTTTCCTACATTGATTTATTTGATGTGTTTTGGGAACCAATCCTCTCAAGCTAATCTTTACAGGTTCGTGGTCACTCATAGGACCACGGGCCATGCGCTCTATCTGCTGTATTTCCTTTGCACGCCGTCTCTTCAACCTACGTCATTCGTTTCGACGATTTGTTTCTACGGCGTTGAGATGGGGAAATGCGGGGGGTAACCGGATAAATTGTCTTCTCAACGCATACCTAAGCGCAGCCAAAGAAAGGCAGTATCGCTTGTGGGGATGACGTGACATTGAGAGAATCCAGGGCGTTTTCCCAGATGATTTGTTTGCCCTTTGCGGCCTAAGATCAGCATTATAAAGACTTCAAAGCTCTTGTGCGAACAGTTACCAGAGCTCTACGACCTAATTGCACTTTTATGATATTGCGATTCCAAGTTATGTCATTGTAGGCATTGGAGAGAGTTAGGCATACCTTAGGTATGTACGCGGATATTGACAATGGTATCATTTGACGAGGAGATTTTTGGAAGCTGGTTCCTACACATTGTCTCTGCGTGGGTTTTACAAAGCTAGCTAAGTTGCATTATTCAGACTGAAAATAATTTAAACAAATTCAAATTGGAGCTGGTTTGGCAATGACTGCTTGATAAATTAATAATAATAGCAATTCGATTTTCTATTGATAAGTGAGTCTTTTACGCTACCTCTTAAAACATACCAGAAGAACGCGCAATCATTTGGACTTGGTTCAAACGTCGCCCATACGCCCGACCCAAACACCTCCTGTCCGCGACCTGACAGAACCTAAGCTGATAGAAAAGAGAAAAGCATTACGCCAGTTCACCATAAGTAATCCCGTCACGCGAGTATATATCCGACTCCCGAAAGAAAATCCTAGCTCCGACGCCTTAGTAAGCAAGCTGTGTGTCCGTCTGTGTATGTAGCGTGTAGATATGTAGGCACATGCGTGCAGTACTGCAGTAACGATCGGTGAAATAACCCATAAGAGGCGGAGTAGCGACAGTGAAGTGGAGAGTCGCCAAAACGTCCATTTTCCCCTTTTCGTTCTTTTTTTAACGTATCTTTCACCCCGTCTTTCTCTTATATTCTTCTTCGTCTCTTCTCAACGTAGATTTAGAGAGCGGGTAGGTATAATATCGTAGTAGTAGTACAAGTGATTCGGTTCCTATCAAGATGGTTTTAGAACTGGAAGAAATTCCCATTAGGACCGTTTTGGGGTGGGGGGGCTGTGGCAAAGCCCTCGGATACTGGAAGGGGCCCGAGCATGTCGTTCTGCATCATGTAGCGCATAGTGTCCTCGTACGAGACCGGGTCGCCGGGGCTGCCACCGCCAAATCCCGTTAGGGTGAGCCCGAGAGCCTGCTCAAACCCGTCTCCGAGACTACCGTAGTCAAAATCATTAAGTCCGAATGGCGAGGCCATCCACGGCATTAACGATTGCTCAGGTCCCGGTCCCATTTGTAAATTCCCCCTTGGTGTCGGACCACCCGTCGGGTCATACATAAAGGGCTGGTGGGGCTGCGGTGTCGCGCGCAGCCACGCTTGAAACGCCTGTGTGTTGTTACTATCCACACCGGGCGGAGGCGGATTTGAGCCGCTGTTACGTGGTGGGCCGTTCCCGGTTGCTATTTCTGAAAGTAGTTGGAGTGGGGTGTTCGTTGGTTCGGGATTTGACTGAGGTTGATGTTGTTGCTGTTGTTGTTGCTGATGTAAATGTGTGCCTACGTCGTCACTATTATCGTCCCTTGGAGATACCGACCTCTTAGCGTGATGAGCCGCCACAAGCTCAGACTCTTCATCGCTTTGGCCTGGCTTGCCTTGGGCCTGGCCTTGCCTATAAAACCAATTACGCAACATGGCCAAAACAAGTAGGAATTTGCTAGCAGGCCGCGACTTATCCGATGCGGCAACCTCTCGAAATTTCTCCAGCAGTTTCTCGAGATACTCAGCAACCTTCATATTGTCCTTGTTAATGACTTTGCCTAATTCGGAATCCGAGTTGCTAGCGCTGAAATACATTTTTATCAACACGACCACGGCATAAGCAACCCGAACGAAACTAAAGATCGGGATACAACGGATACTATGGACGTCCATAGACAGGAAGGTCTCGAAGATGCCATCAATGGCGGTAAGACATGACGATAGAGCGCTGATATGCGACGGGGTTAGAGAGTCGTCTAAACCTGGAATTGGTTCCCGAAGAGAGTCAGCATTACACGGAGGTCGATATTCCTCTACACTCTTATCAACGTGCAATGCGATTTCGTGCATGTACAAATTCAGTACATGGAAGCCAAGTACAAGGGATGCTGCTGAAGGTTAGCTAACACGACAACCCAGTTGGAACTGATACCGACGTACGTCTCTTTTCTGATTTGGGGATAGATTCGCTATACTTGGAGAGGTCACGTTCAAATCCGCGAAGAGCATACTGTACTTTTTGCTCTGAGACATTAACGAAAACACTGGGATCGTCCATTGAGAACTGGATCCCTACGTCCTCGGCGAGTCGGTGCGTCCAGACAAGATGGCAGAGGTACCTATCCGTGGGTGCCGCATCTGGAGAAGATTCTAGGATATCCATACATTCGGTCATAAATGACTGCCATCTAATCAGGTTCGGACGGTGCAAAGCCATGGATACGTTCGAAGAAAGGAAGTAAACTGCAAGCCACGTCCGTCGTGCTTCGATCGAGGTAGGGTCCGGAAGGGGTTGTTTCCTGAAAGGATGGTCACGCCAGGTATACGGTACGAGTCGCGACTTTGGATTATACTTCCTCCGACCCAAGCCAATATCGATTGACATGACAGCCGCCAAATGTACAAACTGATAGAACTTCAACTCTTCGAAATGCTCAGGTGGATAATACCAGATGACGCTGACGAGGATCGACTGAACCAATTCTAAGGATTTTTTGCCTGTGATAATGATATGATCGGCGAATATCTGCATGATCTCCTTAACTAGCTGACGTTGAAGCTTCGGCGTTTCGGATGAGGCAGCCGCGATAATAGCGAGAAATAGGATCGGCTTCGTCTTACGAATTTCGGTAGCAGTCGTGCCTTCGGGAAATACGACTGCCGGTAGATGAGGTACCATATCTTCCATATATCGGGTGAAAAGGGCGGTAGCTTCGCTCATAGTTATTAACCCACGATCGATTATATCTGGCGGCTGCTGCTCTGACCCAACGCCAGACTTAGGTGCTGCTGGCGAAGCGCTGGCCACACCAGGGGAACCGGATATCGAGTCGGTGAACTTTCGTTTCTGACCTGCCATAGTTGTCGGTGGTGCTAATGGACGCTTCTCGGGCGAGGCAACAGGATGAGATTGTGATTGAGGTTGGTGTTGGTGTTGGTGTTGATGTTGATGTTGATGTTGATGTTGATGTTGAGTTTGAGTATCTCGAGGCGGAGCACCCCAATCTCTTGCGGGTGCGGTATGATTGTATCCGAAGGTATGGTCCTCCGATGGGGGCGGGTGAACGGCATTGTTAGGTGCTCCTCTACTCGCCTGGAGGCTTGCAGTCAAAGCATCTATTTTCTTCTCCAGTTCTGCAACACGACTATCCGTCTTTTTCTGCCTCTTACGTGTAGGCTGCGTCACGATGCAGTTCCTCCCTGCCTTTGCGCATCGCTTGCATGGTCCGTCCGGGTTTGCGGGATCGGGTTCACATTTCACTTTTAACCCACGACAAGCTTCACAGGCTCGCGGCCGCTTAGGATCGTTCGGATCATGCGCCGCATTAGGGGTATCACTATTGGCCGAATGCGAATGGCCGTTCGGGGTTTGAGGGGTGAAGCCGGTCGTAGAACCTGGCGGCGATGGACCAGCTGTCTGAGCTTGAAGCTGCTGTTGAAGTGGTGAATCGGGAAGTTCTGGTTGTGTTGATACTTGAACTGGTGCAGGTCCTGATGATAATGACGATGATGTCGATGTTGATGTTGAAGCGGGGATTCCTGCGACGGCGATTTGAGATGATAGCGTATTCGTTGGACCGTTGACGACAATTGAGTCCTCACCAGCATCACGAAGACGTGGGTCAAGTGAAGCTGGATCCATCTCGAACTTTTTTCTTTTTCTCCGCCCCCCGAAAAAAAAGGTCGAGATGCCCGCTTACCGGCTTAGTGCTAGAGGCTCACACGTACAATTGCGTACAATGTCGCAATAGTAGATGACCGACTCGGCGGTTGTAACGGTCAACATAACACCCGGCGGCCGACGGTATGAGATGTACATGGGAGGGAAATCAACGGGTAGGAATTTCGTCGACGAGTGGCTGGGCTTTCGAGAGCCTTGGGGCCTTGGGGCCTTGGGGCTTTGGGTCTTTGGGTCTTTACTTGGTGCTACAAAGAACTGGGGCAACCCGTTCTGGTTCCACTCTTTTAACCATCTTAGAGGCAGGAGGTACCTAACCTATGACGGACTTCACCTTAGCAATTGCTGCCTTTCCACTGTATTTAGGTACTTCCATTGTCATAACCCGATATTCTTCCGAGCTATTTTACCCCCTTTCTCTTATTGACAAGAGGTAGGTATCTTCAAACTTGAATGTTGTGAGAAGTTCTCAAGTTAGTTATCTTTCATATATTTCATGATGCATTTTGGATTCAGTTTTGGCTAGTTGCTGCCGTCATCAGATCAACGTATTTGCATGTAGACTAATACCGTTAATCCCGAGTGCTGACAAACAACCATCATCGTCATATTTCGTGCGTAACTCAAACAACCCCACATCATCATATTTAATTCAAAGATCAGTTAGTCTGTATAAGAAACCTCCCGACTTGAAAGTGTTACGGACTCAGTTTTAGAAACAACATATACCAGGTTAATATGCGTTTACTAAAGAGCAGCAGCTGAATAATAGATCCTACTACTTTGTCAATTATAATATCGTAACTAGCCTATAATAGACTGATGCACATACTATAATTATTTCTGGAACAACAAGACAAGCGAAGCTCTCATATACTTTAATACTTTATGTTCAATATAAATAAATGTTGCAGAAATCTCTCTCAACCAATGCCTATTCATCCATTATGAATTAAACTAATTATTGATAAAACATAGTGACCTACTAAAGCTTACCTTGATAGGAGTGCTGATTGAGACACAACATATGTTAAAGTATTTGAATAGTTCCGTATTCCTTAAGGTAAAGGATAGGACAATATATAAATCTTACCAGCCTAGCATTAGAAAGAGATTATATTTAGATAGAGATTATATCTACCTATCTACTATACATTGGCATTGCCAATATTCCAACATACTACCTTGATCTGATACGGTTAACTGTCAATAAATAACCGTTAATAATGCAATACTATTAAACTATAGTCAAATGTGTAAAAAAAAAATTCCATAACCATTAAATGCCCAAGGAAAATTCCTACTAGGTACCTAGGTAGCATGTTACTTACGGGTGGCCAGTACAGCCAGAAGAGATGATCGCCGATATCAGCTCGGTGTTACGGGATTAAACCGAGGGCTCTTATGTAAAGAATCAACTAAAACTAAAAGCAATGCGAAGAAGATATAGGTATAGGATTGGGTCGGTGTAATGAGAAATTCGTCCGAGACTATGGCGACTATGAGATTCTAGGTGTACGTTATATTGTACGGCAGTAATACGACGGAGGCAAGCTGGAAGAGCCGGTTACAATATGTTTCTTTCAGCAAAGTTGTTATTGTTCTACATACAGACTACCTTCTTGAGTCATCAAGAAACACGTAAACAGGTGCTGTGGCGTAATTGATTGAGTATTTGACGAAAGAGTGACGCTGCAGAGAAGATCATCATACCTACTTAATTTATCTGTCCATTGTTAGAAGCACCCGGCTGCATGAGACATGTCCGGATTGGGAGTAGATACTCGTAATATCGTGGGACTACGCCACCAAAAGTACCTCATATGTGCTTGTTCGAGGTTCTTAAAGCTTGTAACTATCCGTTATTGGGCTACAGTAGACTATTTGGACATTTAACCAACAAGCTGGAAGTACCGTATCATGAAAGATACGTCTGCCAAGCTCATTCCATGATGTCTTTAGAGCTAACCCTTGGAGTATGTATGTAGTTTTTTTTCTTAGCGAACTCCACGACTTGCTGATAACATTCAAAACCATCTTAAAAGAACTTTGGTATTACCCGTAGTTATTCAAATACAGTCTCTACCAAGATTACAAGGCATAAGCCCTAGTATAGATAGCCGTGCGCAGGTCACAAGGACTCGGGAGAAACATTCACGAAACGGATGAAGGTCTGTTTTATGCGTAGGTCTCAGATCTGTTTGCTCGTTACCCTTCAGTTCAATCATTACCATATATGCACGTAAATAGGGTGCCGCTATGACATTTCACCTTTTCGGTAATACCAAATTTGCCTAGTAGATCTTAGCCGCATTCAAAATTAAATCCCCCGGGTTGTCCGATGGGTACAAAGCTGATGCACGTGGATATGGGCTGACATGTCATATTGGACCCCTGGCTCACTTCCCTGGAGATGAGTACCGCCCTTTTGAGTACGGGGTGAAGATAACGAATGGTACCCGGGTATTACCGTAAACGGGTAGCGAAACAAAATTCGTCGTCGAGTACTAGTGTAAGTAGTTCATGCTTGGAGGGAGATAGCAAGGATCTAGATAGGAACAAATCCCAATATTTCCAAGATGAGGAACCCATCAAACCCCAGCTTAAGTATGTACATGGCACGGTGACGACAGTTGAGACATTCTTGAGTTAGGACAAGGCTATTATTGCTTCGGTTCGCCTTAACCCTATATCTAACATATTATATACCATAGCATCCTCAGCTGCAGATTTAATTATTAGAGTCAGGGATGTTCATAACCCCAAGTGTCAACCCCTGCTACTGCATAATAAACAAAATGGACCTTGAGCCATTGCTACCCTCCTGTTTTCTTAGCCGGTAACGAATTTCGAGAAGAATTCTCGCTTAAGTCTTCCGCACCCGCTCACCGTCGATTGGTGACTGCGTAACTCCAGCATAAGCTTCAATTCCAACTACGGATTCGGAGCCGGTATATGTATTCCCTCGCCGGCAAGCGAAGAGGGTTTCTCACCTCAGCAACAAGCCGACCGGTATTGCTCCGGGAGTGAGGGCTTAAGACTCCGGTCCCGATATGTCTATCGTCCATGCCCGGCTCTCGATCATAGGAAGCAGTGATGACCTTGCGACACCAGTAGCCGATCGTATCGAGACCGACCTCGTACCGCTCACCAGCGAAGGATCTAAGATCATTGCCTCAGGTGTGATTCTGGTTCTCCTCACCGCGTTATGGACCGCCCTACGATTTTGGAGCCTTCGACGAAGTGGTCGAGCATTTATGGTGGATGATGGATTGAACCTAGGAGCGGTGGTCCTGTTCTATGGCCTCATAGCGATGGAGTTCTCTATGGTGCTAGCAGGCGGTATGGGCCATCATGTCGGAGAGCTACAGGACTGGCACGTAGTGCGACTTATGAAGGTTCGTCAGTCCATCAATTAAATACCACAAGGCGACTCCACGACGACCTTCTAGTTCCCAGCCCCTTGTCATGGGGAACAAAATGCAAGCACTAACAAGTATAATCACTACAGACTATTTATGCTGGCCAATTTCTATATGTGGCTTCTCTCGGCCTGATAAAAATCAGTGCTATCTTGATGTTGATACGTATCTTCTTCGACCATCGGTTCAAGCTTGCTGCCATAGCTATCTTGGTTTTCACCGTCATTTGGATGGTTGTGGGTATGCTCATCGAGTTTCTAATATGCCAGCCAATTGAAATGAACTGGCACATTCGAATGGCTGGCACTTGCGGAGATCAGAAGGCGGCCTTCGCAGCAATGAGTGTCATCAATATCATAAATCAGCTTATGATCTTAGCCCTACCCCTGCCTATGATCTTGAAACTTCAGATGGAATGGCGGTACAAAATTGTCACCATTTGCATATTTAGTATTGGTATACTGTAAGAAAGACTCGTCTCCCGAATAACCAGCATCTAAGTTAACACATTCCGCACCATATATAGTACATTAATATTTGGCGCCATCCACCTTTCTACGGTTATTCAGATCGACCTTACCGATGTACCATACACAATAGTACACGCAACCATTTACGGAACATGTGAGGCCGGAATCGCTATCATAGTATCCAGCTGCCCCCTCCTTCGACCTGTATTCGACACGGTGCTCTCAATGCGTTCATCCAGAAATAACACATGGAGAGGCAAAGGCACGATTCTCACACTATCCAGGACACGTAAAAGCACCAAATCAAGCGGATTCACTCGGATGGATACTGAGTCGCGAGAGGAGCTCGAGTTAGGCAACATGGGAGCGCATCGAGCCAAGCGAGATACGTTCATTACAGTAGGCAAACGGCCTACATTCCGCGATGACGACGATAACAGCTCTTTACAAAAGATTGTAGTGACGAGCGAGACTATCGTCAGTAGAGTCAAGGGAGAGCTCTAATTTTAATCCAACTTTTGCTTTTTCGATTGGGTCACCTAGGGTCTAGAAAAAATCAAACCGAGCCGCAAGGCTCACTTGCAACGAATGTTATAGTTGTATTTGGGACGGAGTTGCCATAATCGAATCCAAGACGCGTTTATAACATTGCTACTTAAATCTGAAAGGCGATTCAGGTAGTAGTTATATGTTTCGGTTTGGAGCCTGTAGCTCCTTTCATCCCCTCGATATATCACTACTATTACCGTACGACATGGACATTGTTTCCAAAAGCATGTATTTACGCCGGTGGACACCATTTTCCTTACTGTATACTCACATAGACCATACTTAATTTACGGCAGGGCATGAGCTTGGCTAGACGACGTCTAGTCGGTGTTAGATAATAATCGGGACAATGATTACTGAGGCGCTAAATGGATATCTGGTCTATGCGATATGGATGGATTGAATTTGGACGAGAAGCACGAGAATACACTGACTCATAATTGTTATAGGAGATTGAAGATAAAGAAACTAATGTCAGATTGGATTGGCTATTTTAATATGGATAATAACCAGACTTAAGACATCGTTATATCAATCGTGTATAACTTCAAGCGCTTATCATTTCCTTCCGTCTCCGTGACGTTTTCGAGCAGTTGTTTTCCCCGAGTTCTCAAGTCTTCTCCATTATCTCTATTCTTAGTGATCATATCAAGCATGGGTCTATGTAATGGCTCAGGGAACATTCCTCACAATCCAAGCTGGCTTTCCTATACGCCATCGAGTATTGATTACCTGTTTGATCATCCTCATGGTAATCTTGGAGATGAAATTGAGCTCTCGCTCAGCCTCACACCCAGTGAGGCCTTCTAGGGCTCGCAGAATATATCCCAGCCGGTGACCATGCGGAGGGGTAGATAGCTTGAAACATCTCCGGGTCGTAGAGTTAAGCCAAATGTACGAGCGCCTAGATCTGCTCCGTATTTGAAGAGATCATCCAACGAGTTGAGCTACGCATCGACAGCCGTGATATTTAATAGATTTCTGACGGCGAAGCAACAAAGTCGGCCCAAACTGACGAGTAAGGTGCGTATTATGGTCGGTATCGTATTGAAGGTATATTGGGTCTAGAGTCCAGCGTTCAAATCTTCCATCGTATCGTACTTCGTTAGGCCATTCCGAAGCGATTGAGTAACTAACCCATAGGAATACACCTCTAGCAGTATCGGCAATCTTCTTGAGGAACGACTGGGCTGTTTGTACATCCAGACCCAGGGCTGACCATCGAAGATGAATCACTAAGTGGCATTGAGTAGAATTCATAATATCATCTCTAGTCGACTCATATATGGAAAAAAACAAAATCTTTATATAATATGAAACGAGTTAAAGAAAACAGGTAAAAATCTATAAGACCTAAAGAAATTCTACTCAATATGTACCTAGGTACCTAAGGTATTTCGGTACTGATGTATTTCGTACCTAACCTAGCAACCAAGCAGGAAGGCGGTATGAATTTTTAGCTCCATCCGGCGGCAGAAAAGCCCCACTCCCGAAAAAATAATTTGGACTTGTCCCGAATCTCAATTCAAGCTTATCTTGAGATACAAGAAAATTTCCGCCTTGAAGCGCAAAACTTCATAATCGGCGCAAATGGTCTCAACAAAGCCAACCTTGAAGCGCAAGGCTTCCGTCGTCGAGGCAGACCACTCCAACCAGCCTCAATCCGACGATGAGTTCGGAGATGGTCTTCTAGAGGGTGTGTTAGAGGACGAATCCGACGATGAGGAGTCCGAGTTAGAAGATGACGACAACGACATCGAGGGGGACACGCTCGATGCCGATGATGATGAATTGGACAGTGACGATATACCAACAGATGATGAGGGACTAAGGAAAAAGCAATTATCAAATGGATTCGAGTCTGACGAAGAAGATGTTGGTCCTCACTACAAAATTGAAACAGACGCCAATGGGGGAACTAGATACGTTTACGATGAGGTTGACCCCGTGTACGATTCAGACGATTCAGACGCCCAAGAACCTATAAACACAATTGGAGACATACCTCTTTCGTTCTACGACTCATACCCTCACATAGGATATGACATCAATGGGAAGAGGATTATGCGTCCCGCTACTGGCGAGGCTTTGGACGCTTTATTAGATAGTATTGAGGTACCGAAGGGCTGGACTGGCCTTACGGATCCTGCAACCGGCAAGCCATTAAATCTGAGCCAGAACGAATTAGAGTTATTACGGCGAGTCCAGATGAACGAAATCCCCGAAGAAGGATACGATCCGTATCCGGTAAGTTTTATGATTCCTATATATATATATATATATATTCGTTCTAATATAGGCCTAGGATTCTGTCGAGTGGTTTACGAGTTTTGAGGAGACGATGCCTTTGAGCGCTGCCCCAGAGCCAAAGCGACGCTTTTTACCTTCCAAACATGAAGCGAAACGAATAATGAAGTTAGTCAAGGCAATTCGAGAGGGCCGAATACTACCGTATAAACCTCCAGAGGAAAAGCAAAGGGAAGAGGAAGAAGAGGAAGAAGTTCATTATGATTTGTGGGCCGACGAGACGCCTCGGCCCCCTAATGTAATGCACATTCCCGCCCCCAAGCCTGCTCCTCCTGGCTATGATCTCAGTTACAATCCACCTCCAGAGTATCTCCCTACCGAGGATGAAAAGAAGGCCTGGGACGAGACCGAACCGGAAGAGCGAGAAAAGGAATACTTGCCCCAAAAATACGACTCTTTACGGAAAACTCCTGCATACGATCAATTTGTCAAAGAACGCTTTGAAAGGTGCCTTGATCTCTACCTTGCGCCTCGAATACGGAAGAATAAGTTGAATATCGATCCTACATCATTACTCCCTAAGCTTCCGCGACCGGAGGAGTTGAGACCCTTCCCTACCATCGCGTCAATTGAATACGCTGGTCACGAGGGTAGGGTACGATCCGTTGCCATTGACCCATCCGGGCAATGGTTAGCCAGTGGTGGTGATGATGGCACTGTGAGAGTGTGGGGCCTCGCAGACGGTAAACAACAGTGGAAAGTCAAACTTAGCAGCGAGGACCCGGTAGATGTAGTGCGATGGCGACCGGGTCAAGAAGCTTCAATCATATCCGCTGCTGTGGCTGAAGATATTTTCTTCATGATCCCATCATTTGGGAGCCCGGAGCTGGAACAGACTAGCCGGGATATATTGGATGCAGGATTTGGTTATGCTACCAACGACAAGCAACTAACAACAGCTAACGGGGCAGCACGAAAAGATCCCCCGGCGAAGTGGTCACGACCAGGGACACGCCTGGAGGATGAGGGTGTTTTACTGAAAGCTACAGTCCGCTCACCCATCAAGTCAATTAATTGGCACCGACGAGGAGACTTCTTCTGCACGGTATCCCCTAGTGGACAAAAAAGTTCCGTGGCCATTCATACCCTATCTAAGCATCTTACTCAAATCCCCTTCCGAAAGCTTCCAGGGTTGGCACAGACAGCATCATTCCACCCTTCGCGACCTATGTTTTTTGTCGCAACCCAAAGGTCGATACGGTGTTACGATCTCCAAAAACAAGAATTAGTCAAGACTATTCAACCTGGCGCCCGCTGGATCTCATCATTTGATGTGCATCCTGGCGGCGACAACTTGGTTGTCGGATCATACGATCGTCGTTTACTCTGGCATGATCTTGAGATGTCAAACAGGCCGTATAAGACAATGCGATTCCATCCTCAGGCAATCAGGGCTGTGAAGTTTCACCGTATCCACCCACTATTTGCGGATTGCAGTGACGACGGTACTCTACAAATATTCCATAGCAAAGTTGTGAGCGATCTGATGGAAGGACCAACTATTGTGCCTGTGAAGATGCTCAAGGGACATAAGGTAGTCAACAGACTTGGTGTGACAGATATTGATTGGCATCCCCAACATCCATGGTGTGTAAGTGCGGGCGCCGACGGAACATGTAGATTATGGACATAAGCTCGCCTTTTATGGAAGGAAACGGGTGGGTGCCTAGTAGCAGAGCACGGTTCACCGGACTTCCATTATAAAGAGTCTTGTAGCGACGGCGTTTAGAGAAATATACCTTCTATACATACATTTATGAACTCTCGCCTTATTCCCAGGATTAGCCTTACATTCTATCGCCTCGTTGTGTTTAAACGAGCTATAGCCTATTGGTCCTTGACTCCACTCGTTTCACTACATGCTTCACCATGGTGCCCAATCAAAGAGGTATGTCATCTTAGTCTCTCGCCCAGTGATTCGCCGTGTCCTATGCAAATCATACTCTAAGATCGTGAATGGTTAGTCAGGCTACATGATACACACACGGTTGTGTTGGACTGGCATTACCCATCCAACCATTACTGCCCAATGATCCGATCCTCCTCCTTTATATCTCTCTGCCTAGAACACTTCTTACTGCTATTGTCATCCTGGAGTATGTAATCATCATCCATCTACTACTTTATCCATATCTGTTGTTTATTAACGCAATGTAATGCAGAGCTGATCCTCTTTTGACAAGATATGTTCTCCCCATACTAGCAAAGAGCAATTTTTCAGCTTCAATATTCACATCCCGACCGCCTATCATTGCTGTATATGTCATCGTTATCAGCTAAAGAGGGAAGGAGAGAAATACAATAACGATGGTGTTCTATATCACCTCCTCGACCACTTAACCATCTATACAGAGTTCACATTGCTCGGGATTAATCAGGATGATGGATCTGTGGTCGATTAACAAATCACGACAACATCTCCCTAACACAACCAAGGGTAAGTATAGACGTTGGTATAAGTAATAACTCTTCTCCAGGCACTGCCAAGACGAAAAAAATAGTGATATTCCCGTACCGTAGTCTTGGTACCGGGACAACGGAAGGATGACGTTGGCGTTGCTCAGGCCCCTCTTATAGCAGCGTAGCAAGTCACATGCTAATTAGAACTAGTTGTCTGTGTTATATTTGTACGGGGTAGTAGCGCTATTTGTACATTGGTAAGTAATCTTAACGAGATCTCACTATTTATTACCAATTTAACGACTGAAGACACAATCTATTTACGACATAACGATCGATACGATGTCAAGGGGGTAAATATACCTGTCCTACGGACACAATTAGTGAAAGATAGGACATCTCGTTAAGTCCCGATGAATCCACCTCCACCTCCAAGTTTCTAGACTTTAGAAATAAGGCCGTGCTACTCAAGAGGGGGGCATGCCAGATGAGGACCCAGTTCTCAAGACCCACTGAGATGGGTATGACAAGAAATGTTAATACATACCTAACCCAGACAGCAAGGAAACAAAGGTCAACCTCCTAAGAAAGGTCTAGGAATATCTAGATGTCGTGAACCGGTACTCAGAATGGGTGTAGTCGACTTAATAGGTACTGCTATCAGAAAACAGCAAAGAGACTAACAGAACTTTGGTCTGAGCCGGGCTAGGCATATCCATGGGTCAGTCCATCAGTCGATCACCCTTTAAGATGGAGCCAGAACAATCACGGCTAAATTCGAACGTGTTGGCAGTCTTGCGAATAGAATCTCGACTTCTAAAGAATTATCCCTACTCCACAATCTACCTCGTTATCGAATTTTCTACTAGCGGGATCCCCTCAACGATTTGGTCGACAGCAATTAGTCAATCCTCTTAACTTACACTTCTTTCCTATCAAGTTAATCAAAGTTACTGGCTGCTGGAAGCTATTCTTTCGACGATATTTTCCCAACAATCCCGACTCCGAAAATCGGTTCGCTGGTTCAACTGGATACCATTCCACGCCACCGACGTCGATTAGGGGCAAAGCAAGAATAATGTGTGTCTATACCTCCACGTATATTATTGTACGTGATGGGACAATAGCTCGAACCAAGATCGTACCAGTATTCTTTCTACGGCGATCAGAGTTATAGCACTCTACAATACCTCGTTGTGTCACGCGATCGATCTATCTAATATGGTACCAACGTTCATTACTCTACGGAGGCAAACACAGCAACAGCTTTTCGTCCAAAGTAAAAGGTTGAAGATGGGAAATGGATTTGTCGGCCTGCGCATTATTTGGTGTCGACACGGACCTATACGATGCGGATTTCACCCACCTCCGAGGCGTTCCGATCAGTATAGAGTGAAGGTGAAGAAGAAGAAGAAGAAGAAAAGGTGGTATAAAGATGTTTTATTCTATTTAGTCCCATTTTTGGCACTAGGAGAATAACGACGATGCAAGGGAAGAAGGGGCCAAGTAGGGTGGCCATCTATCAGTCAGTTTGCACTCCTATTGTTCTTTAAATACTTTTTTAGTGTCATATTTATTGCTCATTCTACTTCTCCCTTTCTTTTATTCAATCTTCTAAACGTATTCAATAGAAGTTACGTGGATATTTTAATTTAGAAATGTTCTATCACGAGTCACGAACTTTCAATTGGCGTTTTCTTACTCTATGTACAGGAAGCCTTGTCCAATCTGTCTGCACTTTCTTCTTTTTATCTTTATTTTTTTGGTTTATTTCATTTTTATTAGCTGCGGGAACTGCGACTACATAGCTGTACGATCAATCCCGACAGACCGGCTACCTACCTGGCTAGTAGCCATTTATTCGGGTCGAAGTCCGGAGCCATGGGCATAGCGGTGATAGCGATAGTGGCGGGTATTCGGCGCAGTTAAACAATGGCCAAAAAAGCAAAAAAAAAAGAACTTCTCTGCAGAAGACATCCCCGCATTCGACAGTCTCAAATTGGGTTACGTGGATCTGAGTGAGATAAAAGGAAAAAATGTGTGGCGGTGCGGAGAATCAAAAATGGTGAAGATGTTGCCTCGGGCCGCAATTTGGGGAATGGTAAGTGAACCTTCTTTTTCGTTTCTATATGCGGTGTGATGGAGTACGGCGACAGTGATAGTGGTTGCGTTGCGCGATGCAATGTCAGATGATGTAGGCTTGCAGTTGGGGGCTTGAGATCTAGAAAGGGCTACATGACGACGAGGCTTCGATGTGACAGCGTCATCTTTAGCTATGTTCGAAGTTGAACAAAAAGATGAAAGGTACTACATTCCCCCTTCCCCCCAAAAGGAGGGAAGATATTAAGGGCTATACGAGCAGGCACCATAAGTATGACCGAGGACCGAGAATCGAGATCGAGCGCACTATGGAAGACCAAGAAAAGATTCGGGTCACGTCAACATTATCATTCGTTATATTAATACCCAAGACGAACTCCCCGGACGCCGCAAAGCTTGACTAGAAAACATGAACCTCCGTCTGACCACTCCATCTACACAAGTCTTATGTGGTTGCTATATGGATGGATGAGAACCAAACTATATGGTGGTTCAAAATAGATATGAGGACGAAAATATCATAACCCTATTAGTTCCAAACATTATTGATCAAAAGAAACCTTTTCTCTCGAGTTACCCCTCCGAACACCGATCCAAGTACAGGTACACAACACTGCCCGTGTTATTATTCATCGTCATCGTCATCAACATCATCGCCCTTAGGCTTCAGACACATCTTCGTCTCGAATGCTCCTCGCCTTAGCGGTAACAGGGTCGGTAGGGATATCGGACCAGCGTCCGACGTCGCGAAGCATCTCGGCATCATAGTGCTCATGCGCCGAGGGGACAACGCACCACGACATGCTAGTCGCCATCGAGGTGCGGCTCTTAGGAGCTTTGGTCATCAAATGGGTGGTGCTCCAGTAGTCAACTGGGTCGACCTGCTCAGCACGTCCGACTCGGGGAAGCCAGCCATAGACATTACCGTCAAATGACTGGGCGTGGTTGGTGTAGTCAAGCGCGGCGATGGCTGCCGTGGTCAAGGGCTGGGCACTATCATCACCGACATAGTTGTGGTTGATGTAATAACCCAAGTTGGGCCGAGACACGAAAGGGTCACCATGCTTTAAGGTGGTGTTCGTGTTAGAACATGATGGTGTGTATTGCATGAAGGTGTAGTTCGCGTCGCTACCAGTCATCACGTGCTCAATGTCGTTGTTGATACGATTCATATTTTTAATTGGGAGGCACCGCCTAGGTTGAGTGGCAGGGCCGTTAGGTCGTGTACAAGGGAAATTTTCGTCGTTGAGGTGCGGGGGGCGATCCTCGGTGAATTTATCGATATAAAAGTAGTCAGAGGCCTCTCCGCCATCGCATTCCCGGTCCGGTTCGGAGCTTCGGTCGGTGAGGATGGCATGAGTAGAGCCTGACGTTTTAGGAGACATGTTTAGTAAAAGATAATAAGATCGTGTAGGTCAAGTATAGGTCAAGTATAAGTCAAGGAGGATAGTCGTTATTAGTTAAGGCAATGAGGAATAGCTAGGTGCTGCCTGCTATTAGTATTTAGCAACGTCTTATCCGGGATTGACAAACTTACTTTGCGTTATAGGGGTTTTAGCTGTTGGCATATATTTTAGAGAAAACGATGGCTACGCTTAGACGATATCGTCGACAGGCATCCGTTATCGAGATAAATATAATATATTTGTATTATAGGGTATAGGTTGGTGTGGGTCGAGCAATAGTACGGCAAACAACTATTAGAGTCGCTGCCGCCTCCGTTATACCCTTTATGTTCTCTTTAAGTATATTTATGTCGAGAGATAGAGAGGAAAGAATGTGGAGGGGGATCAAAGTCGTGGGACTAGTTAGGTTTTATATTTTGTTTAAATGTTGTAAAGGTACCAAGCCCAATTGGATCTTGCTAGTCTCAAGGCTCTCTCTCAGTGATTCAAGCCGGCATTATGAATGCGTGTACTGGTGACTGGCGGGCCGGATGTTATTATTTATTATTGAAGCTAGCATTTGAATCACGGGCTGTGTACTATGTAGTAAGTACTGGGAGCAACTCCTGGCAAAGACAGTATTTGACATATGTACACGTCCAATATGAGAAAAGTTCTTATGTCATACTAACACTGCATATATCTCTAACCTGGGGTCTTTAGGTATTGCACATGTATACCTATATGTACCCAATATACATACATATCTGCATATATACCTAGAATAGGACTATGCACTGGGACGAGGAAAACCAGAATGGATGGTAAATGGTTAAAATATGCCTACATAGTATATCAGAGCTCTAGTGCCAATCATCCGCCTCACTCTTTCTTAGGCCATCCTATGGTTTGTCTACGGTATGTAGGTATCCATAGGAGGTTATTTCATATTCTGCATCAGTGATCAGATGAGTGAGGGTTTTTTTTCCCCTTCCCTTCCATGACATGACATGACCAATGGCCAAGCATAAGTTTCGTTAAACCAAGTTGCCCAGCTCGAAGCTAGTATCTTACAGTTCATACATACATTATGTGCACTGTGATAACTCCAAGCCGAGCCAGGTTTAAGTACCTCATATGTAGTGTAGTGTATGTAGTCTGACTGACATGGGCTGGATCCCCTGCTTCAAATGTACATGGGGTCTTCTGATCGAACCGGACGCTAAGAGTACGAGGGGTATCCTGCGAAGCATCAAGCCTTTAAAAAAACGATGCCGGTGAATTACAAAGGAAGATTCCGAAGAGTGGGACGTGGGGGAAGTTTTGATGTAGGTAGTTAGGTATTCAGTTTTATTATGATGCGGTACCTTTGGTGTCCAACCGATAGATTGGTTCCAGGTCTGTATGCATCTGCATGGAAATTTCCTATGACTGAATCAGCTGGTACTGCTTTGCATTACGTATAACTAATCCGTATATATATATGCATCAAGTATATGCTGTACACTATATGCTGTATGGATTGCCATCACGCAGATGTGGCATATTCAATCAAGGTACCCGTTAGAAAATGTACTATGGTAAGACAGGTCCGTAAAGATGCGATTGATTAATGCCAGGAACAATTAGGGCCCCTCTCACAATAAAATAAATAAGGGTGTGAGTGAATGGTGGATGGTGGTAACGGTGTATGCAATGTACATAGTCCCGGCTACCAAGCATACCAAGCATACCAAGCATAGATGGAGATGTAGAATTGATGAAAATACTATTACATGTTACGACCAAGTGCCGAGTGAGAATCGCACATCGTCCAAGAATCTTCAATAGGTACGCCAATCCTATGATACACGACCTTAATCACACAAGGGCGTTATGTTCCTACAAAAAATACGTACATCTCAGGAATAAGGAAATAGAACTCGACTAGGGCCTACATATACGTACATAGGTAGGTATGTACACTCCTCATATGGTCCGATAGAATATGTAAAAGGTTCAAGTTAGTATATGTGTAGTATACCACATATGATGTATAGGAGGTATGTAGGTAGTGTATGTATGTCTCACTTGCTGGCATAAGGAGAAACAGATCCCGGCATCACACCCAAGACATCCAAGACTTCTTCATCCGCCCTACTACTCGGGACCAGAACGTTCTAGGAAAACTATTGTTCTTTCTCAACCCGTCAATTTTTGGCCAACCGCTTTTTTAACGGAAATCGCGAAATAGACAGGGCAACCAACAACATACCTTACCGTTTGTTGGTCAACTTTAGCAGCTCGACGCTTATTCTTCAGGGTGGTCCTGGATCCTTAGTCCCGGACTAGGGGCCCAGGAAACTATTCAACCATTGGAGCCGGGACGACAAGGGTTAACACATTTATCCCCAGAACCCTGGTCATCGACCCATTGTATCGGCGCCTTAATCTTCTTTCCCTCTTTAACACTTCGACACTTTAACACTTTGCTAAACGGTACATTCACAATACCTTCTGCTTGGAAATCCGGACTTAAGTTTTAGTATATGCATCGTAGTTTAATCCAGCAATGGTCTTGTAAGCTAACATAGTGTTTCACTACCTGGCCGTAAAAATTCCGAGTGGTCAAGACGATCGAAGATGAAAGACATTGCTAAACTGCTCACCGATGAATCTATATCCGTACAACCCTAGACACTTTCCTTTGTTCGTCGCTTGTTAGCTTGTCAAAGCTGGGGTGCTACAATCCCGTGACGCAACATTGCAGAAATAAACGGCGATAACAATAATAATAATAGTAGCAGCAGTACAACAATACGAGCCAAGTTTCAGAAACGCATGCCATAGGTAATCACCTTGCAAACTCTTCGTCGATGGTCGTCGAGGCTGCTTAGGCCCGGTTTTTTTTTTAATCTATTTGCAATACCGAGGTGACAAGTTCGAACTTGGATGGCAGGGTGCCATAGAGAATTTGGCCATACATAGAGCACACGGGAAGAGCATGGCAGGTATGCAATCATTATTGTATTCATGAAGAGCACACCGCTTCCAAAACTCTACTATTAGAATACTGTTATTCCGAGGCGAACTCTTTGCCTATGGTCTCGGGGAGATGGTCTCGACACAACTAGGATACGCTGCCCCAGAATAGCTACACTATTCCGATAGAATGCTTACCACCACCCCCCATGCGCTTATCCTTGCCTCACATCGGCTCGAGTATCAACAAGACCCAGCATACCTACCAACATATATCCACACCATCTTAATCCTCCTCCCCCCCGCTGTGTTACTCTATAAGCGCGCGCCTTTCCTGACGCTATCTAACTACTGAGACTTGCAAACATTATTCTCGGCTATCTATCTGGTTTTAAATCTTGGGCCGGTCGGCGGCGCGAAACTTAGCGCTGTTTGCGTGGCGTTTTCTCAGCTATTCATTTGCCGCGGAGACAGTGAAGACCATTTCGTGCTTACGTCTCATCTGCTTTTAATAAGTGCCAGCCTTCCGCACAAAAAAATATTTAGAGCAGGGACAATATGAAATAGGAATAAGTAAATGTCGAGTTGTATGACAGTTCCAAATCGACTACATACAGTACCAAGTTACGCAATCAAGGACGAGGATCAGGGATTAAGAGGGTGGAAGAGAATACTAACACGGGAAGTGGGGGACTCGTTCATGACGGATCCAGGGGACATACCTACATGAGAACAATCATCCGAATCTTTAGATGGCTTAATGGCTTTACGTGGGCGATTCTTCACACAGCCATACTACTCAAAAGTGAGAGGGTACCCTATATGCTTTGGTAGGTACCTAATGTAAGTCGCCAAAAACAGCATGCTTAGGAAAATCCGAGGTATTAAACATCTAAGCCTGTAGCTAAGAATACGCCTAGAAGCAAGGTACACGAAACACCCAGCTGAGGTGGTATTGGTCAACTGGCGCCTCTAGTAGGACAGACCTGCATATAGATACTTGCATATGTACGTAGGACGTAGGACTTTTTTTTTTTTTTTCTTCTTCAGGGGAGCAGGGACATGACGGTAGTATGCGAACATCTCTAGTATGCAGGTAGACCTTTAAGGACAGGTGCCTTATCTGTACGCCAAAATCTACGTCCTACGGAACATACGTAATCTCGCTATACTAGTATAGGGATCGTCGTAGTCACGGCATGGAGGGTAAATCACAAGGAGGAATAATTAATTTAAAATTTCGACATGGAGCCTGCAGACTGGATTTTTAACGAGCATGTCAGTTGTACGAATCGGTAGTGTAGATGGTCGCCATCCGAGGCCGTCGGCCGTGTAAGTGTGTCTGACCAGCTCGGCACACTTCCGCCTTCGCTTATCAGCCTTAAAAGAAAAGACAGGTGTGCTTGTGCCTTGGCTACTATTAGGTACCTAGGTACCTAAGCTACCGTTGCTGCTGTAGCACACCGTCATTTCCTAATGTCCTTCTGGAACGTTTCTAGAAGACTATTTGATCATGCAGGGATAGATTAGACCAATTGTCGATCTCATCCGCCATTCTTCCATATGTCAGGGTTACCCTAGTACCCTTACAGTGATCATTTATAGACTCTTGTCAACATTCACCTAATCTTGTAGCTCTTGCTCATGGTTTAGAAACTTGACCTTGAAGATGAGTGGTATGGTTTCCAGAAGAACACAATGGAGATTCCACTCCAGAATAGAAGCTGTATGACTGGTTTAGAAAATCCCCGAAATCCCACAATATAATCTATTGACTGTCCTGATTGGACTTGCCTTTTTCAAGGGTAATCCATTCTGTCCTTCTAGCACTTGAAGACATACTTCATATTTAACGATAACCTGAAGGAAACAAATTCCTCTGTTCCTTTACTTTAACAAGCTATTAACCTCTAGCTACCGAGCCGGAATGAATGTTTCTCAGTTAGGTGCTATAGCATAGGCTTACGTACCTAGGTATGCATATCTCTTATGCTTGAAGAGATACGTAGGATGTGGGTGATACCCAAGTACCTAAGGTATGGTATAAGGTTCTTTGCAACATGAATAAATTTAGGGTAGGCAATCCACGCTCTCATTCGAACCCCCTTTTTCCACTTGTTGCACTTCTTCTGCCCTTCAAGTATGCTACCCACACAGGTACACACATACGCTCTTGGCTTCAAGGAACCGTCCTACGCTACTAGCCATCAAGGCCTCCATTGCAACGGCGGCTAGATTACCCCCTGCGTAGCTCTTATAAACATCTCCACATACCCGTTTGTCATGAGTGCGTATGTACATGATGTAGACGCACCTTAAGACGTGCAGCTGATCGATTCCGAGAATCCACAGTCCTGCAGAAGAGGGTCTGGTCTGCAAGACCCTTCTTATTAAGGAACTCTCTGATCGAAAATTTAATTGCGCATCGCATCTGCGATGCACGTACCTAAACTTGCCGAAGAATAACCTCGCGGGCTTCTTAAGGTCGATCAAATGCTACCACATAAAGCATCGTCATGTCCGAGCCGTCCTTACCTAAGGTAAGATTCTCTCTATCGACGCTATCCCCCCCAGGCTTCCTCCCCAGCTTCCCAATTAGACCATCCGGCTCCACGAGAGGCATGCCGAATAGGATGTGTCCCTCACACGAATAGGACAAAATATATTAGGTAGCCAGCAGCAAGGTAAGGTAAGCAAGCCATGGATGGGTGAGCGGATGGTTAACCCTGCCCTCTTACCTCTCGCATCCCATTACTCACCTTATCCGCGAACGTAATGTAACGGGACATGGGACAATGCACGCCCTTCCAAAAGGGGCATCCTTCTCGAAAGATTCCCTCAGCTGGGGCTGGACGCCCCGGCAGAGGCGACGCCGCGATTCCATACAACCCTTCCTCGACAGGGTCAAGCCCAAATCGAGAACACTAGTCCAGGTATGATGCAACGCCAAGTTGCGAAGGCAAGAAACATTCACCATCCATCACATCTGTGCAAGTAAACAATTTAAGTAAAACATAAAGCTAGCAGCTGCTCACCCGACAGATACATGTACATATCAAAGACTCTCACTCTACTTACACTATACCTGCTTATACATGTTGTAACAGCCATCTATCTGGGCGGTATGTACGCATGTCTTAGAATTATTATCGTAACGGCGACTACTTGACCAACCCCAGCTACGTAGCCATCACCATCATTACATACTACCACTACCACCGTCCAAAATATCCGTCGCGTCCATACCCATACCCATACCATCTCTCCTTGTCTCGTAATTATTACCACTCACCGCCACAATAGTAAAATCTCCAAGATAATACCATGAGGCTCTGCGCGGACCAGTAGCATATCGCGGCAGAGACCACGTCCACATCCATCCATCTCTAGGCTCCGGGGGTTGTGTCACGCAACCCAATCCGCTTTCCCTCGCACTTGTGCGTCGCAAAAAATTTCGCCGCCCACGACCAAGAACCCAAGCCTTCTATCTATCCGCTTTGGGGGCAGATGGCTGCTTAACCTCGCACCAATCCTATTTTCTCTCCCCTTCCCTTTCCTAAGTAATCACTACGCGCATATACACATACACACACATACACACACATACATAGGGTACGCAATATACATACATAGGTACGTATACGTACCTACGTCTATTCCCAACGCCGAGCCACGTCAGAAACGGCAGGCTTCTCGAAGTCATCGGGCCTTGTTTCTATGCATGAGGATATGCAACTACATGTACATCTTAAACATGCAACGAACTCATCTTATTGGTCCCGTCCGGTCTTGCGTACTTACGCACGCTGGGTAATCAGCACCGGGTCTACCAATCGATGCCGTTATATTTCCGTTTACCATGCCTGTCTTGCTTCTACTCATTCATTCATCTACGGCCAAGGCTGCTGCCCGAGTAACCCCCTTTATTTCTAGTACCGCCATCCTGCGCCGCTAGAACGCATATCGCATTTCACCAGCATGTTTTCAGATGACCGAAAACCAGCTGCATTGGCCTCAGGGCTGACTTGGCCCTCCCTGCCCTCCCCTTGCTTTCTCGGTCAACTAGACCGTTGCGCACCCAAGTCTCAGCTAGCTCGTGCTCTTCCTTTACTATGGTGGCTGCAGGAAACGCACAAGATCGTTAGTTAGACTGTTAGTTCGCTGCCGCGCTCTGTGAAACTCCTTCGGGCGTTAACCCACCAGGCGCGATTGTCTTCGCATCAACCAGGCCTGCCGGCGGCACCGCTCCCCCGGTGCTCGCCTTTCGCCTCAGACCCCCGGCTTTCAAGCTACGCGCACGCTGATATGCACTCTCAATTTCATATTCGACCGCACATCTGATGGTTAGTGCACACACGGCCGGCCACACGCTCCGTTCGCCGCGTAGAATCCAGTAGTCTAGGGTCTCGCGTGTTGGGGTCTCGAGCAGGCGCACGAAGTCGCGTGTCGTTACCTTAGGCACGAGCGTCATACTCGATCCCGATGGGACCTCCTCGTCTACCAAGAACTTTCGAATGCCGGTCGGCAACAGACCAAGTGTGTCTAGCTGACGTAGCCGATGGCGAATCTCTAGTCCGACCACCCTGAACAGGTGGCTCGTCATCTGTGCCCGTTTGTGTCGCGCCGTAAAGAGCGATGGGCCGTGCATGTCCGATTCGAGGAAGGGAATCAAATAAGGCCGAGCTTGACTAACTATGAAGTGATTGACATTAAAGAGCTGGGCGACACGCGACAGCGGCGATTTGCGGTCCTTGGCTGATGCATGTGTCCACGGACGGAAGGTATTCGCTGGCGCCCAGGGTATAATCTTACCGTCTATATCTTTGCATAGCACCGTCGTCCGTCTGCTTCCGTAGAGTGACGGAGTTGACGCGTTAGATGCGACAGCCGCGGTCCGAATTAACTTAAATGCCTCGTCAGCACACCCACATCCAAATTTTTCTTTCAAGCAACGCCAAGGGCTTATAGGTAAGGGCCAAGGGTTTAGAGACATACCACATTAGGGGCGGTAATATAGTTCAGTAATGCGGGAATTCCCTCTTGTTCCGCTGTAGCCACGGTAATATTTAAGACGCGCTTACTCCTGTGATATGCTTCCTCAAACGTCAAGTCGCCGAGGTTGTCTCTAACACAATCCTCCAGAACCTTAACATCGAGAAAGTAGCCTTCGTGCCAGAACCTCGCAATCCTACGCAACAAAGTACTGAGAAATGGTGCCCAGTTGCACTTGTCACTATGTATTTGTTGTTCGTGTGTCTTGAAGGCCGATAGATTAATGCCGTCTCCTCTCAACACGCGAGGAAGCTCGTCCTCTGTATGGATAGCTACTAGACTAGCAATGAGCGCACCGGTCGCCGTGCCCGTAATAATACGCGGCAGTAGACCCCGTAGAAATAAGGCCTTGACAACACCTAGATGACACAATCCGAACATAGCACCACCCTGTAGCACTAGAGTGCTCCGTCCAAAAGCCTGTCTCGAATCGTGTAGGAAGTCGAGTTTTCGCTGAGTCGAGAGGGTGTACGTATGAGTATAGCTGTCGTGCAGCGGCGTAACGACACGACGATTGATGTCGTCAATGGCACCAGCGACTTGCGCAATGTATTCCTCAATCAGATATTTGGTTCCGGCAAAGGCTCGGTTATACAACCTTGGGGCTGTGATATTTCCGAGGTTTCGAACCAGGCCGGATTGTACGAGGTCGAGGAGAGACTGTAAGTCATTATTATCACGAGCTTCGGCGATAGTATCGAGACGATCGTTGATGAGCATCCAATCGTAGTAATGCGACGGGGGGTTGTTGCGCCTACAAGAGAACATCCTCCTTGTTAGTATCCCTCGGATATACTTCAGATTGCTACATCATACCAAAGATTCAATTCCTTAAGATTATCCAACTGCAATGCAGCGTGTTCCCAATCTTCGTATGACACAGCATTGCGCAGTGCATCGAGCCGTTCGTCCATCAGGCTTTTCGACGTCCATCTTCCCCAGAGTTTCTAGCATAAGAGGAACTATGTAAGCTTAAGTGCATTTCACCTCGTATTATCACAGCTAGATACTCACTCTATACCAAAATAAAAATACCTCCAGCAATAGGGAAAACACAGCTACGGACACCCCGCAAATTGACTGCATTCTCTCATACCATTCGCATCGGCCGGAATCATCGGTAGGGGAAAATCGACGATGTCAGTAAGGGCGAGGGCGTGTAGATCAAATCCGTAGAAGCTGAGAGACTAGAGGAAGACGACACCCGCCATTACACGTAGCAACGAAGCGACACCGCGAGAGTAATTTTGGTAAATAGATGAGAGTGACCAACATTTGCAGTTAGAATGAATGTTGCGTATCTAATTTGACTTCCAGGGTTTTACATAGGTATGTATCGGCATATAAGATACACAAAGGTATGTATGTACAACGCGCCGGAGCTTGCGAGGGCCGAGCTAGAGGTACATAGCTTATAAACTTGCATGTGAAAGAGAGCTGAGAGCTGAGAGCTCCGAGCTCCCGCTATATGTTAGGTACCTACTCTCACAGCTGTTGTCACCTGCTAAACTTTTAGAAATGGCTTCCTTATTCCCACTTGAACAATAGACAATTTAGAAACAGGTAACCATTTTAATATTCTTAAAATCAATGAATACAAGACATTAGTATCCCAATAATACTTTTTTAGCATCTCAACAAAGCCTCTTTAAGTTTTAGTCATGAATTTTAGGCCAACAGAGTATAAGTCAATTTTAATGAGATATTGTCTCATTGTTTGTAAAAGTTGTTGAAGATATAACTATAGTTACTAGATATGAAACTTACAAGCCTATTCCTAGTAAAGCTTTGTAAAGTTAATATAGATCCAATTTAGCTAAATCTTTAAGATAATGGCAGTAAGTTGGAAAGGGTTGAAAACTATAAGTCTTAGTGTCGTTTGTTTCATGCTACTAATACATGATTCTCCAAAAGCTTCCACTGCTATAATTGGCTTATGTCTTCTTACTAATGATAGGCTAAAGGAGTAATCTATCAGCATACTCTAAGATTTCCTAGGGGAATAATCGAATATAAGTTATAACGATGTTAGCTTGTCCTATGGTGATATGTTTTAGGTAAGAAACCAAGCGTAGTTCACCACATTTTCCTACTTCATTTTCTTTCCTTAGTTATATTAGCATTCATAACTAGCACTATGGGCCACCTCCTCAACGAGGATCTAGCTGCTTTCGACGTCGTAATCTTCTCTATTATAATAAAGACCGTTATCAGTAACCTGCAGCACCTATAGCTGAAACACATAGTGGCCTACGTGGGTTTAAATCTGTTGGATGCCTATCCTAATATACCAATGAGATGTGTACTATATTTACCTTTGACCTTACGTAGTGAAATTGATTTCGTATAATGATCGCCCTTGATAGGCTAGTCTGATAGGTGTACTACACTATGCAAACTACGAACACACTAAATATCATAACGAATAACCATAACTATAAATCTTACTTTACGTATGTCGACGGCTATAAAAGAGTGGTTGCGGCAATAGGACCAGTCGCTACGCGATACCTGTAGGTTTGTCTAACGTTGACCATGTCGGAGCAACAGCATATAGCAAACAAAGTTGGATCGTAAGATCTTCAACCTGACGACTAAGTTACGATGGCATGCGAATGGTGACTAATGGGTCTTATGTATTGTTTACCGCCGAGTTCTCAACCATACTGAAGTGATGTACTTCTATTCTCCTCACAAAAGGCTGTAGTGAGCCTGACATATATTCCTCTTTAGGATTTCCCACGAGCCACGATTTCCTCAAATTATGACTAGGTCGCTTCTACAAGTCGGGACTGCCACCGTTTGACGAGGTCTATTTAACTCCTTGTCGGGCTTGTCTATCTGGCATATTTTTATGCTCGGAAAGAACTATCTCCTATTAACATTATGGCTACTCTTTGTAGGGGTTGCCTCCCTTAGCGGGGTTTATCGGGTTATGGTCTTGACTCGTTTATAATAGTTGAATTATGAGATTGGTTCTGTAGAGGTGTTAGATGAACCCATCATAGAGAAGATATGATTGCATGTAATATATACTATATTGAAAGGAGTAGGCGGGATAGGAGATCTTAGCAAGGGCATGAATGATAAGGTATAAAGTACGTAGTGAGTAATCCTACTGTGACTATCATACTACCATACCGTATGCTGTCTAGTTATCTTAACCTATGAAGCATCGCGTTACTGCATTGGCATAGAATAGCCTATTCTATGACCTTAATTATATTCCTGAGCTATCGAGTTCTTCTGCACGTGCTAAAATTGCAACTGTCGCGTGCAAGAAAGGACTATAGGTGTATAAGAACGCCGAATATCATACAAACGTAGGGACTCGCTATGTCCAATGTATTAAACTCTTAAACCTAAATCTATTCGTCATCCTCGTCCTCGGCAATGATATGGCGTCTTCGCCGGTGGGAAGACTCGGCCGGCGCGTCCACGTCGTCCAGGTCAGCATCCGCGTCGGCATCAGCATCTTCAGCGTCAGCTGTCCTCTGGCGCTTCTTTCGGGGAGCTTCTTCCTCGTCATCATCATCTAAAAGATCTTCTTCATCTTCGTCATCCTCGTTTGCTTCTTCCTCGTCATCACTAGGGGCGATGAAATCATCCTCGCGATCATACTCGTTCTGGCGTCCTCCACCTGACGGGAAGTCATCATCGGAATCATATTCTGGTCGGCGTCGCTTGCCCTTTCCTGAGCCCGGCGCACCTCTCTTTCGAGAGCCACCATTTCTGCGGCCGCCCTCTAGGTCGCCAATCGAAAGTCCTCCGCTCCTGTAGCCTCCAGTTCGTCCATCAAGTCGCGCAGCTGCATTCTCCCGTCGTCTCTGTGCTTTCATGCGCTCTTTCTCGGCCAACTCTGCTTCTTTCTTCTGAAGCTCGGGATCTTTCGTAGTTGTGATAATCATATCACCACCTTGTCTTCTAGCGCGCTGAGCGGCTTCCATGTCTCGGCTGAACTTGAGTAGAGCCTCGTCCTTTAGGTTCGAGGGAAGCTTCACGGAGTATTGTTCGGAAACGTGGCCCACAGTCATGAATAGCTCACTCGTAAAATGCGCTGCTGCGACGTAGTAGTGGGCATCGTCACGCTCTTCGTAATATGGCTTGTCAGCCGCGGGTGCCATTGCCTTCTTCTGTATCTCGTAGTGGTCTGCCCCAACAGACATGGTGAGAGATCCATCGCTCCAACGGTATACAACAGCGTTGCTCTTAAGCTCGCCGGTCTCGGGGTCCCGTTGGAAGCGGACAGCATTCTTGCGCTGCTCAGATCGCGCATTCTGTATGTCCCATTCGGTCGGCTCGAACGCGTCGGGCTTGTATTCTTCAGCTTGTAGCTTGATGAAGGAGGGAACTTTCATCGTTTGTAGCTAGGATTGGTTAGGATTGCTCTACAATTGTAATCAAGATGAAGTAGACATACGGAACCAGTACCATCCTTAGAGGTTCGTGGAATCCTGTGTCGATGAAGTGTGACACCCATGATGCGTTTTACCTTGACCTCTTGGTCCTCGTCCGCATCATCATCTCGGTCGCGGCTACGGTCATGGTCGCGGTTGTCATCGCGTTCATCACCTTCATCTTGTTCCGAAGCAAGATCCTGATCACTAAGCACTTGATCTATAAACGGAACTTCGCCCTCGTCGCCGAAAAGGTCACCCCCATCCTCGGAATCGGACATGGTAAGGGTTGGTGTACTTGGCGGTAGTACGTGTTTGTTTGAAGGGTGTGAGGAGGTTCTTCGGATGTGGAATAATGCAATTAGAAGATTTGAGAGAATCACGTCGAGGTATGAAGGATGTTGATGGAGTCGCGATTTGATAATAAGGTGGATGAAATTGAAGTACCTAAAAGTAAGGTACCTAAACTTCTATAGGTTGCTCTCACCTCCATGCACTATAAAGATTAGGTAGTTACAAACAATACTTGGTATGTCTATGTACCTACCTCAGTCCGTGCTTTACCTTTTCTACATACACTAAAGTCGATAAGAGATTTTGATATCGATAAAGATGATGCAGCTAAAAGAGACTAGCGTTAGGCGCTATGTAGACGAGCGCCTCCTGAAACAACTCGAGACGTTAAAATATCATTGGGTGAAATAGATGTGGGAAACTTCCACACATCGCAAAGTCACTGTCACATCCCTTCCGCCCCTTTTCCTCGCGAAGCCTCGTCGATTCTTTTATTGTGTCCTCGGTCGGTGATTCCCTTATTTTCTAGCCAAACTAGAACCTCTATTGTTCACTTTTTTCCACCTTCTCGTGTGTCGCCGACAGGCCTCGTCGCCTCTATTATACTTGCGCTATACCGGTACCCGACGTGGCGGTTTTCAAGTGACCATGTCTAATCTATTTTCTGGGATGTAAGTGTATAATATTTTATTTTTCTATCTTTCCTTTGTCTTATTTTTATTTCTTTAAATACCCTACCCCCTTTAAGGACCATACTATCTCCAAACTCACGTATGGCGACTTATGAGCTACAAAACAAGAAGGCCACGTGCAGAGGACCGGCCATTTTGATTTTAGGGACATTTCCTAGGGTGTTATTCATTTATTATTATGAATTTACCCTGGCCAAAAGAAATTGGCTGTCTCTTATCACAATGTACATACATATTCAGCTCGGCTTGTACAGCCTCGCATACGTCACTTGGACATAAGCTGTTTATGATGGTCTTTCCCCCAGAATCCAACCTATCATCCATGCAAATCTTAACATCTTGTAAGACAAGAGTCGGTATGATACATACATACTCAACAACAACAGGGGGTTGGTTCATAACGTGAAGCCATGGTTCTGGGAATATTGAAAGCATCCAACACAGTGCAAGTTGGGTACAAGCAGCGCAACTTTTTATTCATAAAAAAACCCACACAAAGTTGTTTTGTGAGACGGACTTTTAAAGCTCGTACGAGCCAAAAAGCTATCGTGGGTAATTTAGCCCCTGCTCCAAAAGCTCCAAAAAAGAATCTTGACCTATGTCTTCACCTATTTCCCCCCCTTAGATGGGGAAAGACTAAGGCGCCAGCAAAGCATCCTGGAATGTTGGTTCCCAATACAAACCGATTTCAGAATGGAGCAAGTACATAGCAGCCTGGACTCTTACTATGGGTCTATTATATGCAAGTGCTATTCTCCTGCTACCCTTTATTATCCTTACTATCCTTACTTATCCTTACTACTACTGTTGTCTCGGTTTCATATTTGCTTGTCGGCTTATCGGGTTCTCAGGTTGGATAAGTGACTGAGAATCATGAAGTCAAAGCTGGCCTTCCCCTACCTAGCCCACCAAAAATTATATATATAAGGCCGGGGCGCCTCACGCTGCTCATTGGTTCTTCCCCACTGTCTCTTGTCAGCTCCATATAGGGCACCAGACGCACAACAAAGGAATAGTTGATAGTTGCTAACTTCCCACCTTCAGAAACGCTCGATTGAGAGGGACTTCGGGCAAAGCCCAAGGTCAGAATAAGAGCCCCGTACAAACCAGCAGCGGTCAACCCATCTCTCCCACCAGTCTCTCCCAAGGCAGCCAGTCACCCATTAGCCTAGCACCAAAGATTCCTCCACTTCCTAGCTCACCATCCTTAGCTCAGAATATCGGCATGGATGATTCCAGCAACGCAGGAGCCAATGGCGACGACGTTCTCGGTGTTTATCACCTGCCTCGACCTCTGCCCCTATGGCTCAACGCACAATACGCGAAGCATATCGTGAAGGGTAACTTCATGACCTTGAGTGCCCGCCCGAAGACCGTGGAACAGGGGGAGTGGATTGCTCATCAAGGTAAATAGCTTTAGTGTTATGTCCTCATGAACCTGACCGGGAAGCTTCTAACGTATTGCAGTGGTCGAGCATTACCGCAACCTTTGGAACTTCGTACGAGTGATTCATGAAAAAGAAGAAGATGGCAATACGATCTGCAATCCCCAGACTTGCCCTCGGATGTCCGCTGGCGCGTGAGTAGAACATCCATGAAAGTGGCCAATGGCTTGGCGTATCTAACCCAGGATATAGGAACCATTCTTTCACATGGCTGAACTACAAGCGGGAGCCCGTCGAGTTGCCGGCCTACGAGTATATCACGCTTATGCAGCGGTGGATATCTGGAAAGATCGACGACACGAACATTTTCCCTACTGATACCAACGGCGTTTCTTACGCGCATAACCCATCCATCACCACGACGCCGCTCTCGCAACTATCCAACCCCGAAGACAAAGATTGGCTTGGAAAGCCCAGTGGGTTCCCCGAGAACTTCTTGGAAGTTTGCCAGACCATCTTTAGACAGATGTTCCGGGTATATGCTCATCTGTATTGGGCGCACTTCATCGACCCGTTCTACCATTTGAACCTCGAAAAGCAGCTGAACAGCTGTTTCAGCCACTTCGTGTTGACAGCCTGCGCGCTGGACATGTTGAAGCCCCAAGAGTTAGAACCTATGCAGCCGTTGATCGACCTATGGGCGGCGAACGGTACCTTCCCGCCCGGCTCCAAGGCATACGAGTATTCCAACCACAAAGCCGGAGAGCGATTGATGCAGCTTGCGAATGTCGCATAGGGTGCGCCTCGCCATCATATTGCACGACGATGGTAGCCGTAGAAGGTCGATATGCCTGAGGCATTGGTCCTGGATTGAGTAGCGAGCGGATCTTCTATACAACTAGCCTAGGACGACGAGTAGTACTGAAGGAGAGGGGGAAAGAAAACCCATAATATCGTCTCGTACACACCGCAAATGGATATCCTGAAATTGAGGAGTTGGCACGAGGCGTTTTCGTTTTGAGATTTGACTAGGGAGAATCAGCTCACGACGCATGGGAAGAAGAGTGCGGGCGATTCGGTTGGTAAATAACGTTCGTATGAAACGACGTACCACTTTCTGCGATAACGACACGATACGATACGGTGCGAGGTTTTGCATCTCGAGAGTTCTATAGCATAGACGCGGCATACTACTTAGGTAGAGAATGAGACAAGATACTCGATATTAGATGCTAGATGCTAGATGCTAGAATAATAGGTCCACGCTACTGCTCGTGTGACTTCTTGCCTATCTGGGTATCCATGGTATATCTATCTGGATTATAGTGTTATTCGGTCTAGAATCTACGAGGGTGGCCTATGTTGCCTATTTGTCTATATTTTAAATATCTGCATCTTCTGTCTATCCGCACTATGCCGACGAAGGTGGGCTGTGAAATACATTCCCCGCATTGGATTAGACCGCTCAAATGAATGGTCGAATCTCAAACAAAACTCTAGGTATCGTACGCATTTATACTTTATAGCGCAAAAGGGAAGATTCGATACGTAATGACTTGCTTCTCTTATCAGCTGGATGCTATTTTTAAGATACCTAGTAATTTGATTACTTGTAGGCACAACTACCTCCAGGCAACTAATTGATCGCATCGTCTACTATGAACCTCTCCTTCAGCGCGGGTAACCCAGCGGATGATGCACATCTACAGCGGTGCTGGAGGATTCAGAACTGCAAGGACTGTCTGAAGAAGGAGCCGGACTGCAGTTGGTGTCCATTTGTATGTGTGCCATTCTCTATAATTATGTAGGAAGTCCACGGATGGTTTGGAGATTTCAGTAGGACTAATCTTGTCTAATGTATATACATATATATTCGTAGTCCTGGACATGCGTCCCCAATTCGAACCGGATCCAATTACTCGCGCCGGCATGGGACGAGAACGTATGTCCGCATTGGGCTGAGCGGTGGGAAATTCGCGCTCGGCCGCTCGGCTGTCAGGTCTCGACCATTACCACGCTAACTTCGCTTGTTTCTATTGCATCAACGCTCATCTTCGTGGTGGTCGTCACATTGGTGGTATCTGGGTTCCGGAGGCTTAGGGGATATAGTAAGAAGAACCCGGGCTGGTGGAAAATATGGAAATATGATTGGAGGGGTTGGAACGGACTTCGGCAACAGTGGCTTCGCGTGAGGATTGGTGATCAAATCGGTACAGGAGCTTGGGAATCAAGTCGCGAGCAGGAGCCATTGCTACCGTCCTGAGTATGTATAAAAGAGCATAGCTGGGTCACAGGGAAACAAAATCTATGGATAATAATTTGATATCGAATTTGGTCTTCACTTGCAATCTTCAGCCAGAACTGACTGGGGGGATAATAGCGACCTCGTCACCCTCCTTGATCAGGGTTTCGGTAGATTCATCGGCAGATTCTGGGATGTCGACGTAATTAAGGTTGATTGTCACCAAGCACGAACTGAGAACTTTGTCTTTCATACCACTATACTTCTCTTCTAACACATCGAACAATTTCTGTAGAGAAAGTGGTGCAGGTAATGTATCGAATTCTTTCGAGGTGAAAGAACTTGCACTTGCGAAGTAGAGGATGTTGAAATGGCCTTTCGGCGGCTTAAGAACGGCACCCATTGCGGAATCTAATTGGGCCTAGGACGAAACATCGACTATCTTTGAGATTCTTGTTAGCTACTATATTTCCAACAGATATTGTAACAAGGTGTAAACGGGTGTTGATTCAGAGATCTTGGTGATATGGTAGAACATCAGTGATGATCAGTTAATACATGCTATTTGTATACATCATACAACGTGAATATAACTTGAAAAAAGGAAATGGCTTACCATATGTTAATAGAATGGGCTAATCTTTGGTTACCCAAGTCGAGAAAGTGAAGTTGAAGAAGGAAAAGAAAAAGAGAAAAGAACTGCAGCTTTTGAAGCTAGTTGTAGGAAAAAAAAAAGTTCTTAGACGCTAGTATCATGGATTAGTAAGCAATATAGTTAGTGTACTGTAAGTTTATCAGTTTTCTTCATGCAATAGCTTCTGTTATCGGTACTGGTTGCGATCTTGAAGTCCCTAAGCTTAAAATAGGAGATTTAAATTGCAGAAATGAGAAATATCAATCCAAAGACAATCAAGTAGCTGCATCACGCAAAGTGTATTATTCGGGGTATGAATCGTGCTTTATTCGCAATGCAGAATGCCCACGATAGTCCGGCGACTCCTGTTACAAAAGGAATCTTGACCGCGAATCCTGTATGATGCTATTGATCTTTGACCGTAGTCTGATCGTAAGCTAGCAGTAAAATCCTGTCCCTCATGCTCGCAACTCCTCCCAAAGGAAATTCCATTTTTATCGTAATCGTCGGGCTTCACGCTCAGACTCGAGTAGGCAGAGAATGTCGTCCTCACGAACTATACAGTCATATAGTTAGTCACTGTCGAATCGCGCAGTTATATAAATCAAGGAAATTTCGTGGGTTCGCACCTGGTCCCTTGACGTTTCGGATGATGCTTCGGGTCTGGTCGTCCATGAATTCGACACGGACTTGGGTAACACCACCACGAGAACCTATATCCGTCAGCTCCTGCTAGTTTCAATTTGCGACGTCGCATATCCCGGGTTGCCAGAATGCCATGAGGGGATCGTACCGGTTCGACCTAGGACGCGGGTGACCTTGACAAGCTTGACGGGCTGCTTAGAGGACTCCATATTTGCAATCTGACTGGTTTGATTAGGGCTGATGATTCGCAAATGGGTTCGGGAATGCTTTTCGTACTTGTGATTGAAGTTTTGCAAGGGGTTTGCTGCCTGGTCGCGGGAAATGGAAATTTGTCAAAAGTTGGTAGGAATTTTGATTAGTTCAAGAAGTTGTAGTCTCGCTTAAGCCGTTCTTAGTTGTGGGTAGGGCTTTTTTTCATAACGCATGGACCATGTTAGTACGTACTCTCATTATCGATACCATAGCACAGCTCTCTCGTAAATGCATATACCTTTTTGTCATATTTGGCTCCTCTTTTAAATGCATAATAAAAGTTAACTCAAGCTACATGAGCAATAGGGACTGTTTGATATGATATCGTAGAATGATATTCATAAGTATATTATTGTATCACTCTTTATTTGTTCTTCTCTGAGAAGGTTAAAGGTTTGATGATTCGTAATAGGGGTATCAGGGCCGATGTAAATCACAAGTAGATATAATAGTATCACTACTATCAAGACAACCCAGCCACTTTGGCTTCTAGATCTTTTACCCACCCTTCTACCACCTTCATATTGGCCGTCATAGTTGCACCTCCGTCACCCATAACTGTTTCTATCTTCTCTAGACCTTCTCTCCACTGCTTGATGTCGACAGCCATTTCGCTCTGCGATCTTTCGATACGCTCGAGCGTCTCATTAGCTGTCGCTGCATCGGCATGGATAGCTCTCAGTGAGCGGAGTCTGTCTAGCAGTGGAGGTAGAAGAGGCGCTAAGCTTTCGATGGTTGGTAGTGTCCCATAGAGAGCGTTTATCTTGGCTGTTTGTTCTGAATCATCTGCTTCAATCGGAGAACCACCCGTAGAGGCAAGAGAATCTTGTGCTACCTTAGCCGCCTTCCTCGACTTTTCCAACTGCTCAGCTTCTTGAGTTAACGTCCGTACCCGACGACTAATGCTGTCGAGGGATGAAGTAGACGCTTCCGATAACGTCAAAATCTGGTTCTGGAGCGTTTCTAGGGTAGGCATGATAGCCCGGCGTAGGCCGCTGCCTTCTAGTTCGGGCGTAGCCGAGGAAGTAATACCAATAGCTTTCTCGAGTAATACCAATCGCCGATCGAAGTCAGCAGCTTTGGCGAGGGCGTGGCTCTGTTCATAACTCGGCGCGTAGGTGACGGTGTATGTTGCCTCGTCTAATGGTGACTGGGCTGATATTTGAGTCTCGCCCCTCGATTGCTTGCTGGTGGCCGTTGTTGGGTGATCTCTAGTCGCTATTGCTCTTTCTGGAACAGTCGAAATCTCCTCCAATGCCCGACTTAGTGAGACGAGGTCTATATCTTGGTCTGGTATAGCCTCCGCCGATTCGGACTTCCGTTTACCATACTCTTCCTTAGCTTCCTCGATCTCGCGTTTTAGCCGTGCGATCTTTCTCTGTAGATCCTCACCCCCCTCCTCGTCACTTAAATCGCCGATCTGTTCAGTACCGTCTTCGAGAATTCGCTGTCTTCGACTGGAGGTCTTATATGATTTCCGCTTTCCGTTCAGCCGATCAGAGAAATCCACATCTCGAGCGTCAACTTGTGCAGGTAGAAATCGAGACCGAGCTTGATCTATTCGGAGTCGCGAATGCGAGATTTCGTGGATATCGTCGTCATCATCTTCGTCAAATTCGTTGTCCGACTGCGAACGACCTGCAGTAGTCTAAGGGGGCGTTTAGAATGATATGCGTTCTACTAGGAGTATCAATATATCCTTACAGGAACAGTAGAATTGTCGTCCGTCAACTCGGGAGTCTCATAAATATCAGGCGCAGAGTCCTAGATATTGGTTAGTGCAATACATAGGCAAATCTAAAGTACTTAAACATACTAGATCTGGTAATGCGGCATACTTTCGATTTAATGCCATATCGAAGGTTGGAAATTTTCGCAGATTCTAATGGGCCAAGTTTCCTAGCTTGTTGTTAGGGAGAGCTGTAGAAGTTCGAATCCAAACAACGGAAGCCAATGTGAAAGTGGAAGAAGTGGAAGGTTACAGGTACCTAGGTACGTACCTGTAAGTACATGACTTCCACTGGGCTCTTACATTCCATAGGTACATGATGTACATGTAGAGGTAACCTTGATGTACCTTTCAAATGACATGTGGCTGGATTTGTGGCTTATTACCGTAAAGGTTCCTGCCTTTCAACGCGTTACAAGACGCGTCGTTCTTGCACTATGTATGTACTTTGAGGTACATAACCATCACCAAACTTGCTATGGATAACGTCTCCAGCTCATGTTAATCAATTAAAAATGTTAATCCATTAAAACACACATGACGCATGGAGATACAGAAGCATCCGTGATTAATTATCAGTGCGTTTATTTCAAGTACCTATTCCTTATAATTATCTTGCTTCCTTAGTTACTAACATCGTATTTGCCTTATTAAAGCAATTCCTTAGGCACCAGGTAACGCATGAGGCACATGAAGCACACTTTCTTTTCAGCTGTGCTTTTCTCACCTTACTAAGTAAGACTCTTACTCTTCACCCTCAATCATTGCCTCAACAATCGTATGGGTACATGTTCCTTGGCAAGAGACAATCACCTGCAGTCATATTGCATCTTGTTTGTGCTTGGTATATCCGCACACTGCTTGGTTCTGGTGATAAAGGTCAAAGAAGTTTCAATGCCGATTATTATACCAAAACGGCGTATTGGACTAAGCTCCACCCAGAACCCGCCTCGTCTTTTGAAGAAGATTGGAAATCAAGAAACTAGAACTTCTAGATCTGAATCTAACAATGTTAGAAGCAAAATCCCCGCCTCAAATATGAATAGACTTGAAAAGAATCGAGAACCAGGATCCATCACTGCGCCGCCTGAGAGTAGTGATGAAGAGGAGGATTATCGACAACAACGTCAAAGCGATCACAATAGCTTGCACGACTCTGATTCTGATAACAGTGACAGCCGATATAAAGATATAAAGCCTACAATTTTTAGTAGCTCACAAAAGGGTGGGCCTTCCAGCTCGGCTAGTTCAAAAAGATCATCTAAAGATGTCGCTCCAGAGGCGGACAATCACCTCACGAATGTGTATGGCTTCACGAGAAACAAGGATAATAACCCAACTATCACCAGGCGTGCCACAACTTATGGCAGTAGACCATCTCAGCCTAGAGTTTCACAGGGAAGAGCATCACAAAAATCCAGACCTAAAACTTCAGTATCACAACCTGAAAGTCAGTTTATGCACCTTCGTTCGCCGTAGCTATTACTAACGAAAGGTTTTCCTAAACTACTAGATGACTCGGGCAAATCATTTAGGCTGTTTAAAACTAGCCCAAGCCCCGAAGGTATTCGGTCACCTCCAGCAAAGCGGTTTATAAAACCTGAGAGTATCAGCCCAGAAAAGACAAAGCCCTCTAAAGCTTTCATCAGACCGTCATCCTTATCAGGTTCTAGTCCAAGTCGAGACACCAAGAAACCCGTATTTAGACGTGGCAGTTTATCATCAGATGAATCGCTATCGAAGAGCAAATCTAAAAAGCTTGGCCAAGAAGAATCAAATGCAGAAGCAGAAGCAAAAGCAACATTGCTGCCTGGTAGGATAAAAAAGTCGATGAGACCTAAAAATAAAAAACGAAAAGCCCTCCATGAACCCGCGGTAGATGAATTCTCTCAGAGACCAGCTTTTAAGCTGCATGCTTTAGATGATCTTGACGACCTAGACGACGGCAATGATATGGACTTTGACGTGTTTGGGACTAAAGGCTCCGATGACGACGCAGGCGATATCAGTATACAAAGCCCACCAGCTATTGCGGCGAGGTGTCCTATGTGTCGTGAAGTAGTCGACGCCGAGCTTCTAGCGAAGCATTCAGACCACGGCAGAATGAACATAAAGAAACAGGCAGCATTCTGCAGACTACACAAGCGGCGAGCAGCGTCGGATTCCGGAACTCGGAAAGGATATCCCAAGGTTAATTGGGAGAAGCTCGATACACGATTAGACATGTACCAAGGTTTATTGAAAGAAATCTTGGAAGGTACTCGAAAATCACACTATTGCGAATTATTACGAGAGAACGTGGAAGCGGGAAAGAATCGAACGTTACTCAAGACCGATGACAGCCTTACACCAGGTTACTATGGGCCGCATGGACTCCGCGTTATGACTGAGTATATCTTGCGGACTTTATCGTCAGTTATTCGAAAGCGTGCAATTGAAGACAGACTCGTTTCCGCCAGAGGTTATACAGGATATGTTCAGGCAGTGTTAGTGCCTGAGTTAGCCGTCCGCCTAATCATGGAGGACATGGACATTCCGGAGGAAAAGGCGCGGGATATCATGCTGGAAAGTATCGATGTCGGAGAGCTCTTATATGAAGACTCTGGTGATGTTATTGCCGGGGTTAGTGATGAAGAGGAAATATGATACTAGGATCTCCAAGGAACTGGGAAACCTACGTTGAGAAGAGGTAGTCACAGTACAATAAATACTTAAGTGTATGCGCTCATCTAAATGTAGATGCTTAGGGCTGTCGCACTGCAGCCCGATCTTCTGTCTATCAAAAGCTCTGATTGGGCTAATGTTATTGTGCGCATTAGCTCTTTAGGCACTACATGTTAGCATATGTAGATCGTGCAGCAAATGCTAAAGAAACCATTCTGTCGTTTGTCAATTTTAATTGAATAGATCGTTATCTTGGTGTCCCAAAGTCAAATACACTTTCAGTAAGTTGACCTTTTCAGAGTGATAGTTTATAGCTTTAGAAGCCCCTTAATTCCTTAACAGGTTAGGTACCTAATGGATCGTTCTAGGATAGAATATAATATTAGAATAAGCACATATTGGTGTTGGGCGCATAGCATGTTTATACATCTGGTGAGACAATACCATGACATCCTAATCAACCATTTGTTGTTATAGTGGATCAAGTAGACCAAATTGATGATATAAGAGACTGATGAAATACATACTCATCGAAGCTAATAGACGGGTTTGGACAGATCAAGTATATGCATGCATGCATGTGCGAGCGCGGGAACTTGCGGCAGCATACGACATGCAGACTGTCGGTCCGGCTTGGTTATTGTACATATGTACGCAACATTATTGCCTACCAAGCAACCTATCAATAAATACACGTTGATACACGTTGACTCGAGCATCGCTTATGACTTGACGAGCCTACTGCGAGTTGGCTCGGGTCGTGGGGAAGATGCCGGACCAGTCCCTGGGGGCAGTGCCCGGGCATGGAAGACAAATCACGAAGACGAAATCCAATTTCCTTTCTCCCATCTTGGATTATAGCGTGGAGTGACAAGTCGACTTTTTATCATGAACATCATCCTAAACACTTATTTTAATAAATCGAGCTCGCTTCGATTTACACTATATCAAAATGGAAAGATTTAACTGCTGATATTGGCGTGGAAATATCATAGTACTCAGTACTCGATGAAGAGCATCTTCATCCAATATTTGACTGCATCTGGCACTTATTACAAGGATTTTGGAGCGGCGCTAAAACTTCGTCTGGGGATCAAGGGATGCCGACGTCTGTGGAGTTGAACTAACCCAGTTTTGTGGAGGTTAGCAGATGGCGCAGAGATCATATAATAGTCAAGGCCATTTAAACCCGCATTTTTGGCTTTTCACCGACGCTTTGGGACAGGGCAATAAGAATCAGTAAGATGTAGCGGTACTCTAACTTACCATAATACTATTCAGTACCTCTGTTAAGGTGGAGATCTTATTTATAAGTATATATTTATTATTGATACCTATAAATGTAAATAAGCAACGAGCCTCATATCTCGAGTCACGGGCTTTTTTTTTCTCGAGTCATACTTACATAGGTAGTAATGAAATATAATCATCGTAGCCTGATCCACGGAAGAGCGGTAACACCAGAGTATGACTCTGCTGCCAAGTCGAAAATAACTCGGTTCGGAAACAGGTTTATCTGATTTGTTGGCATATATATACATACTTTAAATATATACAGATAGAGGCAGAGGCGAATTATGTATACCTGCTTATATGTATATGGTGAGATTCGGTATCCGTAAGTAGTATTGAGTTTTCAACGCAGGCTTACTTCTATGTAATGTACATATATGTAAAATGGTGTGATCGGGGGCTAACTAATAAACGTTGGGCAGGCATATTTACAAATTCTTGGACATCATGGGCTCGATTACGCAGTGTATGGGTTTTAGATGAACTTGTTTACGGCGTGACAAGGTCGACTTAAATAGAGAGAGAGAAAGAAATATATATATATATATATATATATAGTTAGTTATATAAGAAAAAAGAAAGGGAATCAGACGGATTGTCTCAATAGTAGAGATGGAATCCCGGCATCTATCGTATTAGGTATATTCAGCTATTAAAGTCCTACGTGACTAGCGCAATCATTATCATGGAATCCATGACTTCGCCTAGTGTAGTTTCAATATCAATATTGCCTTACATGGTAATAACCTGGCGTTCTTGAATCGAAGTCATTTAATAATAAGATTTCATAATAATAATAATAATAAGACGACTAAGACGACTATTGAGGTTTGAATATGCGCGACAAGCACGGATTAGGAACTAGGAATTCTACCAAAAAAAGATCTTACCCCACTGATTTAATCGATAGGTCTTCCCTTGAGAGGACCTTGAGCGGGCGAGACGTTTAGTGGTTCAGAGGCGTAGCTGCTTGCTCATACCGGCTTTGTACCGAAGGTTGTGCCCGCTGTTGCACTGCACGTACCACCCGAACCTACTTTTAGTTCAATTCTGACACTGACAACTTACCCGACAGTAGCAGTAGGTAGCACCTAAGGTAGCAGCAATTAGTACCCTAGTTATTCTCTCCACTTGTAAGTTGCAGCAGCACTTGCCCTGCCTTCAACTTCGCCCTGCTTTGCAAGACCTTGTTGCATTCAGTCTGCGTCCAGTTTGTGTCTGCTAAAACCAAAACCTTTTCAGCCCTCAATCTTGGCTCTGGGCTTTACCGCATTCTTCGTCTCTAGTAGCCCGTCTCTACTTTGCTTGTCCACTTATCTCTTACCAAGATCCTTTTTCTTGAATATCAGCCAACCTTTTCTAGCGCACTTGGAGACGCTGCGCTTCTCCGTGCACTCTGGGTTACCATCTCCATATAGATACGAATATACATACATTCATACATACATACCTACATACCTACCTACCTACCTAACCTAACCTCACACATATATGCTTACCTAGTTTTACGATACAAAGCCGACTTAAACCTCATAACTCTCTAGAGGGAAATGTTCTGTTCTACCCCTCTTTGATGGCGCCGTCCTATTAATGAAAAGCTGCGAGGACCAGCGCGAAAGCGACAATGACAATGACGCGAGATGACGGCCGTATCACCTCCTTCGCGAGTTCTAGCAGTGGTCACTCAAATATCACGTTGAAGCCATCCGTTCCTAGTCGCTCAGTCTCGGTCTCTTCAGCCTCGGTCTCCTCAGCCTCGACCAAAGCTACGCCGAAACCCATCAAGACGAGCGAATATGGCAAAATCAGGTACGTCATGACTGGCTTCTTTCTTCGCTATACGGATTGGGTCCAGTGAATCATGTGCGGAGCTATCGGCCTTGTTACATTTCATCCGAAGCCTATCTCGAGTGTACTTGGTTAGGGTAAATTAAGTGCCGAGGAACAAGTCAACTGCTGTCTAGCAAATTAGTCGCTTTGTCTATAACCATGTCATTAACAGCAAAGTTTCTGAAAGCTAATCATGTATGCGTTTCAAACATTACATAGACCGTATGCTGAAGACTCTCAAGTCTCACCGACAACTTCCGGCCATCGCCTTGCTTTATCACCGACTTCGACCGCATCTAGCAGTTCACTACTCGACAATCGACGCATGAGCGACCTTGCCGACTACCGTCGCGATCTTGCCGTTCTTAACCCAGCTAATGGCCGTATTCCCCAAATCCAACGAGATCCTCCAACCAGTCCGAATTCCCAGCATAATATAACGCCTTGGATGTCTGTCAACGGTGGGGCGGCTACGTCTCCGACTGGTTTCGGGACGAGCTTCTACAATGATTCGAGCGACAATGTATCCACTACCTCTCAACTTTCGCCTGCCTTTAGATTAGGCCCTTCGCGACCAGCTCAGGCATCAAGCAATGAGTCTCCCGATGCGGCATACTTCACGGACGATAGGCGACCTTCAGCGGCTAGTATAACAACAGCAAGTAGTCAAGGCTCTAAAAACAGTGGCAGTAGAGGGGGGCTTAAGAAATTACAGGGGTTCTTCGGAGAGGATTTCCCAGGTCGCGATTCATCCGAAACTAGCCTGCCAGCACCACCTTCGTCCTCTCAAAATCAAAAAGATCAACGTTCCTACTCTTTCACCCGACCGCGTCGCGGGAGGAACGACTCAAACGCTACCGATCATACCAGAGAACCTTCACCCTCTTCCTCACGACCGCGTACGCCGGTACCTTCAAGCGATGTAGTACCCTTTTTATACCAAGAGGCCAATGACATCGCCAAATACGGCGAGGCTCCGGTTCGCGATATACTGACCGGTCCAGACAGGGAACGCTACACCGGGGAAAGTTCTACACAGATACCGCCGAAAACTTCGTCCTCCTCTCGCTCTGGACACTCGATTGTCCATTTGTCTAGTCATCACCGCCACCACAGGAGCACCGACGACTCCAATACATTGCGCCCGGTTATCAGTCGCGAAGACTCGGCTCTAAACGTTCAAAATATGAAGGAAAGAGGCGGCTCTGCAGCGACTGCGCCGCGGTCGCGGGCCCAAAGTCCCACGCCAAGCAGCAATAGCAATGGTAGTAGACTCGCATCTATTGATGGCCAAACATCCCCTGGGGCTCCTGGAAAACGGGGCATCTTTGATCGGCTACGACGACACAAGCACAAAGATGATGGTCAAGCATCACGTTTAAGAAGCATGCCCGGCTCTTCTCGCTCGCTTGCGCCATCGTCGTCCCGGCAAGATTTATCAAAAGGGAATCAGTCGCCTTATGACAAAGCTCCCTTTACCGTGGAAACTACAACCCCTCAGGCTCGCCCATCCAACCCCCGACAAGCGACCTTCAATAACAAATTCCCCTTCTCGAAGAAGGGGCGTCCGCATAAGGCCTATGACGATCCCGATGAACACATTGGTCCAACTGATAGGAATGACAAGGGCAATGTGTTCGTCCTTGATACAAATCTGAACGATATGGAAGGCATATTGGCACAACCTCCGCCTTTGACACCTATGGAGCCTTTGTTCTTACCGACAGATACCGAGCCTTTGGAACCAGTTCAATCTAAAGGAACCGGGGCATGGAACGCGCCAGACAGCTGGGCTGTCCGTCGTACTGCGGAGGAAAAAGAGACTCATGTCCCTGAAGTTGAGGAAGTTGGGGCTCCACCAAAACCTGAGGAGAAGCAGAATCCTCACTGCATACGGGTATTCCGCGCCGACGGTACTTTTGCTACCGTACAAATGCCACTAAACTCTACTGTTGCCGACGTTATGACCCAAGTCGTTAAGAAGACATTCGTCACTGAAGGTCTCGAGAACTACCATATTGTGTTGAGAAAGCATAATTTATCTCGGGTTTTAGCTGCTCCAGAGAAACCGCTTCTAATCCAGAAGAGACTGCTTCAGCAGGTTGGATATGAAGAAAAAGATCGCCTAGAAGATATCGGCCGAGAAGACAATGGCTACCTGTGCCGTTTCTTATTCCTGTCGGCGAGGGACAACCATTTCACAATGAGTCCCCAGGACCTCGGGCTCGGTAGGGCCACGAAGTTCAACCATGTTGACCTTTCCGGACGAAACCTAATTACAATTCCTATCACGCTCTACTCCAAAACCTCCGATATTATATCTTTGAATCTATCCAGGAACCTTTCTCTTGACCTTCCCCGGGACTTTATCCAAGCGTGTCACCAGTTGCGTGATATCAAGTTCTCTAACAACGAAGCTCGAAAATTGCCCATAAGCATCGGGAGGGCAAACAGTTTAACATATCTTGACGTATCGAATAATCGACTAGAGGAACTGGAGCATGCTGCGCTTGGGCACCTTACTGGCTTGTTGAAGCTGAGCTTAGCAAATAATCGTCTGAACCACCTACCTCAAGAGTTTGGCGCTTTCAGGGCGCTTCGCTCTTTAAATCTATCTTCGAATTTCTTGGACAAGTTTCCAGTCTTCTTATGCGACCTGGAAAGCCTGGTAGATATCGACGTTAGTTTCAATTCAATCGCATCTCTCCCAGACGAACTTGGGAGGCTACAAAGCCTCGAGAAGTTTGTCATGACCAATAACAGGCTTGTCGGGTCATTACCGTCTACATTGAGGGAGCTTCTGAACCTCCGCGAGTTGGATATAAAATACAATGGGCTCACTGCGATAGATGTCGTATACGAACTTCCTAAGTTGGAGATTCTATCTGCGGATCACAACATGATTTCCCAAGTCGTCGGTAGCTTCGAGCGAGTTCGCAGTTTGAAGCTGAATTCTAACCCCATCACCAAATTTGAAATTACGAGCCCTGTACCAACCCTCAAAATGCTCAATTTGTCAAACGCTCAGCTTGCCAGCATCGACGGCTCGTTTAACAACATGGTTAATTTAGAGAGGCTTGTGCTAGACCGTAATTACTTTGTCTCTCTTCCTAGTACCATTGGTACTTTGAGAAGGCTAGAGCATTTTAGCATAGCCCATAACTCCGTAGGCGAGCTACCTTCGGAAATCGGTTGTTTAAACGAACTGAGAATACTGGATGTCAGAGGGAACAATATTAGAAAGTTGCCAATGGACTTGTGGTGGGCAAACAAGTTGGAGACGCTCAATGCCTCTTCAAATGTGCTGGAGAATTTCCCAAAGCCCGCTTCACGTCCACCCCAGATGCCCGGGGAATCTTCAGGCTCGCCTGCTCCTAGCAATAAGCTGCCTACCGGACCTCTATCTCAAGCGTCTAGCTCCGAAGATCTTCTCGCTGATAGGTCGCGTCAACCAAGCCAAGCATCAAGCACATTGCTAAGCGTCGGACCTTCTCCTGTTCCTGGCGGCTCGGATAGAAAAAGCTCTGTTGTTTCGGTCTATGGAAAAGGAGGGCGCAAAACTTCGGTCCTTTCGCGAACGACAACAGCTAGTAGCAGTGTTAACGGGACTGTGACTCCTGCCATAGGGTCGAGAAAAGACTCGGGACTTTCTACCCGGCTAACTAACACGTTCGCCGGTTCGTTGAGAAACTTATGTCTTGCTGATAACCAACTCGACGACGATGTGTTCGAGCAGATCACGCTACTTGCCGAATTGCGCGTTCTCAATTTATCGTACAATGATTTGAACGACATGCCACAGCGGTGTATCAAGAATTGGCCCCAGCTTGTAGAGCTTTATCTGTCAGGCAACGACCTCACAAGTCTGCCAGTTGATGATCTGGAAGAATACAGCTTGCTTCAGGTACTTCACATTAATAATAACAAATTCACGAACCTTCCGGCAGATATTTCCCGAGCCAAAAAGCTGGCTGTATTGGATTGTGGAAACAATTCCCTCAAGTACAATATCTCAAACGTACCGTACGATTGGAACTGGAATCTAAACCCAAATTTACGGTTCCTCAACTTGTCAGGAAACAAACGACTGGAAATCAAACAGACAAATGCTGGCCTGGTGTCCCAGAACCGCGAGCAATATACCGACTTTAGTCGGTTGTTGAACCTCCGTGTGCTTGGATTGATGGATGTTACCCTTACTCAGCCAAGTATCCCAGACCAGAGCGAAGACCGTCGTGTCAGAACCTCAGGTTCATTAGCTGGCCACCTGCCATATGGTATGGCCGATACACTAGGTAGAGGCGAGCACCTATCAACTATCGACCTGGTCGTCCCGAGGTTTAATTCCTCAGACTCAGAGACGCTCTTAGGGTTGTTTGACGGACAGGCATTGTCTAGCGGTGGCTCTAAGATCGCCAAGTATCTTCATGAGAATTTCGGGCATATCTTCTCAATGGAACTGAAGGCTCTGAAGACACGCCAAAACGAGACACCCGTAGATGCGCTTAGACGTGCATTCCTCGCCCTCAACAAAGACCTTGTCACTGTAGCCGTTGAGCATAGTGAAAAGAGGCCGTTGATGTCACATCGTGGTTCGTCGGCGTCTGTAGTTCTTAGCAAGGAAGACCTCAATTCTGGGGGCGTTGCTACAGTGGCGTATCTGCAAGGTCAAGAACTGTACATTGCCAATGTTGGCGATGCGCAGGCAGTACTCATACAATCCGACGGTCAACATAAAATCCTCACGCGGAAACACGACCCCGCAGAGCCGGGCGAGCGTCAACGAATACGCGATGCTGGGGGTTGGGTATCGCGCCAGGGGAAGCTAAATGATCTACTCGAAGTCTCCCGTGCCTTCGGTTACATCGACTTGATGCCGGCTGTACAGGCGGCTCCCCATGTTCTCCAGATACCTATCGCGCCACAGGACGAAACGATTTTAATTGCAACAAAAGAGTTATGGCAGTATCTTACTCCCGGCTTAGTGGTCGACGTCACTCGATCGGAGCGGGGCGATCTTATGCGTGCTGCACATAAGCTACGAGATCTTGCTATCGCGTATGGTGCAACTGGGAAAATCATGGTCATGATGATCAGCGTCTCTGATCTCAAGCGGCGCCAGGAGCGGTCAGCTCGTTTGCATAGAGGGCAGAGCATGTCACTGTATCCCTCTGGCGTCCCAGACGATTTCCAGTATCCGACCAAGCGAGGCAGAAAACCCAAAGGGGAGGTCCAGGACTCCACATTACACAGGCTTGATCCTGAAGTTCCCGCCCCTACTGAAAAACCTTCTATTGTTTTCACTGATATCAAGAACTCGACTAATCTGTGGGAAACGTATCCCTCGGCCATGAGATCCGCTATAAAAGTGCACAATGAAATTATGCGACGGCAACTTCGCAGAATCGGCGGGTATGAAGTCAAGACTGAAGGTGATGCCTTTATGGTCTCTTTCCCTACCGCCACCTCAGCGCTCTTGTGGTGCTTTGCCGTCCAAACCCATCTGCTAACGGCAGATTGGCCCTCGGAAATTTTGAACTCGGTTTCTTGCCAAGAGGTGTACGACAATGATAATAACCTCATCTTCAGAGGCTTATCGGTTAGAATGGGTATCCATTTTGGCGAACCAGTAGCCGAAATTGACCCCGTTACGCGTCGGATGGACTATTTTGGTCCGATGGTGAATAAAGCGTCTCGTATTTCTTCCGTAGCCGATGGAGGTCAGATTACCGTGTCCACGGATTTTATCTCCGAAATTCAGCGTTGTCTTGAGACCTACCAGGAAAGTGAGCGAAATGGAACTGCTGGTGCTGAAGACACTTTCGATGATGACGCGACGTCGGCGGCAATTAGAAGGGAGCTAAAGTCGCTCAGCTCACAAGGGTTTGAAGTCAAGGATATGGGTGAGCGGAAGCTCAAAGGCCTTGAAAATCCCGAGGGTATTTATTCCCTCTACCCACATGCTCTCGCTGGTCGTATCGAACATCATAACAACGCACTGATAACGACCGATTCCGCTGAGAAGCCTGCTACACTTCAGCCCGGGAGTGATCTCGGATTTGATCCAAGTCTTATCTGGTCTCTATGGAAAGTTAGTTTGCGCCTGGAGATGCTTTGTAGTTCTTTGGAAGAGATGTCAGCCGGCGGTTTGCAGCCTCCCGAGACCGAACTATTGGAGCGTATGAAGCAACGTGGTGGTGAAATGACGGAACAGTTTTTATTCAACTTTATGGAACATCAAGTGAGCCGTATAGAGGTATGTGTCTCAAGCCCTACTATTATCTTTTTCTTTTTCCGCTTTATATTTACTAACCGGTCTTCATTATAGACTTGTATTTCCACACTCACGATGCGACATATTGCCATGGGTAGCGGCCAGATTACCTCGCTAGATGATCTCCGAACACCAATGGCTGTCGTCCTCGATAATCTTGCTGCCCAGCTGGCCGAACTTGAGCGATACAAGGCTAGATATGGCGATCTTACTACCACTGACAGTGAGGGCGAGGCACTCACTACCGACCAAGAGTCTGACGACTGATAACCTCCGTTTTTGATTATCCTAAAATCTTGCCCTCCGTTTCCATATAGTATATCACGCTAAGATCCCACTGGCCCACGTCTTTAACAGTACTACTACCTTGCGTTCTTTTTTCTACGCAATTGAAAAGGGCTGTGCAGTTCCACCCTATATACAATACCGACCTTTAATGTGCTATGACGAAGATATCTCTTATGACTACTTCTGGGGAGGCGAGGGTGTTTGTTTACAAGTCATGTTCGGGTGGTTGATTGAAATGTGGGCAACGGCATCCTGCGAGCAGCCGAGGGCTCAAACGGAGACTATCATTGGCGTTTAGACGCTGACGAATAACAACTGAAGTGTGAGAATGTGCGTTTTTTTGGAATATTCGAAAAAGAAAAGTTCAGGTTTGGATGTAAACCTCGTTATTATTATTGCTTTGGGCATGGCATTGGGATACTTTCTTAACGGGCATAATTAGCTACGCCGTCGTTGCATCGCGCAGACGCTGCGAATGGGCGTTTCTACGGGGGGTACCAGGGGAGTGGGGAGAGACTGGGCTCCGGGAGAGAGACGGGAGGATCTATTCCCTCCTTTTTTAAATGTTTTCCCGTTGGTAGTTGGCGAGCGGGCGTCGCGTCGACCGTCACACACACCATTACGCAAATACGTGTAACGGGTACGTACGGCTGCTGGCTGGCATCGCCTTACCCGATACACACACGTCAAGGAAGCCTCATCAAGTAGGTGGCAGGCGGATCGCTCATCACCAGGGATGGGTTAGTTTGGCTATTGTCAGTGTATAACTCAGTTGATTTTGCATTTATCCCGTCTTATTGAACATATGTGATATCGCTCAAGTTATCAGTGCTTCTCGATATACATTTATAAGGGGCATCATACATACCTACCGTACCTAAGTACCTACCTATAGTCTTTTAAGAAATATGGCGGCATGTATCATTATGTTATAATAATATCACAATAAAACTCTATATAGGTATTTACCACATAGTTAACTATCTTTATAAACATAAATAATCACATTTGAATTCCCGAAAGCAGTAACTATTGTAAGCTAGTAATAGAAACGGCAGATGTCTAAGTAAAAAATATAACGATTCAATAAGCAGTATTTAGACACCTAGGTACTCAGGTAAAATTGAAAAGCAAAAAGTAAATGGCCTTCAGCCGGGCACGAACCCAAGACCTCTCACGAGAAAGTCAAAAAAGTTTGCATCCGCCGGGATTTGCACCCGGGTCTTTCCTTAACCATTCGACCACCAGGGGAAATGGGAGAGGAATAAGTTAACTACTACTCCACGGATGCGTTTGTCATTTGTGCGTTGGGAAGTGTATTAGTTATTAGATATTATAAGGGTTCTACTTGGGTAGGTGCCTACTTGGGAGATAGGAAGGTAAGCTGGCAGGTGCGTAGGTGGGTGGGTTGGTAAGGAGGGAAGTTACTGTCGTGATAGTGAAACTACCTAACGTACCTAAGGGAAGGAACGCGTTTGGAAGTAGGAGACGCGTCTTGGAAGGAAGGCTATTCCATCTCACTCAATGCTAAAGTACCTAAGGTACATGTATGTCTTATACATACATGTAGGTACCTAATGTAACTAATGTTTCTTACACCATTTGCATATGGGTATATCTTTAATACTTGCCTCCGACATATACCATATTGTAAATGCCAAATTACTTGGAATAGCAGCATGCTCTCAATAGAAATCTAATAATTTGTATGTTATTATCTAACATGCATAAAGAGGTATGTATTGCTTACATGTTACTACCTTGGATGCATCAGGCACGCATTTACTTCTGTCTTGATGATTTAGGTACTTTGTGACGAGATCTTAATATCCCCTATATGGACTCCAACATAAGCTAACATACATGGACTAATAGTGCCTTTACACAAACGATGTAACTTATAAGGAAAAGACTATTCGGTTACTTGCTTAGGGGGTAAGTAGTCTGTCGTCTGTCTAATATGTAAACAACACCAACTCCATCTACATACCTAAGCACGCATATATACAAACAAATAATAAATACCATTTGCTTTGATCCTCATTGTTCATTTCATTTTATATTTTAGTCACAACGAATGATATTGTGTAGACCTAACTAACTAACTAACAGAATACAAAGCTGTAAGGGGTATATCCATATGCATCCTTCACATCAGAAACTGCCACATTACTTTCATCACGATATATCATATAAATTGCCCAATCGGGTAGCATCGGGCCTCATCTGGATGGATGGATGGATGGACCCAGCCCACCTGCTCCCCAAATCTTGCATCTTGCCTACTTCCCATCCCCTCAGCCTTGCCACGTCACTTGTACACACCAAGATACACCCAAACGCAGCTATCCCATGCTATACAGTACAACCAATGCTCCAAAGCTAGTGGGGTCCCCTTACACATCTGCCACAGAGACGAGAATATCTAACCCTAGGAAACTATCATCCCCATAACTATATGAGAGGCACAACCCAATCCAAAAATGTCCCATAAATCTTAAAATTGTTTTATGAGGAGTAGGTTACGAAAATAAAAACGCCCAAGAAAACATTCCCGTAACCAATGGCGGTAGGGTCTCACCCTGTTAATCAAGTCTCCAGTTTCGCCCCTCAAGAGCCAGTAAGCTTCCTCCACCAACTGCTTCGAGGTGTCGAGTCTGTGAAGAAAGATTCGCGCGGGCCACCTTTGGCACCATTCTTATCACCACTACCGTCCGAACCGCCTACGCGACGATCTCGACGATCCCGTTGGTCTCGTTGATCCCGTTCCTCGTGGCGCGCACGGCGGCGTCGTCGGTCGTCCTCTATTTCTGCATCGATATCACCATGCTTTGCGCGACGGCGTGCTCGTCGTGCAGCACGGCGAGCTTCTTCGTCGTCCTCAGGAGGCGCATCGGTAGTGGGGCCATCCTCAGGGGGTGGTCCAGACTCTGAATGCTCCTTCACCCAGGAATCTGTACCCGAGTGAGGCCAAACCGCAGGTCTACTTCGTCTGCGATCACGATCATCTACAGCATGTCGTGAAGATCTTTCCTGAGGGTAGACATAATCTTCGACCGGCATGGTACGTCTTCGATTGACCTTTTCTTCGGCACGCCTGGCGTCGTGTCTCCTCCGTCGACGTTCTTCTTCGTCCTCAGAAGCGTCAGCATAGCGTGGTCGCCGCCGTTCAGCCCGAGCAGCGCGGCGAGCTTCTGCTTCCATCTCCTCGGCGGCAGCAGCCTCCTTTTCAAGTCTACGAAGCCGACGTCGTTCGGCTCTCTCAGCTTCTTTGGCTTCGACTGCAAGGCGCTCTGCTTCGCGTTCCCGGGCAGCCCTACGCTCAGTTCGTCGGGCCTCGCGTTCAGCTTGTTTACGAGCTTCGGCGTCCTCTTCATACCTTCTCCGCCTCTCGCGCCTTTCCTCTTCTTTCGCTAGACGCGCTTCTTCTATCGCCTTCTCTTCGGCTCTTCTGGCACGGCGAGCTGCGCGGCGGGCCTCTCTCTCGTCGTCTATGGCATCTGCGTCGACAACGTGATAATCTCGCGTGGACCGCCTAGCCCTCTTGTCAGGCCGAACTTCATCGTCCGTAGTGTAGTATGTACTGCGACGACGTGGCTCGGGACGCGTTTCGGGACGTGATTCGGGGCGCGGATTCGAGGACCTGAGGCCCCCAAAAAGACCAGCAAAGCCTTTCTTGGCACTCGAGCTCGATCGCTTGAGAGGGGTTGCATCGGCAGGGTTTCCTATATCAAACATGACCGCATCATCCTCGGTTCTGGGCTGTTTTGGGTTAGCAAGGACAAATTTTGTATAGCGGTGAGCTCCTACCTTTGGCCGTCTACGAGCCGACTTCTCAGGGCTCGAAGGAACTTCTCCGGCCCCGACCATGACGATTTCCTCATCATCCAAGGCGCGTGTCATAGAGGTCTTGCGGCTGCGACTCTTTTCGCTCTTGTCAACACCGAAGATCTTGGCAGCCTTGGAGGACATCATAGGTATTTCCTCAGGCGGTGGCGACACTAATCCATTTGCAATATCATCCAAATGGCGACGCGAAGTCGACTTGCTCGCACTGTAGCGTTTATCGCGGGTTGACATGGAGCGCGAGATAGGGGGCGTGCTCTGGAATATACTGTTCGTGCGTAGATTGGTAGCTGGTGGCAATTTTTTCTCTGGGTGCTCTTCGGATTTATTATCCCTTTCTGACGACGAGCCCTTGGAAGAAGATGACTTCTCTTTCTCTTTCCGGGTCCTCTTCTCTTCGAATCTCGGCTTTGACCTCCTCTCCTCTTTGTGAGGTGTTGCCGACCACACTCCCCGTGATGCACTACCTTCACGGCTGATCTTGGGTCGATCTCTCCTAGAGGACTTGACCTCGGGTGGCGGTGTAGGGGGCTCGTCCGGGGCAGCTGGAGGGGGGATGGGCACTTCGGGAGGTGGTGGTGGAATAGGAACCTCAGGTGGTGGAGGGGGTGCCTCGACGGCCTTGGTTTTGCTCTTCTTACTGCTTTTCTTTTTCTTCTGTACTGGCGCCATATCAACGATGTCGACGATTTCGTTTTCATCTTCGTCAGGGAAGCCCCCGGGGAGTATGTCTCTAGAGGACCTAAATTTGTTATCTTCTTCGATGGGTGGTGCGACACGAACACGTGGCGGCGGCGCAGCCAGCCCGTCAATCAAATCATCGTCTTCTTCCTCTTTGGCCGGTTCGAATTTCCTAAGCTTTTCGGCAAGCTTACCGTTCTTGGCCTTAGTTTTCCTTGGCTTCATCCAGTCATCATCAGTTGTGGGAGTTTTCGAAGATGATGGGGCATCCTCAACGGGGGGTTCTTCTGGAAGCTTTGATGACTCAGCACATATAATCTCGGCTGCTCCCGAACTCTTGGGCATCTTAGGGCTACTTACCGGTTCGGGTGACGAGCTCTTCGCCCTAGCACCCCAGAATGAAAATGCATCAGATTTATACGTCTCGGCCTTAGGTTTAGGCTGAGGCTGTATTTTAGGGGCCGAGAAACCAGACAAAAGCTCGTCGATCTGTTCGGGAGCGAGATCAATATTATCAAGATCCAGGTCATCATCGTCCTTGCTATTCTCTTTTTCCTTCTCTTCTCTCTCCCTCTCCTCCCTCTCTCTTTCTCGCCCCTTCTCCTTCTCCTTCTCCTTCTCTTTTTTAGACACTTTATCCTTGGCGCTGCTGGATTTCGACTTTTTATCTTCGGACTTAGAGCTCTTTTTCGACTTCTTCTTGGCTGCTGCTTCAGCTTCTTCGCATTCGCGCCTAGCTAGCTCCTCGGCCTCGCGAGCTTCCTCTTCTTCTGCCTTACGCGCCGCTTGTTCCTGAGCTTCTTGTTCCCTCTGCTCTTCAGCCTCTCGCGCTGCTTGCTCCTCAACTTCTTGCGCCTCTCGTTCTGCGTCAAGTGCCTCTTGATCTTGTGCTTCTTTGGACGCTTTCGCTTCCGCACGGGCCTGGGCTCTCTCGGTAAGTTCATCAAGTCTCATCTGATCTGCCGTCTTGAGCTTCCTCTTTTTCTTGCTCTTAGCTGTGAGTGCGGCAAACTCGGCTTCCTCTTCGGCGATTTCGTCTGCAAGCGCTGCGGCGGCTTGCTCTTCGGCCTCTTGGGCTTCCGCCGCAGCCTTTTGCTCTGCTTCCAGGGCTTCCACCGAAGCCATCTCCTCAGCCTCTCGTTGGGCCAACTCTTCAGCTTCTTTAGCAGCTTTCTCCTTAGCACGACGCTTGGCATTTGCAGTGAGCTCATCGAATCTTCTTTGACTGGACTTAGAGAGTTTTTTCTTTTTGCTCTTAGTTATTAGCGTTGACAGCTCGTCTTCTTCGGCGGCAATCTGATTTGCTAATTCCGCAGCTGCTCTCTTTTCTTCCTCGTTTTCTCCAGCTTTAGCATCATCCCAGACATTCTCTTCCAGTTCTTGGCCTGACATACTCATTTCCAATGAAGGTGGTGTAGGTGCTGGGGGTGGAGATGTCTTCTTGCCTTTGCCTAGTCCCCAATTCCAGTCGTCGTCGTCAAAATTGCCACCCCTACTCTCTTCTACCGAGTCGGGTTTGACACCGTTAAGGTGAGGCTCGTTCTCTATCTCGACCGGAATATTCTTACTGTTCTTCTTCTTTTTGTCTTTCTTTGATCTGCTGGCCCAGGGGTCGTCATTCTTGGGCTCTTCGATCGAGTCCGGCATCAGATTATTTTCTTTTTTGTCTTTATCGGCTGGGAAACTACCCCAGAAGTCGTCGGCTTCAGGTACGGCAGGCGCTGGCTCCGAGTCTTCGTACTCTGGATCTGTATTGGTTTCGACAAGAGCTGTTGATGCCTGGATTTTCTTCTTACCCCAGCCCAGCCAACCTTCATTACCTTCATCAACAGGTGACTCCTCCTTCGCTTTCTTGGCAGGCTTCTTGGCAGCACCCCAAAAGCTCCAAGCGCTCGGTTGCTCAGTAGCTGAAGTAGAAGTGGGTTCCCGTTCGGGTTCTGGCTCAGAGGTAGATGGAGCTGGTGGTGGCACTTTCTCTTCCTTGGGCGGCTTTTCCGGGACAGTGGTTGTCTTACTCTTCTTCTTTTTATCCTTTTTAGAGGTGCTGAGGCCCCACGCATCATCATCATCATTTTGAGTGGAAAGTACTTCTGGCTTTAGTTCCGACTCCGACTTCTTGAGAGCAAGCTCGTCTAAGATGCTCTTTTTCTTCTTACCCTTTCCTAGGTCCTTACTTGAAGTGCCCCATGCACCCCGGTCGTTAGTAGGCTCGACTTTTTCTGGTTCCGGTTCCGGTTCTGGTATAGGCTCGGGAACAAGCTCTGGTTCTTTAGGAGGATCTTCCGTGGTAGTTTTTTTCTTCTTTTTCTTATCCTTTTTTGAGCCAGCGCCAAACAAACCCCAAAGATCGTCCTCCGCAGGTTTGGTTTCTTTTATAGGCTCCTGTTCTAGTTCCGGCTCCGGTTCCGGCTCTTGCGCTTGCTCTGGGATAGGCTCTGGTTCCGGTTCGGGCTCCGTCACATCTTTCTTCTTCTTCTTTTTCTTCTCCTTCGTTATAGTTGCAAAAGAGAGAAAATCGTCAGTTTCCTTCTTTGGGGGCTCCGGCTCAGGTTCAGGCTCCTTGGGGATCTCTTCAGGTAGCTCATCTGCAAGGACGTTCTTCTTTTTCTTGTCCTTCTTAGTTAATTTACCGAAAATACCCCAGTCGTCTTCCTTCTTCTCCGGCTCTGTTGGGGGCTCTGGTGTCGGCACCAGCTCGGACTCCTTAATTTCCTCGGCACCTTTGCTCTTTTTGCTTTTCTTCTTGGTTATAGGTACATCCCAATTCGGCCAGTCGTTCTTCTTTTCGGATTCAGGCTCAAGCTCAAGCTGAGGCTCAGGCTCAGGCTCAGGCTCAGGCTTAACTACTGGCTCTGGAATAGGCTCAGGCTCGGGGTCTTTCGTCTTCTTCTTCCTGTCTTTCTTGGTGACCCCGAAAACCTCCCAAGGATCATCGTGCTTGGGCTTGGGCTTGGGCTTGGGCTCAGCTTTCTCCTCTACTATCTCGACGACATGTTCCGGTGTGGTATTTGTAGTTTTACCGTTCTTTTTCTTATCTTTCTTCGTAGCCATGGAGTCCCAAAAACTGTCTTCCTCCTTATTCGTAGGTTCAGACTGCGGAGTTAACCCTTCTACCTTCGAAACCTCTGTCATTTTACTCTTCTTTTTGTCCTTTACGCCCCAGCCCCAGCCACTATCAAGAGTCGAAGTCTCGGGTTCTGCATTAGGAACAGGCGGGTCAGACCCCTTGGGTGTTTCAATTCCCTTCTTCTTGTTTCTCTTAGAGGACGTCCCGAATGTGTCGCTCCAAGGGTTCTCCTCTTTTGCAGGCTCTGGTTCTGGGTCTAGCTCTGGCTCCGGTGCTGGGGGCTCGGGCTCGGGCTCGGGGGTTTCTTCGATGGTACCTTTCTTCTTTTTCTTATCCTTCTTAGATGGGGGGACAAGCAAGTCGATAGCAGCTGGGGTATTATTAACAGTATTAACGATAGGCTCAGTCTTTTCAGGCTCAGGCGCTATGACAGTAGAATCCTTCTTGCTCTTTTTCTTGGTGGCGGTAGTGGTAGTTTCCCAGGGGCTTCCCCAGTTGTCATCGAGTGCAGTTGACCCCAATTCCTTGCTTGCGGCTGGTATTTCCTCCTCGGGCAGGGGCTCGGTGTCCCAGACGCTGCTCTTCTTCTTACTCTTGTCCTTTTTAGCCGAACCCAGGCCGAGGTCAAAACTCTCGGACTTCTCCTCAGACTTCCTCTTAGAGATGGGCGCTTCAGCTTTACCTTCCGTTTCGTCAAAAGATCCGAATCCGAATCCTGTCTTATCCTTCTTCTTAGGCTTGGACCCATCAATGCTCCACGCACTGGCGTTCGCCTCTTCCTTTTTCTCCTCCCTCCTCTCTTCTTTATCTTTGGGGTGGTCAGCGTCTTTGGACCCAAATAGGCCCCCGAGACCACTACCCCAGCCACCACGCCACGTACTAAGAAAGTTGGACTTAGGCTCGGGTGTAGTAGTACTACTACCCCTAAAACTGATATCCAAAGACGTCCTCACGGGCTCATCCAACTTGATGTCCTGGAAGCCGTCAGGCTTACTTGGTGTTTCAAATGACTCAATCTTCTCTTCGACCTGGGTTTTCCCCTTCTTCTTTTTCTTGCTGCCAACAGTCTCAGCAGCCGCCATAGTATCCTCCAGTTTTGTGTCGGCCGTGTCGTCCTTTTGTTCCTTCTCCTTCTCCTTTTCCTTTTCCTTCTCCTTCTCCTTCTCCTTCTCTTTTTCTTTCTCCTTGTCTTTATTGTCATTCCTATCCTTGCCCTTATCCTTATCCTTATCACCATCGTTACCCTTACCACCGCCATTGCCATCACCACCCGCACCCCCACCGGTGTTTCCTGGATCATCGTTTTGATCCCCGTCACCTCCATCGGCACCGCCTGCTTTGCCATTGTTTTCTTTTGCTGCCTGATCCCAATCGAAGTTCTGTACTGGTACCTTCTTCTTCTTTTTAGCGTGTTGAATAAAACCATCTTCTGATAAAAGATTTAAGTAAGGCTCGGTTGCCGGATCGCTGATTAACGAATCTCTTCGCTGTACACGACGCCGAGCGTTGTTTGGTGGAGGGGGGTAGTTATTCACTAAGTCAAAGTAATCTCGCTGACGAGCAGCCTCACCAGTTCGAGATGGATCAATTAGGGGTTCAAAAAGAAGGGGATCGTCGTCACAATGCTTCGATAATCGTCGCGATCGTTTCGGTATAGAGTCAGGCGACACCAGTGGCTTGGGGATAGCATGGTGGATAACCTTCTGATTATACCTACAGTGAAGTTCCTATTCCGGATCGCGTCTGTCAGCTTTGAGTTTCAATGGACACTGCGACGGATGTAGAACACAAGTCTCGATATCTAGACTAATAACATGCTATACTATACATCGACCAGCCTATTGAAACAATACATAACATAGTGTAGCTAGAATGCTAAGGAACCAGAGACGCCCAAGATAGAGAGCACATACCGATTTAAATACTGTCGCCACTAAAAGCCATGCTCTCGAAATAAGCTCCAGTCGAGTTTGCAGGTCTAGTTCATCCCACTGCGGAGTCGTTCTCGTGATGGGAGACCAGGTTTTTGGCCGGCCAAACCCGTCTCTCGTCGCGCTTGCGCATGGTTCTATGAACGCGGCCGCAGCCATATTGAGGTTGAGGGCTCGACTGGTCGCGTTGGGATAAGAGAACCATGGACGCTAAGATGTTGTCTTCAACAGACTGGTGAAAGTCAGGGGTTGTAGTAAGCTGTACTATTAGTTTGGTAATCGGGGAGGGGTGTTTAAAATACAAAGGCAGAGCCTTTGGCCTGTCTATTCTTACAGCTTTAGGGTTGAAATTCTATGGATAGGTATCTAAGCGAGAGAAGGCGGTAGTATGAGTCGGGTTGGGGTCTTTTGAGGATGTTACGGTCGTTTATCGTTGTCGGTTGGCAGGACGCAGTCAAACGTCAACGAGGCAGAGATTCTGAGCTTCTAGCTTGGTGTGACACGTCGCAATCTTAACTATCATCGTCTCCTTCCCCGTACAGCCCTTTAATGCCCTAGGAAGAAAAGGAATCGTCCCTGGCAATGCAATGGGGAATATAAAAAAGCAAGGGGTAAAGTACAATACGTAGTACAAGAGGCAGTAAAATCGACTTCTGACAAGCACCAATAATGTTGCGATGCGGCAATGCAAATGTTAAAGGTGTGTAAGAGAGATGCCAACTATCGATTGGTTTTGCTTCGCGGTCAGTGTGTGACAGACATTCCCCGACAGAATTCAGATACCTCCCGTCTTTTTGACGACAGGACTTCCAATCTGATTGTATCGAGTATTGGATACCGAAATCGTAAGAACTAGATAGCAAGCAGCTCGCTCGAGTAGAAGGCAAAGCAGCAAAGCAGCATGAAGTCCTTCCCCTGTCTGCTTGAAGCAAAAGGTACAAAAGGGAACAAAAGACCACAAAAGCAGTAAACGGATTGGACGTATGAGCCTATTATGTATGCATGTATGAATGCGACCACCCAATGGATGAACAATAACGCAGCATCATGCACCTGAGTGGGCGAAGGAGAAAAATAGTCGCAATTGTTTGGAGAAAGGGTGTGCATTAAGAGATGATAGAGGGGAAGTCGGCGTTTGTGGGATGGCTGGTTATCATTATCATTGGACAGCTATGTACATACTGATGTGATATATCCATTTTTATTTTACCGCACACCCCTGCCAGCCTTGACACAATAACACCCTCCCGCCATCCTTTCCTAAATTTACATAGTAACCTTACTCCGGGACCTCACATACAATACATAGTACATTTGATCGCATACAATTTATTATACTTATTCTTGTACCTGTTTATAGGCTACAACACCTTCTATTACTCCAATGTGTCACTTGATGGCAAGTCCTTGCTTCTTTCCAACCCTTCCTTATCCACTTCAGGCCATTAATTGATACCGCAATAAAGCCAGGTGACTTTCCCCGACTTCTACCACTTACCTAGGTATTGTTAAAAGTTACTAGTCTCGACCTGGAGTGGGATGATAATGGTTGAATTCGATTGTCTACCTGTCTAACCTACCTAAGGTATACTTACTAAACATACCTAATTAGGTAACTACGAAATAAAAGTTATAATAGTTATAGGGTCCAGCAAACAAGAACAAAGAGAAAGACGGAAGGGTAACAATTGATAACATTAAATCTCAATTGACTTCTTACAGGCTTGGTTGCATTCCATGACTTCCCGTTTGGTCCCTGCGTTTGGTGCATCGCACCTGCGCGAACGATTATCACCAGTCGCGTCTCAATGATGAAACCCCGCCACATGAAATCTTGCGCTGCTTTCTCATTTTTCATTTTTCATTTTTCATATTTATTTTTTCGGCCCCCGTTTCCTTTTCCCGCATGACTGTTTGACTGGACCCCTCATTTGATTGAATTTTTTTTTCTTCAGCCTTCCGCTTCTTTATCTATTTTAAAAACTCTTTTGTGTATCCTGTCCCTGCAGCTTAGTATTCCCTTATCCTGCTTCGAATTGGGTGTTCTCAATTAGCTGACCGTTGTTGGATGCTGAGGACGCGTACGGCATGGTCGATCATCTACAGACTGGTAAATGGCTCCTCCAAATTGAGAAAAATTTGCACGTTTACTTGCATGACGGACCTCGCCCCTTTTGCGCAACGGGTGCGGCAAATTATTATATCGCGTACCTATGGACGACAATGCAAACGCGAAAAGTTGGATAAAGTGTCCAATTACCGAAACATGTGCTCACGCGCTGAAAAGCGGCACGATCATATACCCATAGAATATGACCTCTCAGCTGCAGTGGGAAAAGGTCAAGGTATCGATACATGATGGATGGGCAGCCATGCGCTTTTTAGCTTGTATCTACCTACTCCATGCTTAGCACAACGCCATTCATCCACGTCGTTGGTATCCATCCGGAAGTGGGACAACTGCTCAAGCATGCCAGATGCATCTACCACATTTAACACCCATATTCGCCCGGTCGCCGTATCCGGTTGCTATAGAAATCTAAACAAAAACATACCGTAGAGAGGGTTACCACATTTACTACATTAGGTACATATTGTATCCTGCCGCTGAACCCTAGCCTTCCCGCAACACCCGCTTAGTTGCCCAATCTCATCGGCAGCCACTGTATGTATGTATGTACTATGTAGGGGTCTATCGACACTCCCAGCTCTGTTTTAGGTTGCTGCACGTTTTCTACTCGACGCCGGCCCCCATCTAAATGGGTAGTGGTTGTTCGTTATTCACTCCTACGGCGGATCCTCCCATGCATACATCCCACAAATAACCACCCAAACCGGCATCGCGAGTTCTTCACCGCTTCGAATTCATATCGACTTTTCATGCAACAGGGCCTCGCTGACACTAAAAAGTGGAAGCGGTTTACAAGGAACAATGGAACTTGACTTGACTGGTTCTGCACGTAAATTTTTATTTTCTCCAATTGACCAACGGATTGTCGCATGAATCACTTGGCTTGGTCAAGGTACCCTCCTTCGAGGGCATTCTATTGACGATAATTGGGGATAGTCAACGCAAGACACCACAGATCGCATCGGTGACTCCCACGATACGATGTGGTGCACTACCAGCGTTTCGTTTGTTGGGGACATGGGGCTCGTGTACTCATCACTCCCGTCGTGTTTGCATCAGATCGGATATCTTCCGCAGCATCGAATCCACACAAACGCGGGTGTGCCTTTCGCGTCCGCGTCGTGTTCTCATATTTGTTCTTATCTTCCGATGGTTATCCCAAAGTCAGTCAGGCTTTTTGCCACTCTTCACCGCACATTTAGGCCGACTTACAGCACCGTCCCCATTGTTCGGCCAACCGATTCAGATTGAGGTATAGGCCTACCACACGTGACTATGTATTTCATATAATGTTGTTGCACATCATAAATGTATGTCTCGAATTTTGGGGTAGCCGATGAGAAGTGGGTGCCGGTCCATCGTACACTAGGTTTTCGTGGATCCTGAGGGCCGCAGTTACGAATTCGCTTTTCGCCGTTGACCGTTTTTAATCTATCTCGCCTGATAGACAGGTCATGGTAAGGTTGTTAGACAAAAGTCTAGTTATGCTCCTGCATAGGTAGATTACTACATTCGTATAAGGTAAGTGATCCCCATGATCATAAACAGAAGCTCAAGAATGATCTAAGTGGAGTTGGGAGCCACAATTTACAACAGTGTTGAATAATCACTATTGTCGTCAGGATATCAACGACGTTTAGGTACCTAACATTGTTCTTGGCCCTTTAGGGATCATTGATATTATTACAAAGAAGCCTTAGGTAAGGTAGTTGGGTGGTAGTTATCCCATAACTACAAAGAGTATTGCTCTTAAGAGGGGTTTCTTCTATACACAGGCTCCAGTGTATAGCTCCATATGTGTACAGTACACATGTCTAGTAGTACGATCCATGATATAGCCCCCACTCTATGGCTTAAGTCGACCCCAAGCTTGGCCGAAGACGGAGCTTATATACGCTCTGAAGTATAGAGAAAACTTGGTCATTTCAAGAGCTTGTGTGACCTTAAATTTCGGCCGTTTTTACCCCTTACTCTTGTTTACGGAATCTTAAGAACTGAGTTGGTAAGGACATGATACGAA